GCGCTACGGGTTAAACTTAATGATCTCCCTAACTCTGCCTTTTTTTCGAATCCATTCCTTCCCGTTTGCTCTGACTTCCTTTTCTATCCCCGGGTCATAGTCTACTCGTTAGGGTGGACTAATTCCCGTTTTAGTTATTCTGCTGCTTTCGTATTCTGAACTATTTTATTTATTATTTTCTAACAGTATGCAGTGAATAAACCTATGATTATAAGATGGTATTAATAAAATCACATAGAAACAGAAGATCTGATTTTTTTTTGTATTCTGGTGGAATTTTATACTTTCTTAGTATATGTAAAGTTGTTTAAAAAGGAAAAATTAAAAAAATTTTCCAGCGAGCATTTCACAATATTTTTATGTTTTAATTTCATACAAAATTGGTTTATATGATTCATTTAATATCGAAACTTGAGAGTGTAAAAGATCTCTGTATCATAAAATTCTATTTTTCGGGTTGAAAAACTGCCAGACTATCCTTGAATTCAAAATTCTCTTTTTTCCAAATTCGGCCTAGTTTTTTTCTGATCCAATCAATACCATTTCCAAAAACGTTCCAGGTTCTACCAAGCGATCAAGATCATGTTCGTGGCCTGTATCCTCGTCTCGTATCCCCTTCAGTTCTACGTCCCCATGGAAAGAGTCGAAAAATGGATCAAGAGAAAGGTTGAAAAAGTGAGAATCAATGTCACATTTTCAAATTTTGAGGTGGTCGAGACGAAACAAGAACCTTTGATCTACACTGTCCGCTTTGGCGGTGTCATCTTCACTTGTGGGTTTTTGTAAAAACTCAGTTTCAAAAAGCTTCTTACTGAGAAATGTTTAAAAAAAAGCTAAAAATCTAAAATTTTGAGCATTATTTTCTTGTTTTTCAGAAAAAAAAAAATTTGAAGGGATGTATTTTTTTAGTCATATTTTTTCATTTAGCTTTTTTCTTGGTACCCCCAGCGACCTTTCCAGTATATTTTTATTGGACGAAATGTTGAAAAAAAGGTTTTTTGGGACCTTGACAGGATTTTTTTTTTTCAAAAAGGTTTTGAGAAGCTTTTCTGAAGCTCCCTAGAATCTTCCCTTTCCTCAAGCCTGAGAATGATAAAAGTTTTGCCAGCTGTGTCTAAAAAGTCCATAATCCCTCCCAATTATCCACACTAAATCCTTAATCGCCGTTCCAACTTCAAAGTCCCCAATCTCTTGATTTTTACTAATGGAAGACGGTCGACAGGTCTGATGGCGCAGTTGATCCCGCACCTGGCCTTGTTCATCTCGTTGGTCGGCAGCGTCGCCGGAACTTCCCTCACTCTCGTCTTCCCGCCGTTGATCGAACTCCTTTGCTGCTACTCAAGGTGAACACAGGAAAATTATTAGCGCTGAAAAAAAAATTGAACGCAATATTTTTCTCCAAATACTGGACAGTACTCTGTAGACTTCACATATTTCGGAAACTTCTCAAAATTCGCTCAGATTCAAAATCAAGAGTTTCTCAACTAATCCACTTTTATTTTTGCCTCCTAGTTGAACTGCTTTTGAAGCAATGAAGAGAGAAAATTTTATTTGTGTTTTAGAAAAAGATGAAAAATATTTTTTTGGAGATCCAAAAAAATCTAGAGTGAATAGTTTTCCTTTGTTAGAATCGTCTTTTTCCCTCGAATTCCGGGACTTTTCGGAAAAAAGATCGAAGAGCCGCACTTTTTCAACCCATCTTTTCGTTGAAAACGGTTGTCCGGCGCAACACATGTGCCATGTGACGTGACCGAACGCCACAAAGGTCAATTTGAAAAAAAAAATCGATTTGAAAAGACGAAAATTTTAAATTTTTTCAAAAACATGAATCTATTGCTACAATTTTATGGTGTTCTGAACTTTTTTTAAAAGCTCTGAAAAAAAATTTATTTAATGAAAATTTCCAATTAACCTTTCCTTTATAAAATTGTTATTGATTCCTTGAAAATTGAAGACTTCTCCAGAAAATTTCCAGATTTGATACATTCTAACGATTCATAAGTCACTGAAGACTTGAATCAAGTTAAAAATCAGGATATACCGGAAACTTCAGATTTTCCAGATCTTTCAGTTTTATCCTAATATTTTAGCTTTTCAACGTATTTTGCTTATCAAGGAGCTTTTCAGTTTCACCGCAGTTTTATATTCTCTGGATGAGATTCTTCCGGGATAAAAAAGTCAATGAAGAGCCAAAATGAATCAATAAAGAAAAAGTGACAAAACAGAAATTATTTCTTGATTTTTCAGAGGCGAGTTGACCAAATGGGTCTGGATCCGGAACATCTTCCTGATTTCTTTCGCTTTCGTCGGCTTCGCCACGGGAACCTACGCCAGTCTGGTGCAGATCATCGAGGCTTTCGGAACCTCGGACATCTGATCTCTTTTCGATTTATTTCAACAACAATATCATCAACAAGAATTAAATTAATGAACAATAACAAGTTTTCATGGTGTGTTCGTGTGTGGGGGTGACAACCGGAGACCAGTTTTTGAGGCATATGAAAAAAAAAATGGCTTCGCAGGTTAAGAAAAGCTCAAGGAGAAAATCAAAAAAATAAAAAATCTTATTTCCTGACACACCAGAACTGAGTTGAAGGAAAATATTTCACTTAATGTATTTTTCTATTCGAAGTTCTAGAATCTTTGAAAATCAGCTGAATCAAAGTTTATCTCGGACCATGGGAACGAAAACCGAACGTTTCTAGGGATCACTAGAAATTCTCCGACACGTCCGGTGCGCGTTACTAAGTTCCAATTGAAGATTCTGTGACTCTGTACCCGATTCTTGATTTTTAGAACAAAAGCTCCGAATTGCTCTTTCTAACAGTTTTCAGAAAAGCTTCGATTTAAAAAAATATGAATTTCGACAGGATCTCGGAATGTTTACATTAAAACTCGTTTTAGCGAGTTCTCAGATTGGGTTTATTTTTGTAGAGTAGTTTTTTTTTTTCTCACATGCCTTTTCTTCACAACAAACAATTCGACTAAACATTTTCGTTTCCTGAACTTTTCACTCGGTTCAGTGCAACACCGGGAAGATCGTTTTTGTCCGGGTAGATGGAAATGTGATTGGCTCCGTCGACGACGCGCACCTGCAACACAGCTGTTTCTTCTTATTTTTCCTTTGAGAGATGAAAAAAATCTTTAAAGACCCTAAAATCTGGGTGGGAAAGGTCTTTCTCATGCTCTTTTCAAAATTTTTTTTTTTCATTGAAAAGCTTCGTCGTACTTAGGAACGCCAGAATGGTCACTACGGGGCTCTTTTGGGCTCCTCTCAAGAACCACCTTTCCGCCCCCTATAGGCCTATAGGGGGTACTAAAGCTTGTAAAAGTGGCCACTCTAGGGGAGAACGCTAGGACCCTTAAGTTTTTTTTAGACTTGCAAATAGAACAAAAACTTAAAACCGCTATAGGGACCACTTGAGTTGCAGGGGTCATAACCTAAGCTTCTTAGGGAGTACCCAAATTTTACCCCTTTAGGAAACACTATTTCGCCCCCAATGTCGGTTGCTTTTTTCTCGAATCCTTCTAGGGGCCACTCTGAAAAAAGAAAAAGTATCAGATGCTCTGGAAAGATTGTGTAAAAACAAGTGTTCGCAATCAATTTCAAGAACACCTGCCAACGAAAGCTGCACACAGATTTGCTCTAAACTTTTGGTTTATTTTAAGTTGCAGTGTAGACTTTCAGAAGTTGGTCGAAGTTAAAACTTGTGAAGAAAAAAAAGTCGAATTTTTGTGATGAATTTGTACAGCTTCTTCTGTTTTTCAATTTCTGAGAAAAATTTATAAACATGATGTAAAATGGTTAAACCATTTCCTTGTTTCTCAAGGCTTATGAGTGCATCCTTATAATGGAAAAGACGATTCGCTGTTTCTTTCCTCCCTAGGTGATCTCTGATAACTTTTACCTGATCAATGGCAAGACCCGGGAATATTTTGAGCGATTCGACGACGAGTTCGTCCATGACTTTCTTGCAAATTTCGAGAGATTGTGCCGAAGAGACTTCCACCCAAATGGAAGTCGTGTCAACAGTCAGCTGCAAAAAAAGAATAAAGAATATTAATATTAATAGACTTCGATGACGCCACCCGGATGCCCCGGACGTTTCTGAGGTACTATTGGTCACTCTAGCAGCGTCTGCACTCTTGAGTGATCACTGGAATTGCTAAGAAACGTCCGAGGCGCGTCCGGTTTACTATAGCATGTGTACAGTGACTTGGAATTTCACGGAACGACATTCCGCTGTGCCGCTGCGCGCCTTTGCGAACCTTGGTCGCGCTTTTGATTTATTTTTCTCTTTTATTGAGGTACTTTACTTTCATGTGCTCCTACAGCAACAACAATCAATTGAAAGCGTGATTTAGATTTGAAAGACGCTTCGCGAACGCACGCAGCGTAACAGCGGAATGTCGTTCGGTGAAATTTCAAGTCGTGGCACACAGACTATATACCAAGGTTGAGTAAGAACATGCATTTTTTATCATATGTGAATTCAAAATTTCATACTTGAATAATTATTCGGTACCGATCATTCCAGTATTGCAAAAGCCGCAGCTTGGAAAAAAAAAAACTAAAAACTCAGTAGCTTTCTCTGATATCTTTCAATATCTCAGCGCGTAAGTCATTATATGTCGGGTGCACGACTTTGCATCAGTGGCAGCAGGTGTAAACTCAATTCATATCACCATTGAAAAAGTTAAGCCATTTATTATCGCGGTTCTATTTTTTCTATATCGAGACTATATTCCGCGTACAGAAAAGTTTTGAAAATCACTATTTTGGTCACCTCAAAATGGAGATTTCCATCAATTTCGAAGCCAAAAATGGTTTGAAAAAACTTCAAAATCAATTTTTTGAATTTTAGAAAAAAATGCAACCGAAACTCTTTTACATACTTCAAACCGAGGCCTATGCGCAAGTCTACGTTCGGATCTTCGAAAAGCAAAGAGAGCACTTGTTAACAAGAGGGCGTGCAGAGAAAAACGTCCCTACTCTCTCCTTTTTGAATGCTCTCTCTCGAAGTTTCGGGCTTCAAAGACTCATGTTTTCTTTTTTTTGCTAGGAAATCCCTTAGAAAAACATTTTTGTTTTGATAACATGATGAAATTGGAAAACGCTGACCTTGGTGGGGTCAGAATTGGTGATGGGCGGAAGGCTGATGACGACCTGCTGGGCGTCGACAAGACAAGCCAAGACTGGATCATCCCGAACGATGTGAAGGTACCTGGATCTTCTTGCTCTTTGAAGGAACAAGGAACCCGGCACCTGTACAAGGGATCGATCGTGCTTCTTTTACTCCGTTTCCGGGCCAGTTCCGCGTCCCTCAGCAGACTCTCCATCAGCTCATTGCCGCTGACGCTCGTCTTCTTGTTCAGGGCTCTTATCTGGATTGCCAATTTTCTGCCCCATAAAATGGAAAGCTCTGGGGTCATCAACAGAGAAATCAGGCTCCGAAAACAGCTCAATGCTTCGTAACTTAATAATAGTACGCTTCAGCGTTTTTTTCAAACGAAGTTAGACTTTCAGTTTTTTTTTCCTGAAAACTGGTGAAATGAGAGAAGAAAAAAAAGAAAAGGGTAACTTATAACTATTTATTTTTTTCGGTATTTTTTGTTTAATACAGAGGACACTTCAGAAAAACTTTTTCACATTAAAGTTATACAGTTCCTTTATTCCTACGACCTTAAGCCTCCGGAAAAAGTTTACTCTTTAACCAGGGCCCAAAATCCTTGATTTGACCTCTTTTTTTGTGGTACAGGATCTTTAATCATCAAAAAAAAACATCAGTAGTATTGATTTTTGGCGAACTTGATTGATTTGGAAAGTTTTCTTGGTAAAAAAAAATCAAAACCTTTGTAACGCTTTCTTTATGAAATGAGTAATGTTGATGAAGGCCAGAAATTCGCCATATCAATAGAAAATGGATGCAATTTTTGGAAAATGATCGAAAATCCAATTTAAAAGCTCATAAAAAAAATTTAGAAGGAAAAAAAATTGGCTAATTCTTTCGATATATTTTTTAATGACCGTCATATTTTTTTCAAGTAGACCAATACACTGTTGAAAATAATCTATTCGTCACGATGTGAAAAAGCTTCTAGCTTCTCTGCGCTCTCTTCTCCTTCGACCACTCTTTCGTTTTCACATGCTGTTTTCACGTTCCTCTGACTTTTTCTGCGAGAGAGAAGAGACGCAGACAAGTTAGACTGTATAAGGTGAGGCGAACATACAAAATATACGATTGTTTTTTTTTGTCTAAAAAAAGGAACTTGAAGTCTTCCAAACACTCGTTTCCATGCATAAGCTGTGAATGTTCTCAAGCCTTGCCTCCATTTCCAAGCTCCAAAAAGCCTTTTTCCAAATGAGGCAAAAAAGGGCCATTTTCACATAGAACGAGGCATTTTGGTGGTTTTTTTTGGGGTACTTACATAGAGGTCTTGACGAGGCAATGCCATGAAGGTGACGGGAAGCTGAAAAGAGCCCATCCGATGCGTTCCCACTGCGGCCGTCGTACGATTCTCGCACAGCGATGCGTGCAGTTTCGTCTGATATTTTGTGGATGAAAAAAATATGTGCAGATTTTTTTGTGACATCTTTGGCAAGAATTTCGAAGTCAAATGACGGAAAAATATAGAAAATTTTTTTTCATCACAAAGTTGATATACCCTCATCTGAAAGTTGATGCATAAAAAAATTCATATTCAAAAGAAAAATCAGCTTTTATTTTTATATTGAGCTTCTTGCCAAAAAAGCCGCGCAGAAACGCCAGAGTGGTCCCTATAGGGGCTTCAGCTTCTGAAGGGGACAAAGAAATACCCCTTTTAGAGGTAAAACTAAGCTGGTCCCTATAGAAGGTAAGGGCATCCCTAAGCCTTAAAAGCTCAAGTAATCCCTATAGGGAAGGTCTTCCAATCTTTCGTTCAGATTTGAAAACTAAAGACAAAGCTTCTGTTGATATTTTTCATTCAAATGAAACTAATTCAATGAATTCTTCGCATGGTAATGCTTCTTTTCATATAGTTCATAGCAATAAAGAATAGCATGTCCCTTATAGAAGCTTTTGCAAGCTTTAGTGACCCCTGTAGTGATGAAAGGAACCTTGAATGCCTCTGAAATTGCCCCTATAAGGACCACTCTCTAGTTTCTCAAGTCACCCTTGCCAATCTGCTCAAATCAATTTTCAAGTCGGGAATGGAGTTGATGGAAAAACTTTTGCACCTGGACTTGAATGAACTTTTTGAAGTTGTCGCCGTCGGAAAGGTCGACGTTGTTAAGGACACAGCAGACGAGATAAGGCCGCACTTCGGACACACTTTTGTGTCTCGTTACGACGAGCTAGAAAAGGAAGATACAGAAAAAGATACCTGGAGAACTCACAGAGGTACTGAAAAAAAGATAAAAATTTTTATAATATCCTAGAACTCAGCTGAGAAATTTTGGAAGCACCTTGAGTAAAAACCGAAAAAAAGATTTTTTTTGCTGCCTAATTTAGTCGAAACCTTTACAGAAATCTTACGCTATCATGTGATAATTTAACTGTGAAGGAAAAAGTTTTTAGCGTATTCAAGACTTCATAACTTGGCTTTTGAGCTTTAAAAAGCCAAAAAAGGCGAAAACTATTTTTTTTTTTGGGTTTCAGTCAAGTTTTTTATAGCGCAAAATCACGAATGGTGTTCGTTTTGAGTTGAATTTAAAAAAAAACTATGAGAAAAGTTTGGAAAGGCCCACGAAAATTATCTATTTTGGCTAATTTGAAAAAAAAAAGATTTCAAGGTTTAGACCCTTTCAAGCTTTTCTCGTTCGAAGTTTCAGAAATTCAAAAGAATGTGTGAAAATCGCCAACCGCCAATGACAGCCCAGTGTTGAGAAAGAAACATGTAGTTTCTTAAAAATTTGTGTAAAATTTTATTTATGCGGTTTTCTTTTTTTGAGTGTCCTGGTTGGCTTGAAAAGAGAGAACTCGTTTTTTTTTTCAAATTTTAGGTAAATTGAAGGTGAGAGAAATCGCAAAATTTCAAATTGCACAATTCTATAACACACTGGAAGCTGAACTATTTTTTTGAGGAGATACTTATTATTTTTTTCTGAAGTATTTTTTTCTCTTTACAACCCAATAAAATTTTTTTAAACTAACAATTAAAACTATCTAGAACAATTTTTTTCTGCTTCGATCCACTGAATTAAAAATTTTTCAACATTTTTGAGTCTGATTAAAAAGTCGTAGGCTGCTTTGAAAGTCTGTAGGTCCAGTTGCTTTTTTTATGATGTCTATTTTTCCATTGTTGAAAAGTTTTTTTGGGCTTTATTAAGATGTTAAATTTTTTTAAGTACGTTTTCCTTCTTAGTACGACCAGTTTCGAAGTCTTCAAAAAAATCTGAAAAATCCAAAAAAATCTGGTCCTGAAATCTCCCAAAAAGAAACTTTTTTTGTTGAATTTTTTTATTTTTTTGCCAAAAAGTACTCTCAAATCTTAAAGAACACTATTGCGCACTTAAAATATTGATTTCAGGTCAAAATTAAAAAAAGTTTACAAAAGGACCAAAAATCGAGAATTCTACGCACTTTTGGACACTTGAATAATTTTGAACTCAAAACCCTTCAGAAATTTCAAAAAAATGCCACTCTAATGAAGCGACCGAATCGACCGAATTTTCCAGATTGCCAAAATACATTTCTGATTCTTAAAAAAAAACTCAGACATTTTATTTTTAGCCATCCAGCACGATAATTGTGTATTGCTCTCTCCCTCTTATTTTTCAAATCAACCAGTCATAATCAACTTTGCACTTTGATTATTAATAGCGAGTCTGAACCTTCGTCTATACGATAGGAAACTGCAAAAAGAAAGGAAAAAGAGCCAATTTTCGAAAAGCGAATTATGCTCCGATGAAAAGGCCGCGTGACACGGCAGCTCACATTTTCGCCAAACTTGGCGGGTAATTATGGAAATTAGTTTTGTTTTACGATGTCTGAGAAATGAGAAAGTTACAAAAAATACGATTCCGGAAAGAGAATTGTGCTTTGCTTCGAGAAAAGTTAAAAATTGGGATCAGCTTTCATTTTTAATCCTTGTTTAATTGAAATGCGGAGGATGAAAAAAACAAAATATCAATTTTTTTGAAAAATAAAAAAATTGAAGTTTAAAAAAATTTTTATCATTTGTTAAATTGCCTTCACTTGAAAGTAGAATGAAAAAAATAATTTTTTTTAAAATCAAACCTAATTTTTCGAAAAACTGAGTTTCCAGACTTTCAATAAAAAGTTGTAGCAAAAAGCTCAAATTGCATAATGAAATTTGATTTCAGAATTAATTCTTAAAAATTTTTTTCCTGTGCACATTGCTAATTATTTTTTTATAAAAACTTTTCATTTTCCAGTTGAAATTTCCATCAAAAAAATGTATTTTTCTTCAGGAAAACTAAAAAAAGATGAAAAATCAAATTTCTGGAGTTTTGTTTCAAGTTTTTTTAACTTCTTCATTTTCAAAATTTTTGAAACTTTTTCGATTCTTTGAAGTCTCTCTTTCAGTTTTGTTTTTTTAATAAACTATTCCAAATAAAATTTATTTTTTTCAGCTGTCTCCAGTTTCAAGGAATGCTTCCATTTTAGTTATTGAATCGTTTCACTTCCAGGTTCATACATCCCTTTCGCTTTTTTTTTTCCGCCGTGCTCATTTTCCCTTCTCTCTTTTCCAAACATTTTGCAGCCGTTTCTCTCTTTTCTCATAAACCTTCCAGGACACCCCATGAATTTCAATTCCCTCTGTTTTCCAGGAAAGACCTGTTCGTCGTTGGTGCGAACGAGTACGGCCGATTCAGCGGGGTCCACTTTTTCCGGCTCCACAGCCGTTGTTTCCGTCTTTTCGTTGTTCTTTTTGCGGCCATTCTTCTCGACATAATTCAATACGGCCGGCACCTATACGGGAATTAGTTTTCATCGACTTTTTCTCCTTTGTTCACACTTCATTTTTCCCGGGCATTTTTAGTTCGAGACGTCAAAAAACGTTGTGGGAAGGAAAAAGAGAGGGGGAGGGGATCGATAGGTCGGAGGGAAAGGGAGAAAGAAGCAACACCCCGATGTATGCCACCGAGCGACTGCGACGTATAGCCGTCTTTGTTCGCTTTAGTGTCATACACCGGAATGAGCATTTGGGCCGGAATATCAGCAGAACTCGAGTTCGAGGTGGAGCGAGGGCCAGAAGGAGCCGACCAGCCTCGACGGACCGCCGACGCCAAAATGCCGGCCTCGGGAGGCGTGACTCGGTTGCGTCGGAGAGGCAGTGCCCACGGAGAAGGCGGAGCAGCGTCAGAGACCGTTCGAAGGACGGAGAGTCCTCGACGAGCAGCGGGCTCCCCCTCTCCTCCCGCGGGCTTCCAGCCGAGTAATCAACTGATTTTCGCCGTCCAGTGATAAACTAACACTAATTGTCATCGATCTGAGGCTGGCCGGCCGGGGAAAAGTACATTTTTCAAGAAATGTTTGGGAAACAAGAAGGCAGCTAGTTGTACTTTCGTATAGTGGGAATGGGTGTTACAATGAACTTTGGACGTTAATTACGAGGAACTCAAGCGAAACAAGAGGATAAATTAATATCCAAGTTGCTTCATAAAAGATCAAGGAAAATTGGACAAATTTGATGTTTCTGATGAAATTTCCTTTATCCCAAGCTAGGCATGAAATTTTGCGTTTGAGAAAAAAAAAATTTAAGTTTGAAATTGGCCAAAAAAATCGTCTGAAATTTTTTTCCTAAGCCTTTTCTGGATGAAACTTAGGCTTTAAATATTTTTTTCCAAATTTCGCATGATTTTAATAGAAGCCATGAAAGTTTTTTTCGCGAAATTAAGAAAAATTAATCCTGGAAACCATTTGAGAAGTGTACTGAAGCGAGATGAATCAATAATTTCAAATAAATAATTTTTTTATTGAAAAAAATTTTCTTCAGATTCAGGAAGACGAACCCCAAAATCTCCTTCTCAAAAAAATTTTTTTGATTCTCCATGACTTAAAAAAACATAGATAAATGCTTGAAAGCTTCATGAATCAATTGAAATAAGAATTTTTGAAAATCTTCAACCACTGCCCATAGCAATAAATCATCCTTTTTGAAAATGCATAAATCTTCCCCGAAAAGGAACTCCCGACCTTGGATCTTTTGTCGTTTGTCAGCCGTTGAAAACGCGTGTCGCGGAATTCGTTGTTTGACAGGTCCAAAACCTACAAAAATGGTTCTTGGAAAAGATAAGGAAATTTGAAAGTAATTCCTTCATTTTCAAGTTGTCCTTCGTACCAGTTCAAAGTAAGTTTTAAAACAACTATTTGAGTCCGCTTTCTTAATGAATGTTCAATTTTTGTTCGCTTGACGGCACTCCTAGCTTTATTATCCTGTTAGCAAGGGAAGGGAACTTTTTATTTGAAACTTTAAAAAAAAGGAATATTTCTTGGGAATCAGCCACTTTTTCCTGTCCTAACTCTTCGTTTGCACCTTTTCTTCATCACAGAAGGGCGATTTATAATTCCATTACTAACATTTCAAGTTGAAAGCGTCAGCCACACCGCGCATTAATAATCAATTGGAATGTGCACTTTGGACTTGTTGACTCCCTAGAACAATCGACGCCCCGGGCATTATGGCCCGATTCAATTTCAAATACAATTTCCGTCGGCCAAAGCCAATCTATCTCATAACGTTGTCGGTTACATTTTCGCAAAAAAGTGCAAATCTCCAAGAGTTTTTTTGCGAACAAAGAGGTTTGTGTAATGGGCGACATGAGAAAGAACCATTAAAAAAAATTGTTTTCAAGTATTTTCCGAATCTTTGAGGGTTCGACGATTTTAAATTGAATTACAAGAGATTATTTACACTACATTTCACTTTGAAAATTAAATTTATGGAAAATTCGAAGCTGTAAAATAAAGGAAAAAAATCAAAAAAATTTTTTTGATTTTTTTAGAAATAAAAAGAGATTATTACCCAAGCAGTTCAAAGCCACCAATAAGAAAAATTTCGAAAATTAAATTTATGCCGTGTTCAAAGTGATTTCAACGATTTTTGCAATGCCTGGAAATCATTTCGCGAAATACCCAAAATCGAAATTTCGAGCGCCGTGGAAAAAAAAATTGGATCCTACTTACACCGATTTATCACGATATGGTGACTTTCGAGCACGAATTCAAAATTTGTGGTTGAAAAGTGTCGAATTAATTTCAAAATTTGGGGTTTTTGAGAAACTGAGATTTTTGCTTCGAACGCAAGGTCTGTGGGATGGAGAAAGAGACATTCAAAAAAACTTTTTTCAAAGTTTTTGTCCGCAATTTTGAGAGTAGAAGGTTTTGGACTCGATAGGAAAGGAAGGATGAGCAAGTAAATATAGCTCAGAAAAAAATAAAAAAATAAAAATAATGGTAAATTTGAAGCAGTAAAGTTGCAAGAAAAGTAGCTAACTTGAAATTTTCAACTTTTCAAAAGTGAATTTTTTTCATCGAACCAGTTAAAAAAACTGTTAAAATTTTCAAATCTGAATTGGCAAAGAAAGTTCCTCTCAAAACTTATAAAGTATGGTCACAAAAGTCTGTACTTTTTGATTTTTTTCTTTTTCTTCACTTTATTATCATTTGTGAACTATTTTTCGACAGATAAACCAAACAGCTGCGCTCAAATTGAACTTAAAAACTCAAAAATCCTTGCCGCAAATTTTTCAAAGATGAACCTTCATCACTTCAAATTAGGGTCTTTTTTTCATTTTTCAGCTCAATCCTTTAAAATTCTCCAAAAGTCTCCAATCAAAATTAAAATTGGGCAAAAAACCTTTCACTCGAAACTCATAAAATAAGGTCACTGTTCATGTAAAACTTCCCTTTCTTCACTTTTTTTTTCATTTTCGAACGCTTTTTCGACAGATAACTTAATTAGCTGTGCTTAAATTGAACATGAAAACTCAGAAAATCCTCGCTTTCTGAAACCTTTCAAATATGAACCTCCATCACTTCAACCAAGGACTTTTTCAATTTTCAGTCCTTCAAAATTCTGAAAATTTCAAACTTTGAGCCTATGCATCTTGCCGACGACGGTCGGCAGCTCCTGCATCTTGTTGTCGTTGAGTCGGAGCTCCCGCAGGACTCCCGCCAACTTCTCGAACTCGTCCGGAAGCTGCAAAGGGATTCCTCCGAGTGATTTCTCTTCGGGCAAAAAGGGCACCTCGGTGAGGCAATTATTGGCGGCATCAATTGAGCTTATTTTCGTGGAATCAAGGGTTGGCGGCAGGGCGGCCAAATTGTTGTGCGATACGTCGAAGACGTGCAATTGGCCCAGAGCCGAGAGCTCCGGAATGCCTTGAATCGTCAGCTGAAAGTAAACAGAGGGCCTTCCCGGATCTCGGATGAGGAATTCCGCGTCATTCGCGTTTCTTGCCGAATGGAGAATGAAAGGGGATTTCGGATTCTGTGTTCTGATTCAAAACAGATTATTTGAAAAAGTACGAGAATTTAAAAAACGTCATCTCAAACCAAAAAAAATTCTATTTTTCAGTAAAAATGAGAACCTTAGATGGTATATTTCTTAGTATTTGCAAAATGAACTGGAAAACGAAAAAATTCGGGAATCTTATGCCAAAAAAAATTTTGAAAAATTGAATCGGAGTCAATTCCAACTTAAAACGACCATTTTTTTTTGCGAAAAAGGGATTGAAAAATAAAATATTTTGGTTTCCGAAATCTGATTCAAAAACCTTTGAAAAACTTCATTTAAAGTTATTCTAGTGAAAAAAATTCCTTCGGTACCATCAGATTACAAAAAAATGACATCTCGAACCAAAAAAATAACATTTTATCAGTAAAATGAAAAACCTCGGAAGATGTTTTTCAATTTCGTGACATTGTTTCTAGTTATTTTCCGAATAGGATGAAAAAAACGAGAAAAATTCTCTTCTGAGGCGAAAAAAATTTTTTTTCTTGAAATAAAATCTCACTTACTTAGTTCCATCTTTTAGAAAATCTTCTAGGCCTTTTTATTACTTTTTTTTCTATTTTACATTACTTTCAATCTCCTTGATATTTGAACTACTAGATCCACTGATCGGACTTTCTCGAGCTCCTTGAAGCTTTTTTCTTATTCCCACAAAACGCAAGTCACATTTCTCAGAATGTGTAGGCTTTTGTTTCTCACAACTACAAATGAACGGGCATTTGGACTGGGAAACATGACCGAAATAGTAGGAACCAAAGATTTCCCACTTTGCGAAACCTTTTTCTTGAAGAACCAAAAGTTTTTGATTTTTTGAAAACATTTTCTGAGAGAACAAAGTATTTCCACTTTGTGGAACCCTTTTTTCAAAATGCGGGAGAATTTCAGCTTCAGGGGACCATTTATTGAGGAGCTAAAGAATTTCAACTTCAGGGGACGTCTTTTCTAGGAGCCAACGATTTTCAAGAGTTTAAGGAACCATTCTTACCTTGTTATTATTGACAATGAGAGATTCCAACTTTGTTAGCGTCTTCAATGAAGCTGGCAATGCAGTCAGCTCATTATGGGACACGTCGAGGAATTTCAATTTCTTCAGCGAGCCTGAAAATGAAGATTTTGCTAGGAAGCCGCTGGAAAACTTTCATGAGGTTATGGAAAACTTAAAATTTGCTAAATTATCCCTGGATAGCTGAGTTCACAAAGTTATGCAGTGATTAACTTTTATTAAAAAAACTACAGTCAAGCTGATTATGAATAGGTAATTTTGCCTTAAGAAGATATTTCATAGTCAGAAGCTAAACTTCTCGCCGCGCAACGGCTGCTTCGACTTGCGCCCGACCAGAAACGACTTTCCTTTTCCGGAATCAGAAGCTTGAAAGCTGCTTAGGGTTTTGAGGTAAGAGCCCACAATGATTAGCCTATCTAAAGTATATTTAGCACATTTTTTGTCAATTTCCATTCATTTGAGACACTCTTGGAACATATTTTTCCTTTTCCAAAACGTCTTCTTCAAATTACTTTGCCCTGGGGACAAAGACGTAAAAAACGAACCAAACACGTCGGGAAGATCGGTCAATTTGTTATGCGAGAAAGCAATTGAGGTCAAATTTGTGCATAATTGGATTTCCGTTGAAATGCGGCTTACAGAACAGCTCGTCACCGAGAGAAGGTTCAGCTGGGGGCACTGAATCCGAAAATTTGTTTCAAAAATTATCTACATAAAGAATACTCCAAAACGGAATAAGCTGATAAAATACGATTTTTTTTGAAAAAAACTCGTGATAAAAGTCTTGAAGGAGAAGTAGTCGGGATAGAAGAATACTGAGAAAGGCTCTTCATCCGAAGACCTTTTTGAAACTCGTCCGTGCTTCTTTGAACCACAAGCAAGCATTTTTCAACACATTCTAATCTAGTCAAAAGTTCAGAAATTCCTTTCAACTTCTATAAGAAAACAAAATCAAACAAAAAATAATTTTTTCTACTTTAAAATCCTGCAACAAAACCTTCATATATCGTTTTCCTATTTGAAACTCGATTATGATCGACATTATATTTTTCATAAAACCTGAGTTCGATGCTTTTGAGAACTCAAAACAAATGAAGTGAAATTGGAATTTTTTTATAAGAGCTGTAAATTTAAAAAAATCCTGATTCGAAATTCAATTCATTCAAAAAATTTAAAAAAAATACGTGGTGATATGAAGCTTTTTTTGGAATATGAAAAAAAGTTTTTTTCTCCAAAAATTTAGTTATTTTTTTCTTTTTTTCTGACGGCAATTTCGAAATTAAAAGAAGGAATTTTAACACGGCATAAAAAAATATTTAACAATACCTTTTTTTCTACTATAAACTTGAATTCAATAACTTGATATTTTCAACTTATAACTGATCTGAAAAATTCGAAAATTCCGATCGAACCTGACTAAAAAACGATTTTTGAAGGCTTTCATCATCAAAAGACGGATCCCGAGAGCCGTCTTTCACATGTTTCAGAGCTATCTAAATAATTTGGATCATTTTTTTTTTTATTAAACTCACTTCAAAACGTTTGTGTTCAATGACATCCGCTAATTCTGGCCAACTACTGAATGACATTCTGAACCGAAAAATAAGTTGGTTTTCCCCGCCTTGAAACCATATGACCGCACTGGGAATGGCTCAAAGCGAAACGGCTAAATTTTTAGAAAAGTTCGGAGTTGAGCCATTCCAAATGCGACCAGAGGTTTCAAAAAGTAAAGTATGAGAAAAAATTATCGAAAATGCCAATAACGCAATTGAAAAACTTAGAAACACACGAAAATTCTCAAAATTTATCAAAAAATCAACGAAAAAATGTAACAATAAGATACAATTCTAAAATCCTAAGAAAATCCGTTTATTTTACTTTCTTCTCCTCAGAATCCAATTTCAATCGTTGTAGTTGATTAGTCAGGGCGTCGCGCAGAAGAACATTCACCAGGGTGTTACTTTTATCGCAATCGTAGATCACTGGAGGGAACGGATTTCCTGGAATTGAAGGAAATAATTTTTGATCTTTTGTTTGATGCAATTATTCACGATTTGAAACGCCACGGACTGCATCAAATTTTTCTTTATTGTTCTTTTTTTCTGAGACTAAATCAAATTTTTTTTTTAGATTTTTTTTAAATTTTGGTATTTCTGAGACGCCTGAGAAGAAAGGTATTTTAGGGTTAAGTTTGAACACTCAAAATTTACTCAGACATTTTTTGAAGGTTCATCTGAATCTTCCTGGTTTTCGCTACTTTGTGTGAGTCATCTTTTTTTAAAACACGCTTTTCACTAAGAACCAGGCCTCAAGCTATTATTTCGAAGTTTTGAAAATTTTTCCCTTAAAAACTAGAGTTTTGCGCAGGTAGTCACTATCAGGTATATTACTAGAATTTTCAGAAAGTTATTTTTTTAGAAAATTTGAAATCTTCCCACTAAAACCATCTTCATTTTCAGACGAATCCTACATGCTAAAGGATGCCACCACGCGCAAGTTGTTTATGGTCGGGTGCAAAAAAAAAAAATTGAAAAGGTCAATTTTAGCTTCCACCCACGCTCTGCGACACCTCAGCCATTCAAATCATGAAAAAGCTGTAATAGACAAAAGATACCATCAATTTCCAAAACGGCAATATCGTATCGCTTCCAGACTTCCCGCTTGTTCTGAATAAATTGCTGGAGTCGTTTTTTGGGTAGTCGATAAATCGAAGTGAAAGGACCTTCTCGTTCAGCAAACCTAGGTACAATCACCTGAAAAAAGCTGATTTCAGGAGTTTACACGAAGAAAAACCTCGTTCATTTTGTCAATGAGATCTTTTTCCGGAAGCCACCATTCCATCATTTCGTTTGTATAATCATCAAGAGGGCCCCTTTCAACGCCGAGTTGGATGAGCTAAAAGATAATAAATTGAATAATCTCGTGATGTGTTATACTTTCTTACTTTTTTTTTCTATTATTATTTCTTGATTATTTATTGAATGTTCTATTATTATTATTATATCATTTCTACCTCCCGAGTAGTCAGTCTTTTATTTTCACCGACGTCAGTCAACCTTTAACAAGCTGGGCGCCGTACCATTCCTACATGGAAAGGCAGGTGATCGTCGGAATGAAAAACAAAAAAAACAAACTAAAAAACAATCAACTATAATTATACAACCCACTCTACAGGCTCGCCAAGGACTTCTTGGAGAGGACACTAAAGTGGCCACTAAACCCACCTCTATAGTGGCCACTATTTTTCGTAATAGTGACCACTTCAGTAGTTTTTCATCAAGTATTCCTTCCAGTAACTCTGATAACTTTAAAACAATCAGATTGGACCAGTTATGTTGATCCATTGACCCCTAAAGTGGCCACTAAAAATTTTAGTTGTCTAATAGTACCACTTAAACCTTTGTAGTGGCCAATAATTTTCAACCTCTTAAGTGGCCACTAACTTGACTACTATAGTGGCCACTAAAACGTCAAAACCCTATAGTAGCAACTAAAAATTTTCCCAGTTATGTTTTGAACTTACCTATTTTCGAACTGAAAAAAAAACGTTCGAAAAACTAATTTCGGACAAATTCAAGACTCGCCCTTTCCAAATAAGGTCTCGCTTCGACGGCCCGATTCCATTGCAACTCGACGCGCTCCTCACGCACTGTTCTGTTCACAATCTTCCGTAGAACCTCAAAAAATCAATATTGAAACTGTTTCCGAAAAAGGTGAACCTCAAGACGGGACCTTCTGCTGGGTTCGATCCCGCCGGTTTTCAGTTTTTGCGGAACATGACCGATTGTGACTGGAATTCGTGGTAACGAAGATAATACCCGTTGTACGGTCATCTGATCATAATATTTGAAATTTGATAGAAGAATTGAAATAAAAAAATTAAAAAAATCATGAGAAAATTACAAGTCAACAAAAAAACTGCAGTTTTTATCATTAGGTCTAAAATTAATAAATTATAAAAAAACTTTTTTTGGTTTAAAGAATCCAAATTGAGGTCAGAAAAAGTATAAAAAAAGCTTTTTTTGTTTAAAAAAACTTTGAGCAATTCAAAAAAATTTTTCCATAAATATGAGAAAAAAAGTTAACACACGGTCATAAAAACTTAAAAACACGATTTTAATTGAAGAACACTTTTTTTAACTTGAAAAAAACGATTCAATATAAATTCAGGGCAAAAAAAGCCCTCGATCGAAACCAAAAAAACCCGGTTAAAAAAACGAAACCATGTATTTCCTATTACAAGCGCGAGGAAAAAAATAAAAAGAAAGATTGGAAAGATGTAAAATCACAGAAAAACGTACAAAAAAAGAGAACGATAATCAAAATAACTAGGACCAAATAAAATGGAAAGAAAAAGACTTGTGGATTGAGCGAAAACCGGGGGATGAACTAAATTAATTTTAAAATATTTACATCAAGAATCACATTATAACCAATTTTAGAAGGGCGGAATAATAAATATTTAAATGTGACAAATTAAAAGGGATACAGGGTGTGCGGAATCAATTGCGATCAAAAGAAAAAAAGGGTACACGAAAAAAATTCAATTTTTTTGGGGGGATTAGAGAAAAAGACAATCAACAGAGATATGGAAGCTCAAAAAAGATTTTAAAAAAAGAAAAAGCTAAACATGCAAGCAATAAAACTGTTATGGGATGCAAGGAAAAAAACTAACCGTTTCGAATCAAAAAACGAGGAAAAAAAGAACAGAACGAAAACCGCATCAAGCGAAGGAAAAGGACTAATATTATCGGGGGAAAAAACCTGAAATTCGCTAAGATTCTCTAGCTACACGTAGGAAAGTTGTGACAGTGCAGAATGAACTGGATATTTTCAATAATAGAAAAAAAAACTCACTAATTTCAAAAAGTCTGTTCAAGAATCCTTCCTGGGGTGTTTTCTTGCAAGAAAAAAACTTCAAAAAAATTAATTTTCCATTAAATATTTCAATCAAAGACCACAGAAAGGATTTTCAAACCTACAAAAAAGTTCTTAGACTCACAAAATGGCATTAAAATGAGAAATGGGCACGAATTAAAAACATCGAAAACCTCGTTAAGCACTGAATAATTGAGTGTTTGAAAAAAAGAAAAAAATTTAATTGAAGTTAGAAATCGCTCAGATTTTTTTTCTGAAAGTACGGATTAAAAATTCGAAAAATATTTTCGTTTCCATAGTTGGTCTCCTTCTTCAAAAAAATGAAGCCGATAAAAAAATTTAGACCTTTTTAATAAAAAAATTTGAAAGTTTTCTAGTTTTTTTCAATTATAAAAAAAGACCTACCAAAACATAGCGCAAAATTAGAAGACTTTTCAAAGATTTTCGAAGCCGATTAGTGATCTTTCCAATTTGTGAGTGAAGGAACCAATTATTCTCTCTCAAAACAATTAGTAACATCAAGTTAAAAGGAGGTAAACGAAGAAAAAACGCAATAAAAGTGGAAATTAAACAATAAAAAAGATAAAAATGACTAAAAAGGACGTCAGATCAAAATTTGGACTCGTGACTTCGTAACATCGGGAAGGAAGGACTTCGGTCGACGCGGGGCTTCGGAAAAGTCGCCAAAAGGTTCTGGATGTCGCTGAACGAGGGCCGTTCCGTTGATTTTGCGTTGCAGCATCGAGAAATGATGTCCTGAAATGAGAAAAATTCACAGTTATTTTTAAAACCTCAGAAATGATAGTATCAGATTTCTGACAAAAATTGAAGGTTCAAAATCGGATTGGAAAACGCAAAACGAGTTTCAAAGTTAACTATATTTTTCGTATTCATTGATAAAAAATAATTCAAAGATTAAAATGAAAATTATTCTCCCTTTTAAAAGCCGTGGCCGCATTTGGAATGGCTCAAAGCGTTGCGGTCGCATGAAAACTTACATCAGACTTGAAATCTTGCAGCTAGCAATAATATTTTCCGGCAACCCATTTCTAGTCCGACGTTTTTTGGAAACAAACCGAGTCATTCCAATTGCGACCAAGAACCTCTTTCAGTCTTCCCAACAAACCTTCATATCGCGAGGAATGTCAACGTTCCGAAACGCGGCTTTCAGTCCCTGGCCGACCATCCAAAGGGTTCTTTGCCAGGGTTCCTTTTGCATGGGAAGGCTTCCCGTCACCAATTCGTACCAAATCGTTCTAAAAAAGGGATATTCGATAACCATAGAGCCTTTAAGAACTAGAAAAAATTCAAATTTTAAACGATTATTCATTTTAAAAGCTACTTGTTGATTTACTTCCGTGTTGGAAACTCAGATAAATCGAAAATAAAACAAAAAACGAGAAAAAAATTCGTATTTTTCACCGCCAAAGCGACGTAATGGAAATTGATAAAAATGCGACAGTTTCAAGTTTTTTACAAAAATTTCTTATCAAAATCCAATTTAATAGCGTTCTTTAAGGCTTGATATTGTTGGCTTAAAATGATGAATCTTCCTTTTCGACAATAATATCTAAACTGGAAGTCGTGTAGAACTCACGGAGCAATATATTTTTGAAATTATGATATTTAACTAGTTATCTGCTTGGTCATACAGTATGATAACAAGAAACATAAATTTGAAAAAAAAAAATCCAAAAATAGGGCAAAAACACTCAATTTTTGATTTCAAATATTTTTTTGAGAAATAAACGTTAAACTTCTTCCTTTTTCGTAATGAATTTGCGACATTGAACAGCCATTCCCTTTCAAAACTCACCCAAAAGAAAAGACGTCAGAACTCTCCGAAAAGGGCAATTCATCGAATTGCGGTGTGATGGCTCGGACCAACTCCGGCGCCAGGTAACTCAACCAAAACGAGGGGACCATGAAACCGTGTTGACTGGAATTTTCTGAGTGAATATTCCTTTTTTGGAGTCTTCACTCACACTTTAGGGACTCTCAGCCGTTTCATACTGAAAATGCCAAAGTCCGTGATGACTACTTTGTTTTTGCTCTCAAGGAAGACGTTTTTAGATCGAAGATCTTTATGGAGGATCTTCTTGGTGTGAAGGTAAGAGACGCCCTGGAATGATGCGTTTTTAAATTTGAAAAAAGGCTGGTTAAAAAGAAACTTCTCATTTTACGAAAGCTGAAGTTAATAAATTCTTCGCAAATAAGAGATTTCTTTGGAAAAAAATAAAAAGTTCGAGTGATTTCATTCATTTATTTTTTTCATTAGGAAACTTGAAAAAAATATGAAAAAAATTTTTGAACTCCACCTTTAAATCTGAACTCTTTCAAGTACCTCCTTTCTTATTTTTTTCTCTGTCAGTGATTTTTTTATCTAAACATTTTGTTATTAAATAATCATTTTGCTTGTGTTTCTAAGGCTTTGGCTTCCTCTTCAAGGAATGTTGTATGAAGCTGCAAAACTGAAGTCATTACTTGGAATCTAGATTTAAATAAATCAAAAATTAGCTTGAATGAATAAAAAAAACGAAAAAAATAGAGAAGGAACACCCGGTGCTTGAGGAAAAAGATTTTATATAGCTTTTCGTACTTCCCTAGAACGGTAGTAGGCCGCTTCATAAGAAAAACGTTTCCTTCTTTTTCCAGAAAAAATCAAACCTGACAAATCTGCTGGGCGATCGACAGCACGGTGGCCATGTCGATCCGTTCCCGATGTTCATGGATCAGGGAAAAAAGACTCCGCCCACGACACAAACTCATCACGATCCCGAAATTTCCATCGTCGATGCAGAAGCCGAGGAACAGTACGATGTTGTCGTGTCGAGTGTTCTGAAAATTGACTTTGAGAGGTCTTAAAACATAAATATGGGGGAGAAGTAAGTATATAACACATTCAACGATTCGCAAAATTCGCCAAACGACTTGACGAAAATATTGAGAGAAAACGTATGTTATCAAAACATTTTTTCACATGGAAATGAAGAAACATTATAATCTCGAAAAACAGAATTTAAATGTGAAACGAAACCGAAAAATTACGTTCAAAAAAGGAATTTAAGTGAAATAAAATGTGAACCTCCCTTGATTAAAACTAATTTTTTACCCCTTTTTATAATTTTTCTACTGAAACAAACCTTGTGACCGGAAACTTCGGTCTTGAACTCGTCCAGCCGTTTATTCTCCTCGATATGGTCCATATCAAGCATTTTCACAGCAACGTCGCCAAAATAATAGCCTTGCAGAACCTTTAAAAATGTCATTATCTTAAATTTCAATTGAAAAATTGAAAAACCTCTCCAAATCGACCATTGCCAATTTTCTTGTTGAGTTCAATCTTTTGAAAAGGAATCGTGACTTCGTTCCAACTGGCCTGAAAATTGGGGAAATTTATGGTTAATCCTTTTTCCAATGAAACCTGAGCATTAGGACCTCGGATGGTGCTCATATTCCAGGTGTTTCGGTCCCAATTATGGCCCGTTCTAAGATCCGGCGATTTTGAATTGGCATCACCACTGTCCGTCTGAAAATCATCTTATATTTGATTTCACAAAAAAGATAATTCAATATTTTTCTCTCCACAAATCCCGCCCTTCACTTACCCCGCTTCCAGAAGAATCCACAAGGATCAAAGTTCCTTCACTTCCCTCGCCGATCCTTCCTTCACCCGCGTCTTCGATGGCGGCCATGTCGCCCGCCGTTTCACCCGCACTGCAAAATCAAGAATTACTGGTTAGATTCTGATATTTTCAGAGGAACCTTATGACAACAGTAGGAAGGATGTTGAGTTGTTCTCCCGACGCATCGGGGAAGAAAAACTTGCGATTGTCGGTTCGATATGGAGCCGTCAAGGGATTGTAGGGACTGCTGGCCACACCTAAAAATAGAAAAACTCCAAAATAAATCTATTCTTTTTTCACTAGTCTATTAATCAAATATTCCTTTGGATATCTTTAAATTTCCGAAACAAGGATCAAAAACCTTTGAAAAAAAAAACAGATTAAGATAGTTATTATTAGAAGGAAGGTACAATTGAACCTCCCAAATAAGTAAATTCCAAAAAAGACTGGTAAGAATTTTTTACTGAATCCTGAGCAAAAAAATTGATTCATAGTTTCGAAACTTGTAAAAGGAGATCTTTGTGAAAATGAAAAAAATAAACTTCCGCAAAAAAATAATTACTACGCGAAACGATTCCAACAAAAAAATATTCATTTTTAAACTCCGATTGGTTTTTTTTTGCTTTGAATTAAGTCTGTTCAGATTCAAAATGTCAAGTCGTCGCTCAAGCTCCGCCCCTAATGATTCGATAAACCAATCAGAGAGCGAGCCATCCACAGATCATTTTCGAATGACGTCATTCTACTTGACATTCAAAATCTGAACGGACTATAGAACATTCAAATTTTCCACCCAGCTTGTAAAGTACATACGAAGCAACAAAACGCTATTTTTGAAGGTATATAATCTCGAAATCATATATATTTCTAGAATTTGGTATCGAAAATGTCTTTCTAAAGCCAAAGGTGTCATATACAGTTCTAAAGAACTGTCTTGGAAAAAAAGAAACGAGAAAAAGGTTCAAAAATCCGTCTTCATCTTGTGTTCGAAGTAATTGCAAAATTATACCTGACTCGCTAAAAATGTAGTTATATTTTTCACTCTCTGACCGCTATTTTGAATTTCTCAAAATCCAATCATGTACAAAAATTGACAAGAGCTTTTCTGATTTAGATTCGAACAAAAGGACTCGAGAACAACTCATAAAAGTGACGCCTCGAAAATATGATCGATTTTGGATCTTTTCCAATCAAATTCTCTTGCACTACAACTCGTTTCGCAAGCATAAACGAGTTATTTTCCGAAAAATGAGGTTAAAAAGAGCTCGTGTTCTCGTTCCTCCAGCAAATTTGATTTGATTGGAGCTAACCCAGAGGCAAGGCGGGGGTCGAAGGAGCGGAGCTGTTGGTGGAGGAAGACGAGTCGATGGAGGCGTCCGGGTACTGGAACGCCGTCTCGTTCATCGACCTCGAGCTGGGCAACGGCGCCGCCGACTGAGGATCTCCCCACATTCCCTGGAAAGATGAAACTCAGTGATAAATATTAGAAGGATTTTGTTAACAAGGAAGATCAATAAATTCTGCCGTTGATAACCTATAAATCGCGCAGAACAGTCTTTGATGTACCAGATGAAGATTCTGAAAGTCTCAACTCTCGAAAATTCCTAGTTTTTGAGAAAAGACACACCAAATCCTGGGGAAATGTCGAAATCCGTTAAAACAGGCTGATTTGGGGCTTTGAGCGTTAATTTCTTGAAATCAGGTTGATACTCTAAGAACTTTCTTCTCTTGATGAAAAAACAATTCTGGAATTCATAGTATTGAAAACTGTGAAGTATTAATGAAAATCAATTACTGCCTGAAACTGAGTTTTACACATCTTTTTGAGGATTTCTAGGGAAACAATGAGATTTTTTTTTATTTTTGTGTTAAAAATAGTGTTTTGGATCATAAAAATCGAGTCATCAATGGAAATTTTTCGATTTTTCTTTTGAATTTTTTTCAAAGTTTATTGTATCCGCTTTGTATTTTATTTTCAAAAGATCAAGATTTCAGCTTTTTCATTTTCATTTCATTTCATTATAAAAGATCACCAATATTTGATAAATCCCTTTAATAATTTTTTGGCAGAGAAACCTTTGACGATAAAGGAAAAAAATCCCGCAAGAAGACATATATGAAAAAAAGAGTCTCGCGAGAATTTTTCTTCCCTTCATTCATCGCGCGTCATTAGGAATTCATTTTTTTGATTAGTTCGAAACAATTTCGTTCAGTTTCTTCATTAGGACTCCCACAAAGCAACTTTCTACTATTGATACTTTCTTTTCTTGTGAAAATTTTGAGAATTCGCTAAAAAAAAATCGCCTAAAACTTTTCAAAACTGTTTCCAACGACTCTTTCCTGAATAATTTTCAAAAATCAACTCCGAAAATCTGAAATCTATCTTCAGGAAAATGACGGGAAATAATTTCCCACTGTATTACATTTTAATCTGATTTTAATCACGTTATGAAAGGAATCAAATCAAAAATGGCAAATTAAATAAATAAAACTGAAAAAAATTCTAAACAGAAAGCAGTGCAATGATAGACGTCCTCTATTGGCGGGAAAAAAGACAAACGGAAGAATTAATTAAGACGAACCCCGTTGTTCTCCTTGATGAGTTTGTCGAACAGAAATCTCAAATGTTCCGGTGTCAGGCCACAAGAATCGCCGACCCGACTTTTGCACTGCGTGTGAACTTTCCATCTCAAAATATATTCATTACTAGGCGACAAACCTTTTTTCGATTTTTTCGAGAAAGTGTTCTGAAAAAAAAATCAAGGCTATTTATTTCATCTATTCTTTTAGAACTCGAGCAAGAAAATTTCGTATTCTATTTTGAAATTCAAGTTTTGAAAATATGTTTTTGAAGAAGTTTTTGAACTTCCCATTTTGAAATATAATCATTATCGAACAAAATTCACTTTTTGGGAGCTCTCAAAAAAAGAAAAAAAGAGCACTCAGATTTCAAAAAGTGAATGACGTTCCTTTTTCAACTTTGTTTCAAAAATGGAATCTTATCCCTTTATTCCAGTGGATAAAACCTGATCCGAAAAGAAAATTCATTTCGTACTAAAGTTAAACATTTGAAAATACACTTTTTGCAAAATGCTTGTAGCGGTCCAAAACAAAGTTTAAACCCATAAAAAAATTAAAATCAAAGTTTTTTTAAATTGGTGCCTTAATTACTAAAAAAATAAATAAAACCAGCCATTTTTTTATAAAAATTATTTTAACGCTTTTTCATCTTTTCATCACCTTTTCAAGCATGCTGATTTTTTTACTTCTAGTTTTTCCGCGTCAAAAAATGAATAACTATACCTGCAAGACCGACACTTCTCCCACGCGTTCAAGAACCCGAATCCCAGCGGACGTTGACAAAAATGACAAACTGAATAGGATCACTCATTTTGAAACGTTTTCCGATTCAAGTACCTGCGTCTCCACTGAATCGGAACTTTGTCGACCGATGCCATTTGTGCGGAATCGCATGTACGAGACGTGTCGTTTTCGGGGATTTTGGCGCTGTTATCGTGGAACCTGCCAATTATATACTCTTTATGAGAATTATCTATTTACTTTCAGAGGAAAAAAACAATCTAAATCGAAAAATTTTACAGTGAAAAACCCTTTTTATTTTACGTTAAAATTATCTAGATGTTCAAAAAACTTTTCCTAAAAAAACAGTACTCGGTACACTTAGAGAATAACAATTTTTTTCCAATGACAATGAAATTTAAAAAAATTTTTTTATTGTGTGAAGAGTCATCTCATCACAGCAAGAAAAAAAAATACTACTTGATTTCACCTTGAAACGGGGGACCAAAAAGAACTCTGAAAATCGCAGAAAGATAATTTTTTTATCTCGTACTCAAGAAAAAAACTCTGATAACTTTGCAATAAAGCTTTGAAAAGGTTTGAAGAAAATTATTTTTCCAAACTTTTGAAGCAGAAAGATGAAATTTAGAGTCAGTCCCTTTTCTCGTGCAAAAAAATTATCTCAAATATGACCAAACTTCACTTCAAGGTCTATGTTTTTCGCAGCCTTTTTTTTGCAGTTTTTTAGAGCAGAAATGCATGAAAAGCTGTGGTAAGGGAAGCTTTCTTTCCTGATGTGCTTTTAAAACGTGACCGTTTCGCGCCAGCTTGTCCCTTTTTTTTGTGGAAAAATACCATATACCAATTTGACTAAAATTCGCTTCGAGACCTTTTTCGAGACCTTTTTATTAGTTTTTTCGTAAAGCAGAAGCCCCAAAAAGAGTTTTTACGAAACCTTTTTCCTGCTGTCCTTGTGAAACGTGACCTTCTGGTGCGGAAAACTGCGAAAAAACCGTGGAAAAGTTTCAAGTTTATCTGTTCAAAACTATTTAAGCCATCACAACTTTAATAACATTGGGAGGCTCTATTGAGCTCAAAAAAACCTAGAATTCTACATTTGCACTGTGTAAAATCTAATAAAAACGCTAAAACGCTCAGAAAACGAATGACTCACCAAACTGCATGCTGGTGGAGTGGACGACCCTCGTGGAAACGCTCAAAGAAGGCGTCGACTGGGCGCTGGCCGACCCGGGCGACGGCGGGGAAAGCGTCGTTGAACACATGGCGAGGCTGGTTCCACTCGTCGAAGACGTCGACAGAAGAGACGTCGATCCACTCGCCGCGCTGAGGAAAACACGTGAAACTACTCCCATGCTGATGGGGGCTGAATAGACGTGCTAACGCGGGCTCTCAGCGGGTATGCCCGTATTAAACCCGAATAAGCATAGCTAGTAGAATTTTTGGCATTGGTAACCACGGATTAGAAACCGCTTTAGCACTGGGTCTCATTATTTCGAAATAAACACAGTTGGGACATCTTTGACTTCTTGAACCCGTTTTTCTCCCGGTTCAGCCCGAATCTGACTCAAGTGGTCTTAAAAAAGCACGGGTACACCCTGAATACTTACAAAAATATCAATAATTTATTTTTTTCTTATTCTCGGAAAAAATTTCTCATCTGGATTAACCCACTTTTTATTAACTCCGTAACGATGATGAAATATCCAAAAAAATCATCCTATTAATATTCAATATCGTTGGAAACCGTAGAGTTGTTTATTTCATTAATTTCGGAGAAAAAGAGTTAAGAAAAAATAAAATGAGTTCCTCACCATCCGGGTGTAAAATAGCTAAAAACCACCGGGAAAATTATCAAAATAGTGATTTTATAACTCTCTCCTATCAAGTGCGCTCTAGCGAACAACCTTTCAATAGAGCGCAGTTTCCAGTTATCGAGGGTATCAATTTTTTTTTGGCCTGAAAAAATCAAGAGAGAAATAAATTAGGACTTGTAATATTGCAAAATGAAACAAAAAATTTGAGTTTCAACAGAATCCATTAAAAAAACTAATAATTATTGTTTTTTTAAGGTACTGCTCGTTTTTTTAATACCTTGAAGGCGTTTCTGAACAACGAGAAGGGCCAGGCACATCGAAATGATTCGAATCGACAAGATCGACAGACGAAGTTCCTGGCCTAAAAATTCATTTGAGACGTCTAAAAAAAAAACGAAGACTTAGCAAACTCTTATCGTTTCAAAAAAGAATGAGGAGGTTTAAAAGTTAGTCTGAAACGGGAAAGTCATGGAAAAAACAAAAATGGATAGATGCATTCGTGCCATGCTCAAAGTAAGTCAGGAGTTTTCCAAAATTGCACGTTTTTCGTTGAAAATAGGCGAAATTAGTAATCCGAAAGAAAAATGGGTCCTAGAACGATATATCTCGATATGAAACCTTTTACGGTGACCTTCAAGCGCAAACTTGACTTTTTCGTTCAAAATTCCCCATTCAAAATTTGAAAATTTGTTTAAAAAGTTTAAAAATTGGTGTTCGCGCAAAAAGTCACTGTTAAAAGTTACTTATCGCGATATATCGTTGGAGAACCCTTTTTTAACAGCTCGCGGAATTCTGATTTTTGGGTATTTTGCAAAATCTCCTTGAAAAAGAGCATCAAGAAAATTTCGATCATGTCAAAACTTTAAAAATCCAAAAATTGGAGATTGGTAATGATTATAAAAAGATTTTTAAGACAAGAAACTGCAAACTGAAACCAGGAAAAAAATTAGTTTAAGACCAAAAAAATATACTACAAAAAAATCCTTGGGAAAAATGTTCAAGTTACTAAAAAAATGGTCAAAAAAGTTCAAGAAATCTTCTGATTTCAACAAAAAAACAGGATTTTAATGACAAGCATCAAAAAAATATTGAAAGGTCACAAAAAAATATTAGAAAAAAATATTGAAAAATTCAAACCTTCTCTCCACGACAACTCGTTCAGATGGAGGACTCGCCGAGCTGCTTTTTCCTTTCATCCAAAGTCATTTTCTCTGAAAATAAATAATCAGAAATATTTTTTTGGTCATGAAAATGGTATTAACTGGAAATTGAAGGCGATCCGAAAGACCAAGACAAATCCTTGCTTTTCAGTGTATCTTGCCTTCCGCCTGAAATAATTATAAAATTTATGAGAGAAAAAAATAAATGAAGGAAATGATTTTTTTAAATTTTTTTGACTTCTCAATACTTTTTCGCTAAAATTTCCCTTAGGTGGAAATAAAAAAATAAATTCAGAAGTAAACATTGAAAAAAATGCTCAATGAAATTATACCTACTTCAAGTATTCACACGCACAAACGAATGAAATAACAACAAACTATTGAATTTCAGGATATTATGCTGAAGGTTGAAACAGTAATCACCTTGAACGGACTGATATTGCTTGGCTAATAACGCCGAAGATTTGAGCAGCCGCCGTTTGGCTTCAGGCGAAAACCGGCCGCGGTCGGCCAGAGAACGCAACTGAAATTATTTGTTTGGAAAAATATGTAATATTCTTTGTTATTTTCCAGAGAAGAAGTTATTTAGTCGTTCATTAATATTATTCGGTCAGAAAAATTTTAAATCGAACAATGAAAAAAAGGATACTGATAAGCTGCAACCTAGAAAAAAACCTTGGGATTGAAAAAAATCTAATGTTTTAAAAATTCGTGAGAAAATTCCGTATAACCTGCCCAAAAATATTTTTTTATTACAGAACAGTTTTGAAAACAAAAAAGTTCAGTTCCAAAAAAATCTTTCTTACTTTTTCACAATATAAGATCTTTGAATCAGAAAAAAAGTCCTGAAGGAACTAGAATTTCTTATTTTGAAAAAAATAATCAAAAGAAAGACGTAATCGGGAACAATAGAATCATAGTAATCTTCCAGACAATTGACGTTTTCTAGAGTAATCCGTAGATTTTTTTAAGAAATTCTATATGTCGAACGATTTATCTAAAGAAAAATTCCAATGTTCACAACGACTTTGAATATCACATATTTTCTATGAAAATAGGTAGGATGACTTCCGGAAAACATGAATTTACTGTTGCAAATTTTGATGAAATTCTAAAAATTTAGACAAAACGCTATTATGTGAATAATTTTGCTATTTTGTTGGTTTTGAGTTTTTTGTATAACTTTCCTTCATTTTAAACTGCAAGCTTGTCAAAACTACTGATAAAAATCTTTCTACAAAACTTTATATGCTTTTAAACTTGTTAATTTTCTCAAAAACTAGTCCTTTACATGCTGAATTACAAAAGACATCCAAATTTTTTCGAGAAAATGATCGATACTTCTTGCTGTGAGTGGGTGAGAAGCTTCTGGACGTCGACGACGCCGCAAATCTCCAGATGACGAGTGTTCAACGACGTCAGGCCGAGAAGGGCGAACCAATCGCTCAGGATTTTCTTCTGGCGCTTGTAACTCACGTTCAGCTGCACCAACGTCACCAGGGCGCGCACAACTTTCGACTGAAAACAAAAATAGTTTCGAAAAAAAAAATGGAAGGTGAGGCTTTTCGAAGAAAACAATATACCTCTGTTTAAAAATATAATAATTTACCAACTTTTTCCAAAAAAAAATACTTTTCTGAGAAAAATCTAGTGAGGAATTTTAACAAAAAAGTTTCTTCAAAGAATTATCAAGCTTTAGAGTTTAAATAGAGTTTTTTTAAGTTCAAAATTAAATTTAAATAAATCATTAAGATGCTTTGAAAACCACAGAAAAAATCAATGAAAAGAAAAAAACCTCGGCATCGACGATTTCAACGGCGGTCAGACGCGACTTGTCGGAGAGCAGCAACAACAACGAATCCAACGAGTTCACGCATTTTCTGGTGATTTCGTCTTCTTCTTCGCTCTCCGAGGTACTCGCGATCGTTTCTCTGGTCATCTGAAAGCAGATTGGACGGTGCAAAAATAAAAATAAAAACATTCATAATTTTTTTAAGTTTATAAACTTTTTTGAAAGCGCAAAAGTCGATAAATCTAAAATGAAACTGAAAGCGAAAATCTTCGTAAAAAACATCAAGAAAAATCCACAAGAACCTTCAAATATATAGTGAAAACTTTTAAGAGATTATTAACCGATATATAAACTCGCAAAAAGAAAATTGGTTCGAAGTAAAAAATATCCTCAAAAACCGAACTCGTAATTTACAAGATATATATTGTAAACGGAACTTGAATATTCTATTTAGCTTGAGATCATGAAAACGCAACTATCGTACTCGAAAAAGCTTTGAGTAATCGCGAAAAAAATGAAGCTACAAATAGACCATTGTTTTTCAAATGGTACGAAGCTAGTGGATTAGACGAGTGTCCATAGGAAAAAAAAGCTTTCTTTGAAATGGAATTAACCGAAGATCAGTAGAAATGGAAATAAAACTACATATGGTTTTTTTCAAGAATGAATTATTTCGAAAAAGCCAAAAACGAGAAACTCATTAAAAACGAAAAAATTCCAACCGTTTTCCGAGTTGAAAATATTTTTAGCCAAAACAAAATGACAAATTACGGTTTCTAAATTATTCATAGAATGCGACGGCGGCTTATCGATTTAGCTGGATCTTCCATACGACACACAAGATGAGAAGTCAACTCAATAACAAAAGAAAATGAAAAACTAAAAATGAGCGACGTTCACGTTTTTTTATTTATTTTTTTCTCCTGCGAGAATAGATCAAAAGAGAAAAATAAAACGAACTGCTTGGCGAGTTCCGACCGAAAGCTACTGCGTCGATGTGGTGTGCTTTCAAGTCGGATATTCAAACATTGCGAACGCCGAAACCAAAACCCGAGAAAACACACGGCTAGAAAATGAAAATGAATAACTCGAGTTAGAGGGTCTCGACGCGGCGACAAAAACCTAAAGAACATCTTGGCATTTAACAAAAAAAAAAGACAGAAATGGAGAAAACATGTGTGGGGTTCATAATATAAATGAGAGAGACGAGAGACGATTAAGAGGCCCAGTCGTGAGCGCAGGGATGTCCTCTTCTTTCTTTTTTTCGCTCGCTGGGAGGCGTGCTCCAGCTTGCACCTGCCGCATGAAATTTTTGCAATTTCAGCACGACTGAACCAACCGACTTGATGCTATAGATTTGAAAAATCAAAGTTTCGCCTTACTGATTTGAGCTCATGACTTCTCAAAATTTTCATAAAAGCTTCTCTGGATTCGACAAAAAACGTTCAAATTTTTTAACAGCGTTCCAGCTGGAAAAAAAAATAAACCGAGTTGAAGACGTTCACTTCCCAAATTTTATTACAAAAAATTTTTTGGGAATTATTAATTTGTTTTTTATTTCCAAGTCAACTTCGATCATCACTGAAGTTTTCTGATACAGGAAACGGAAAACTAGAAGGTTAGGTCTAACAAATGGAGTATGATGAAACTAGAAAATCATTCAAAATTTAGAATCACGAATTTTTGAAGGTGCAAAAATTTCACAACAATTTTTGCGCGTGGTTTGTAATGCATCGCGTGCATCTGTGTTTGCATCCAAAACCATGCAAATTACGATCAATCAGTTGAGACGCAAAAAGGCGTGGTCTGTCTGCACTCTCCACCAACCACACTAAGAATAACTGACGAGATAAACGCGAGGTCGGTGGCGGTACATTGACGAACTCGCAAAAATGTCGCTTTTTTCTAGGCGCGATCTCGCATTTGTCTCGGCGCGACCTCGCATTTTTCTCGGCGCCATCTCGCATTTATCTTGCATTTCGGAAATTTTCAAATTGCGAGAGAAATGCGAGCTCGCGCCTAGAAAAATGCGAGCTCGCGCCCAGAAAAATGCGAGACCGGCGCGAGAAAAAAAGCGAGATATTTGCGAGCTCGTCAACGTACCGCCAGTGTCTCGCGTTTATCTCGGCAGTTATTCTTAGTGCAGGCACTGTCTCGTCTCTTTTCGTGGCAGGACCCTTTTTTCTGGCTCAAACCAGCCGAGAATCAGCTATATGTTCTTCTTTTTTGACTCTGTTATTCAGAGTAATTTCCGACTTCTGCTGTTTTAAAAATCTAGGCAAGGATTTTTGAACAGCTACTCCATTAACACTGTGTCAAGACTGTTATAAATGTAACTTTATTGAGATGACTCTTTTCTATCCATAGTAGTTATAATTAATCGCTTTTTCCAGTATTTTTTTTTTTTGAGGATAAAGCTGATCATCCCTCAAACTATATACGGTCCACTCCGAGGACTTCAACACAACAGTAAGAGATGACGTAATTGCCTGGCGGCGAAAATAGTTAACGATGAGTTCACGCATGAGGAAAAGCGAAGCTTTCAGGACAATTAGGGATGTTTCTGTGCGACTTGGGCGAGGTGGCGGACCGGACTCCCCTTTCGTTTCCTCCGCCGGTCGACGGTAAACGACTCGACGCACGTCTTCCTCACCCAAAACTTCTGCGGAAAATCCGCTCCGCTCGCGACCTTCGAGAGCTAGGCGGATCAGTCGCTCAGCTGTCGCAATCCCGGCACGCCGACAATTGACGAAGGTCACACTCCGCCCTTCTAATTCTTCTTCTTGTTCGACTTCTTCTGAATCGTCCAACTTCCTCGGCTCCGCTGCTGATGCGGCTTGTTATTTTGCTCAGTTTTCTACTGGTAAGAACTTTTGTTTTCAGATAAGCTTCTTCTCTTCATTTAAGAGTTTTTGTAAAATCTGGCAGTTAACTTTTCGCAAACTGATTTCTGCACTCTTCCGTTAGAAGAATTTTTATTAAATGATACACTCGATTCGCATTATTTGAAACGTTCTGGTCGCATGTAGAATGGCATACTTTGCGATCATGTAGCGAACCGAGTTGAAACTTCAAATCCTTGACGTGTATGCCAAATGGTGCCGGCATTTTCAAGTCGTTTTTTTGTCAGATGTACTTTTTAAAACGGATACGAATTCAGCCATTCTCTCTGCGACCATCATGATTCAAGTCACAACAATTTTGAATAACTTATTTGAACTTTTGGTGGTTATAAGTTTATGAAACTGCTGTTCATTTGAGTTCTGCTTTTTCTGAAAAAATCTTGTTTTTTTTTCTGAGTTTCTGCATTATTTTTCTTCTGCACTGCAAAGCTCCTCGGAAATGAAAAATTTGGAATTCTATGAAAACTAAACGAACATTATGAACTTATTCAAACTATTTCTCACTGGTCAGATTTTTATTTAGTTAATTTTTTTCTGCGATTATTGTTTATCTTATGAATGAGATGGTTCACAACTTGAGCTAAATCCTTGAAATTAAACTTTTCAAAAAAATTTTTTTATTATGTAATTCGAATCTACCGCCGAGTTTTCGACTGCAAAAACTTGTTTCATCAAACCTATAATATAAATTTTTTTCGAACTTTTTTTCGTTGATATTTTATTATGTACCTTCGTACTTTTACTTTTAAATTTCAAGTTGAAACCTTTTTTTTTACTCTCGTAAGGACCAGAAACACTGTTTCCACTCGGAAAAAAGAAAAAATTGTAAGTCTTTAGCTTTTTTTGTATGAAACTCGGCGGTTGGCCCCGATCGTCTCAAATTACCGTTCCAAATGCCTTTCACTGGGTCATGTCAACGTAATTGTCGCCTCCTCAACTGAATCGAAAACGTTCCTCAAGTTGAAGTTCCCTGTAAACTTTCTTCAAGCAAAAATCAACTTTAAAACTTGAAATTTAAAAATTTTGTAGTTTTCAGAGACTCATTGGCGCCGAGTTGCTCAAAGGTGGGTTAACCAGAATCATAATGAAAAATAATAATTTTATTCAGAGAAGTCGGTTTCGTGTTCTGCCTCAACCATTGATGTCACTTTCACATTTGATTCCCAGTTTTCTGGGAGTATCTTTACTGAAAAAGGATTTTCTAGTTCAGCATGCAGGTTTGAAAAAAGGGTACTAACTTTTTCGAGAAAAGTTATTTTCTAGGTGGAAAGGCCAGGGGGCGAAAAGCATGACGGTGAAAATACCCATGTTGAATTCGACGCAATGCGGAGTTCAGACTAATCAGGTGGGATACTTGATTTTTGGTAACTTGGAAGTTTATGGCCGCATGTGGAATGGCTAGGTGTGGGTAACGGTTGCGAAGTGGTAACCGTAAAGGATAATTTCAGCCCTGAAAAGGCTTATCAAACATTTTCGATTCAATTTTTTGATTCAAAGATTAAACCGCAGATCTTTGAGCCATTCCAGGTGCGGCCATGAAGTTTCAGGTAAATCCTCTTTTTTAATTTGAGTAGCGCTCTGAAGAAATGAATTTCCTCGGACTTTAGAAGCAAGGTCGATTTCAAACATTTTAAAGTCGTCTTCATGAAACGTTTTTTTTTTAAATTTTTCACTTTAAAAGCTCTAACAAAATTTTAAAGTCGTATAATTCCAGACCAGCGGCGCCTACTCGGTAAAACTAATCGTGAGCCCCGTAGAAGGCCTCATCGTAGATGGATTCACGGCAGTCAGTGTCCGATGTCTTTATTCGACTCAAGACATCACATTGACCCTTCCTCCAGGTCCGAATGGCACTTCTGGGCTTCAGGTATGTCTAAATACTCTAAAAAGTCCCATTTATAAACAGTAAATATGAACTTTCTAGACAAAACAAGCTTGTATTTGCAACTTATCCTTCAAATCACACACTATTTTTATTCGTAAAATATTTCAAAAAGACGATCGACGCTCCAAATTACTCCTTTTTTGGAAGTAGTTGAAAACTTTTTCCACACAAATCCCTTACATAAACTCTCTTTTTCAATGAAAATTGGGGTCTTCAATCCAGAAATTCCCACGTTACCTTTCTTGAGAACTTCAGCCAGACTTATAACTCCATGTTTCCATGAAGTTTATTCAGAACTAAGAAATCAAAAAAGACGTGCACATAAAACAAAATAAGAATGAACCAACCTCAAAAAAATGAAAACTATCATCTGAACCACTTTCCTTTTTGAGATCCTGGGCAACCAGCAGAACGACGAGAGCGTCGTCACAGGCACCGGAGGATCTCCTTCGTTGACCATGCAGATTCTCGACGGACACGGAGTCGATGGCGCGCCGCTTTCTCGGGCCGCCGTCGGCCAGAGAATCACTCTTGATATCGTTCTCAAGAATACAGGTCAGTAAAAAAAAACCTTTTTTTCGAAAAATAAACTAAAAATATTGGGAGACTGCAGTAAAAAGTGGAGAGTCGTTGATTAATTTAGAAAGTCAAAATTTCCAATCTCGTCTCAATTTAATACTGACATCCGAGAGATTCAAGTGGCCTCTTGAACAGTTTTATTCTTAAGCGCTTCAATCCTTCCGTAAGTAGTCACTTAAGTGGATCATCAAGCTCAGAATTTACTTTTTCTGTTGAATAAATCAACTTTTAGCTTCTTTTTGCCTTTTTAGAGCCTTGACCCACCCTTGAAACTAGTTCAAGGTCTGAAGTGATCTCAAACGAATTTTAAAAAAAGTTAGAAAGACTAATTTAACTTCAAAAAAATTTTTTTCCAGCGATCTACGACTTCTACGTTCACTCCTGCTACGCTCACGACGGCAGTAACACTCCAGACGCCTCTATCAACATTATCGACTCCAATGGGTTCGTTTTAACATTTTTTCAAATTAAGTATTGGCTCTCAGAAACTCAGAAACATCATTGGACTTTTGAAAATTTCGCTCATTTCATAAGAAAGGTGATCTTGCTCTTTTAAACGCCAGTAAATCCTTGAAACTTTTCGCAACGATCTGCTCAACTCCTATTTGTCGAAAAAAAAAACTCTTGGTCAAAGAAAACCATTAAAGACTGAAAAAAGGTCCTTCAAGGGTTACTTCAAAAACACTAAAGTGGCCCCTAAAACCACCTCTATTGAAGCCAATATTTTGTGTCTTTATGGCCACTTAAGAGGTCCCTCAAGGGCTACTTTGAAAGAACACTAAAGTGTCCACTAAACCACTTCTATAGAAGCCACTATTTTGCGTTTTTATGGCCACTACTAAACCACCAAAGTGTTTTTAGCGATCTAGTAGTACCACTAGACTTCTGAAGAGTCATAGACCACTAAAAGGACCACTAAAACGTTAAAATCCCAAAGTGACCGCGAAAATCCCCCCTTATCTGAGCCTTTTATTCAAAAAAGCAGCCTGCGCTGAGAAATCAACAAAAAGCGTGGGAAAGCACTTTGACCGACGGCCACGAGGTTCCGATCGGATCTGATGTGATCAGCAGACAACAGGCCGTCGATCACAAACAATTTCTTTTCTTCCAGGTGCGGCGTCCGTTTGTCGCGAGCCGTCGATGTGCCCGTTCTTTCGAACCAGCCGACCGGCGTCTCTGATGCCAAACACGTGTTCCTCTACATGTCAGTTGACAGCCTTACCTTACCTTTTGATCGGTCATAGGATTATCAAGTGTGTTTTTCATAGGTGCTAAAGTTCTTCAGAGCGGAAAACAAGGTTCAAGATTTTGAAACTAAAATTGATATCCGACCTTTTTGCGTTTTTTTACAGATTCGAAGGATAGAAGGTTTTGCAGGTTCTTAAATTATTTTTTTTCAGATTTTTTTTTTCAGATTTCCCAAAATTTTCTAAAATGCCCTTTTATACTGACTCAACTGTTTCATAAATTAAATGTCTGAAAAAAATTTTCTATTTTTTTAAACTCTATGAAAAAAATGTTAGATTGAAATTTTTCAAAGCAAGAATTTTTCAAGTTAGAAGCTCAAAAGTCACTTAAAAAAATCACAAAATTCGCTTCTCTTTTTTCTCGAATACGCTGAAATCTCGATGCTACGATCTCTACGCATTCATTGAGTTTTCAAATTTTGAATGGAACATTAAAAAATGGCGAAAAATCTTATAACCTTGAAATTGCCAAAGAAAGGTCGCAAAGCCGTTTTTTGTCCCGAAAAGTGGTCTGAACTCAGTTTAGCAACCGAAAAAAATTCCAGTTCTCTTTTTAAATGCACCCCCTTGACTCTTGTTTCTCTTCAGGTACGGATTCCAGTTCACTTCCAACAACTTTGTGCACTTTGAGTGCCAAGTGAGGCCCTGCGTGCACTCTTGTCATCGCCAGGTCAGCCGCTCTTTCTTTTCTCTTTTCCTTGAGTCCACGGAACAACGTGCAAAACGATCGGTTGTATGGCAATTGTTCTCTGGACTCACCTTTGGGTCCCAGTGAAGAAAGAAGCAACTTCCAGAAATTTTCATTATTTTTTCTATCGGATTAAGTTACTATTGTTCACTAAAAAAACTATTTTTTTTCATGATGATAAGCCTTGCAGAGGCGCAAGACTGTATTTATTAAAAATATAGTTTGAATAAAGGAAGTTTTGAAACTATTTTTCCCAAATCCTTCTTGCTTGGTTTTCCATGATTCAACTTCCAAAAAGCATTTCAAAAAAATAAATATAAGAATTGAATTCATTCAAAGACTTTTTTTTATAAACTTTTATTTATAGCGATATAACTTTAATGAGAAAAATCATCGAATTAGGAAATAAATACAATCAGAAAAAAAGCCTTACTCGAAACAGTAAAATGAAAGGAACTGCAGCAATGCGAGCCGGACGATGAAGCTGAGAAGGTGCCGCTGATCCCGGCTCTTCGGAAACGACGCGACGAACGGAAATTAGCGACTCTTCACCTGCAAACTGTGCTGGAAATTGAGCCACAGTCCGCCTCTAAAGCCGCCTTGGGTGAGGATTCTTTTGAATTCATTTACTGGTAGTGAAAAAGATGAATAAGTCAGTTGAAATTTTTATTTGAAACCATTATCCGGTTGACTAAAAGAAAAATTGGGCTCAGAAAGGGACTTTTTTTCGATCGGTATTCCTCATAATCAATAAAAAAATTTTTTTACGAGAGGATTTTTTTCAAACTTTCTTTTCACAACTGAATTTCTTTCGGAATTTTTATTGACGGGGTTTTTTTCTTTTTTTCACGGTTCATTATTGCCTTTAAAAAAAGCTTCGAAATATTTATATGAGGTATATTTTCCGTTTCCGAAAAAAATTTCTAACAATTGATCTTTTTTTCAATGAAATTTTGGCTTTAAAATCATGTTTAAAAAAATAGAAAATCATCTTACCCTCCAAGTTCGTTAGAAAGAACTTAGAAAGTTCGCTTATCACATGAAAATTTATCATGAGCTCACAACTTCATAACATTATCAAGTTACAGTTTGGGAAGGCCCCGACCCCGAATCTTCGTGTCTTTCCGCGACTTCCCTCGGATTCGCCGCAGTTCTTTTATGTCTTTCAACAGCTTCCATTGTCTGTCTTCTCCACTCAAAACGACGATATTTCTGCTTCTCATGATGCAAAAGTCTTTCCCAAACCTTTCTTTCATCTTTTCCTAGGTACAACTAAAGTTTAGGAAAAATATTGACAAAAGCCTCCATTTCGAACTTTTTAGTTCTATGCTATTTCATATTTTTGTTGTTATTTTATTTTGTGTGTCTTGTGCTTCTTCCCGGATAAACATGCGCTCTCGAGTTGGTTCGGATCAATAAACAAGTTCGATCCTTCATGCAAAATGTGTGAAAAACAAATAAAAGTTCATCTTGATCAGGTTCCTTATTTCTTTTTTATTTACATGCTGCATTTTCTGTTCAGAAATTGAGATGAACCTTTTTTTTCGAAACAAGAGTATGAATCATCGCGAAATCGCAAAAAAAGAGATCAGATAAACAAAAAGATGTTTGCTGTTGAACGATGAGCTTTATCTAGTGGAATCATTCTCATTCTAACTCTTTTTTTGTAGAGAAAGTAAAATTTCGAAAAAAACCGAGAACTTCAAAAAAAGACCTACAGTTTCATGAATTTCTTAAACTGCGTGAAAATAGAAGAAACGCGATTCTTGACGCTAATTCAACCGGACTGCTAATTTGGCGCTTGCCGTATTCAACTGTCAAAGTCTACAGCCAAAATACTTTTTTTTGACTCTCCAAGGTTTATTTGAAAGAAAATCATATTGACTTTATCAGAAAGACCTGCTGATACTTCCAATTTAAAACTTTTTTCGGAAAATTCAGTTTTCGTCTTGTAAAAGTCTTCAAAGTCCCAGTGATAAGCGAAGACACAAATTCAAGACGTGCAGATTGATCCGGGAACCTTGGCACGACTGCAGACCTTTTTAAAACTCTCAAAAGTTCCGAATCCAAGAAAAAACCATGCCAAATTCAAGTAGAAGACGTGCTGATCTTTAAAAAATAACAATTCTTATAGAAAACGTGTTTTTTCGGCGCGAAATAACCTTGAAGCTTTCAAAGTTTCCTTCCGTTTAATGTCTTCATTTTCGTTTCCTGCTCTCAAACAAGGATTTCACCTAGACCTTCCAGCCGGTGCTCCAGCTACAACATCCACTACATTCTGAGTTCGTCAAGGCGCAACTAGATGAACTCCGCTCAGTAGAACAAGGACCGTGAGACCATGCTTTCTTTTAACTGCATCAGTGTACGTCTGGACTTCGGCCAAAGGCGGATCTTCATTATGGCTCAAAAAGATCTTGTTTACCCCTAGTAGAAAAAAAAACGACTTGAAAAACCAACCAAATGATGATTTATTGGTTGACGGACCAACAAGAAAGCTTCTCCATATCAAAACAAAAAAAATTATCTTTCTCAAAAAGGTGCCTCCAAGACAAAACCCTATCAATATCGAGTACAAGACGTGCCGGTTGGAGCGTCCTTACGTGCGGATCGTGAAGAGGCCTTGTAGATCAGCTGACTGGCTGCAGAGCCGGAGGGAGACAAGCGCGAGGTGTGCACTCGCTGACCGCGGCGGCTCCACTTGTGACCCAAGGTCCGCCTCCTTTTGGTGATCGTCCACGGAACACATCCAACCCCATTGAATCCTCTTGTACTGGTGGCGCTCTTTGGCTCCACTAATAATTTGACAAAAAAAAGTTCGCAACCACGTCGGTCCTCACGAAAACCCAGAGCCTCGGCTCCATGCTCGTCTCCCATCGCCATGACTTCTCCGACGACGAGCAGCGCCGTCTTCAGGTCGGTCTCAGATTCCAGCTTATTACCATTCTATTGATTCGATTCCGTTCATCTTCTTCCTATGAATAAGAACAACTCCTTACTTGTTGTTCAATGAACTGAAAAAATTGCCGGGTTCTCTCAAAATTTCAAGCCAAGTAAAGTTCACTCCGATACTCTCAAAATGTCCCTGGCTTCTTGAATTAGATCTTACGGCGTTTAAGAACAAAAATCCTATAACCCTTAAACCACAGTGAAACTTAAGAAAACTCTTTTTCTAGAGAAGAGTAAATTTCTATTAAAACTCCAAGAGCAACTTTAACGTATTATGTTCCTTGTAAAGTTCGTACAATTCATTCTAAGAATAAGGGTAGTGGAAGGAAAATTTTCCAGATTCTATCAAAATCTCAAAAGAAGTAAAATCTCAATAGGATTTCTCGAAAAGTCCTTTTTTTAAAAAAATTCCAGATGTTTTTTCTTCAAAATTCAAATAATTTTCAAGGATCAATTAATTCGAACTGTGTCAGGCGAAATTTTTCATGGATTCCTTTTTCTGTAGTGAGCTTGCTCCGTACAAAAACCTAGGCAAACATGGCGCTTTCAACCTCTCAAGTGCGCGCTATAGATAAATTGCTTTTTTTTGAAGCGCTTTTGAAATTGAATTAATCTTTTTTTTTTGTTTGATAAGCATTCAAACATATGAAATCTGATGTAATCTAGAGAAATTCAAGAGATCAACATTTATTTATTTTGACTAAACTTATTAATTACCCAGGCCTTTTCTCTTTTCCGAAACTGCTCACGTATCGATTCATCGATCTCTTGTTTTTGTCGCCATCATATATTTTCGCGAGAGAACGGCTCTCGAGAAAAGAAGAAAAAACGAGGAGCTCAGCTGATCGGCCGCCGGCGCAGATATCCCTGTTCCGCCGTTCTTTGAACCCCCAAGTCGGCGCTATTTTCAGCGGCTCTTTTTTTTTGAAAATCTCGAAACGAAGAGCAAATAAACAAAGCACAATCTCAGGCCGATATCTTCAAAAAATCATAGATTGTATAGAGAAGTTTTATGGAAATTTCATCCCCAAAAAAACGGCCTTTTTTCTGACCATTCAGTCATTGCAAAAAACTTTTTTCAATCAGGAAATTTATGGGTTTTTCTCATTGAAGAAGTGACTACCGGCCCTTTAAAAAAATTTATATTTTACTAAATTTTTTTGAGGAATACTGTTTCTAAGCTTTTTTTTCAGCTTCACTATCCTTCTGCTTCCAAAATAACGATTTTTTCTCAGTATTCAACATAAACTTAATGGTAAACGGGAAACCTTAACTCACAGTTTCACATATTTGAATAAAAATTACACATTTCTTGCAAAAAATGTTCAACATGGATTCTGTAAATCTATCTCCAAGCTTAAGATTTCAAATTACAAAAAAAGCGTACAAAAATTGATTTACCTACTGAGAAACTATTTTAACTTCAGACGTTTTAAAAGCCCCCTAGTTGAAAAAACGTTCTATAGCTCACTCGTAGATCTATTTTATAAATGTGAGAGCCTAATTGAACTATCAGAACTTTCAAAAAACCTTCATTTCTTCACCGAAGAGCCTATTTTATCTATTCAGACCTCCACAAAAATCGCTTGAAAACTATAAATATTACAGAGACAGCTGGCCGACAAGATCACCAACTACGCGGCGATCGACGAGATCAGAACGTTGCTCGTCTGCGGCGCTCAGGTTGGTTCCCAATCAAGAAAGAAAACAGAACGAAAAGCTTATCACGTGCTCTCTTTCGCCATTATTTACCAACAATCGGTTTGGTTCGTTTGTTGTTTGGGAGGCCAGCGCCGGTAGCCGCACGAAACTGAACGAAAAGCAGAAAAAAGCGCATCCACTCGTCAGACTCCCAGATGTTTTGTATCGAATCTTATTTTCGAAAATAGTCTTCTTTTCTTGATCTTCAGTGGAACGGAGAAGTTGAAAGAAACTTTATTTGTAAAAAAAAACATCTTTTCTTATTCTTAATCTGAGGATGAGCACTAGTCAGTTCAAAAATAATCCATTGGGTATTTGAGGAATAATCGACAAACTTTGGAAAATCTATCAACTCAAAGTTCTCCATTTTGATATTTTCAAGACTTCTGACCTATCAACATCCCAAAAAACCCTTTTTAGAGAATCTAGCAATGGAAAATATTAAAATTCCCTGAAAAAAAAACAGTAAATATATTAAAAAGTGTTACAATGTGACCTTTCAGCGCTTTTTGATCCATAATTTACTGTCGTCAAGAATTTTCGCAATGAATCAAAAAATGCGTAAAACTCAGAATTTATGACTATTAGTCCTTTTGATTCTAATCAACGCTCCAAAACTTGTTGATTGCCCTTTTTACGAGAAAAATAAGATTTCCATTCTTATCAGAGGTGTAGTGGACACGCTTGTTTTTGATAAAAGTTCAAGCGGTCCAAAGTTTTTTGAAACAACTCAACTGGCCTTTGAAAAACCATGATAAGATATAGAAGAAATAGGAAAAAAGCGAGGTTTCATATTGAAAAGTTTCAAATTTCCCTTTTGAGAAAAATTGGCTAGAATACCTTTTTTTGAACATAACTCTTCAGCCTTACCGAATGTTTATCAAGGCTTAAAAACAATTTTCCGTTATTTTTAGTTCAATCCCAATTTCGTAGCCATCAAATAAAGCGATACGTTTCAAGTTGGAAGATATTTTTTCTTCTTCCCGAAAAACACTATCGAGTCCAAAAATATCGATTTCTAGTACGAAAGAGATCTTTTGAAGTAGCCGGACAGCCGCCAAGAACATCACTCCGAAAAATCACAAGCCCTTTGGGCGAAAGCTTTGGAGCGTCACGAGATAAGAGAACCGCTGTTATTATTATTATTACTGGTCTCGATGGATGACGTGGCGGGTCACCGAAAATCCACAACAAACTCCAGGCGAAAGCCCAAACATTTTCCCTCCTTAACACAACAAAAAACTCCGGCCGTTCGGAGATTGAGCAACTGTCTAGAATCTCGTGGGAATCGTCACTTTTTGCGTTTCATTGAAATAATTTACAAGATTAACTCTCCCGCTTTATTACCAAAAAACTTTTCGAGTCTAAATTTTCTGGCAACGAATTTTGAGAAATTTTGAAAGTTTGAAAGTTTGAAAGTTTGAAAGTTTGAAAGTTTTATTCAGTCTTCAGAGTAGGTTCTCTGCTGAATCATGGAATAATTGAAGAGTTGTTTGTCGGTTCGCGATAATGTCGTTGATCAAGCGTAGACAGCGCGTAGAGCATCTCGCCTCTCTTGTGCTAGTAGTAGACGTTTTTCGAGCGTTTCCGACGATCACTGCTTCTCCATGTGGGAACAGTACGGCGCCCAGCTTGTCCAGGGCTGACGGGCGTCGGATTAAATCTCGGAAGAGAGCGGAATGAAGACCGACCACTCGGGTGGTAGAAATGAGATAATTTTGAGATAAAATTAAGTAAGTTGTACATTTGATCTCAAGTTTTGTGAGTTAGAAAAACATCAAAGTTAAAGAAATGTTAATTAAGTGAAAATTGATCGAAATGTTTTGAAACTAAAATTCTGATTTTCAGCCGGATGGAGCTGTGACCCGAGGCTTGACGCCCCTTCATTACGCCTGCTTCATAAATTATTTTGCAGCTGCTAAACTTCTACTCAACAGAGGAGCTAAGGTAGGTTCATGCTCTAATAGCTGAAAAAAAAAACTTTGGTCTCTTATCTCCAAACTATCCCAGTTATAATCTACTTCTAATATGAGCAAATATTTATTCACGGAACTTTGAATTACAACTATAATAGTATTGGGAAACACTTTAAATCTAAATCAGCCCATTTTTGCAACTTTTCTTTGTTTTGAATGTTTTGCAAACGGTTTTGGAGTGTACCTGTAGTGCACAGCGACTATAGACAACATTTTGAAAAACAATTAGTACGCTCTCCTTTTTTCGCACCCAAGCGAGGACTATAAAACCTTTTCTTTCCAAACGTTTCTTCTTGACTAAACTAGTTTTGGATTCTTTGAAAGTTCTTACCTTAATTCCTTTGTTTTCAGGCAGACGCTGTCGACGAAATCGGCTGCTCAGCCTTGCATCTCTGCGCCGAACACGGTCATTACAGGATGATCAAACTTTTGCTTCAGGTTAGACTGAAAAATCAAAATCACAAAAGAAAAAAGAAACATTTTAGTACCTCGAAGCGGTACGCCAGTATGAAACTCCGCCAACATACAAAGGAGAACGCTATCCTCAAAGGCAGAACATTGACGAGCCCCTTCGGCTTGCGATCAAGGTAGAAACATTTGAAAAAAAAAAGGCCTCCCGGGTTGAATTAATTGAAGTGAGTCGTAAAATTCAGTGCATGGAGTGTATTTTGTGCTCGCAAAATTTTCTAATACAGTTAAAATGCAAAAAATAGTCCTTTCCTTTTTTATTTTTCAAATTAGATGTTATATAAGAGTTTATAGTTGATTTTCATTGAGATATTTTTTACAGAACGGACACTTTGAGTGTGCGCGACTTCTTTTGGAGAATGGCGCCAACCCAAACGCCATCTACTTCGATGGGCCGGAGATCACGCAAGTCAGCCCTCTCGACACCAACTTTATTCAACTTCTTGTGAGATTTTTATTGAATAAATGTTCAAAAAAGATCATTTTAGCTCGAGTTTGGCGCCGATCCAAACGTCTTTGATAGAAAAGGACTCAGTCCGATAATGAAGGCGTGTCGTCTGAAGGAGAAAGGCATCGAGGCGATTAGGTAATTTTCTAACAAGTAACTTTTTATATGCAAGTTAAAGTTTTTAAAGTAAACTCTTCTCTTGTTCAGAATTCTGCTCGACCACGGCGCTGATATCAACGCTCAGGCGCCGGAAAGACAAGATCATCGGACGGCTCTTCATTTTGCGCTTCTTTCAGGAAGCCATTCGCTCGTCCGGTTTTTACTCGAGGTAGGGAAAGTTAGAAAAAAAAAATTGAAGTTAGGGTATCAGCGAGTTTTGAGACAGGGTTTTTTTTTTTGAGAAACTCTGAGTTTTTTTTAGTAGATAATCAAGAAGAAAAATTTTCTAAATATTGATTTAAATTTCAGAAAGGAGCTCGAGTGAACATGCCTTCTTCTTACGAAAAGCCGTCGCCCATCGACATCGCAGTTTTGAAGGACGACGCTCCGCTTCTCAAGGTCTGAATTTCGGGAAGGAATTGAAAATGATCAATAGGCTAGATTCTTGAAAGGTCTGGATTATAAATACGGCTTACGAGTTTTAAATGAATCTAAAAACTTTCTGCGTAGTCCTGAGGCGTAACAAGTTTTAAGGTAATCAAAATAACAATAAAAGAGCTCTTTTTCAACGCATATTTAACGCATTACCGTAACTGATACATTAATCTCCATTTTCCAGATAATCCTCGACGCCGACGCGAATCCAAACGCCGTGCACACGTATATTGGCTCCTGCTTGCATTTGGCCGCCTGTTCATGTAAGCTGAGCATTTTTCACAGATGGAAAATATATTATAATAAAAAGTGATAAATGGGTAATTTCTCTCAGAGAGGGTTTTCTGGAATTTTTATCGTTTTTCTAGTAATTTTTGGTTTTTTTTAGTGTTGCTGGGGTTGAGTTAAACCAGTTTTTAAATTTAAAAATTTCGAAAAAATTCCGAGAGACTGAAACTTTTTATCAGTGCTGGAGATCACAACTTCTTCAACAATTTCGAATTCACTAATAGAAGCTTGAATTTTCAAAGCAGTTGTCCAAAACGGATCTTTCAGTGCTGGCCAACCAGAAGCCTATCATCAAGATGCTCCTGGACCGTGGTGCGGACATGAACCTGCAGCACCGGTTTCCCGACGGATCCATGCTCAAAAGTCCGTTCGTCGAATATTTCCGCTCCCGCGACATTGTCGACGTCGAAGTCGTCGCCTTGTTCTTGGCCTACGGAGGCCGAGTCATCATGAAAAGTCCGTTGAACGACTGCCGCGGCCAGCTGCGCAACGTGCTCCGACTCGCCGCCATTCGGGACCAGCCTGAGGTTTGTCGAGTTTGGTTTGAAATCGAATGAATGAATTTTTTTTTGTTTCTTTCCAAGTCAGGTCAATGAAAACCTCGTAAAGAAATTTGTTTGAAACGGTTAAATTTTGAAAAGTTATACAGGGGTTTTTTTGACGGCGCCTCGCCCTCAATTAACGTAAAATATGGCGTCTTTGGTGCATACACAGAACAGTAACTAGCATACTCGTTAAAAAATTTGTTAAAAAAATTTATAACACTACGAACAGTTCTCAATTTGCCTTTTCTAATTTTTTTTTTTCTAGAAAAGTTCTCATATCTCAGACAATTCGTAAATTAATCAAAAATGTTTCTACAAGCTTTAAAATGTGCCAGAAACGGGGAACTCTTATTCAATAATTTTTTCATTCGATTTTCGGAATGTTAAAACATCAACTTTTCAATAAGCTGTGGAAACTGTGAGTTCCAGGTTCTGGAAATGATGCTCGGCGTCGCCGAGGAGTTCGACGTGAAGGCCATCGACAGACTTCCACTTCCAGAAGGCCTCAAGGGCGACATCATCACCAGGGCCAAGTAATCCATTATTTTCCTGTCTTTTGAGCTGATATTTTTGTGCTTTTTTTCACCGGGAGAAATTTGCCACTTAATCTAGTTTACTTTCAGGATCATTGATTCCTAAAATATTAGAAGTGCACTGAACACAATTTTATAGAAAATTTGTGTCAATTCGAAATTTTCAACCTTTCTGCGTTCTCTTTTTCCCTCACTTGCAAAAAATATCAAAATTTGTGAGAAAGCTGACAATGTCTACGTCAAATTTTTCACTTATCGTTCAAAAAAAGTTATTTTTTACTAGGGAACTACTCGGACTCGGGTACGCGTTTCGAGTTGAAACTTTGGTGGCTTATAGACTTAAGTGAGAATATCTGCTAAACCCGATAGAGAACTGAGAAAAAATTAGTAGAAAATGTGAAAAATTAGGCCTGAAAAATTTTTCAGAATGCTGCTTTCTACCTTATTTTATATTTTAATACAATCGCCTTGAATGATCCGGCTATGATGGACTCTAAAAAACTTTTTTCCAGCCAAAAGAAGGAGGAAAACAGAAATTTGATAATTTTCAAGCCTAAACTGTTCATTTTCAAAAAGCTTTTTCTCAGAAGCCTATAGGGTTTAGCAGATAATCTCTCTTGTTTCCAAGTACTCTCACCCGGGTCTATAAGCCACCAAAGTTTCAACTTGAAACGCGTACCCGAGTCCGAGTAGTTCCCTAGTTAATCAGGACATCTCACTGATAAAAATAGCGCATTCTGTTTTATGTGTAAATGAAACTTCCAGGAACCCTCCAAGTCTCCAGCAACTGGCCCGTCTCCACTTCCGCAACAACATGAAGCTGTCGGACGTCGAATCGCTCCCAATTCCAGTCTTCCTCAAGCAATATCTCCTCGGAATTATTCCCTGATCATCTACAAACCGAAAAGACACAAACAAAAACCACTGCAAACATATTCAAGTCTTTCTTTTCCTGTCCAAAATTGTACAAAACCAAGTGTTGTAAATATTTTGCCCCCCCAATCACTTTAGACCCACTTTACGGATACGCAAAACACCCTATTCAAATCTCATTTGCTTATAATGAACCCTCCACAAGTCCCCCTCGATACCTTCTCGCCATATTTATTTATTTTATTTTTGTTTTTTGTTTTCAATAAATATTTATTTGGTGAAATTTTTTTGGGCGCGAAAAAAATATAATACTAAAGCAAAAAAAGAAAAAAACAAGAGAAATAAAAAAATTCAACAAGAAGATCACAACAAAAAAAGTGAATACTATTATTAAAACTCGTTTCTTTTTTTGCCTATTTCCGTTTCTTTTTGAGCAGCGTTTTGAGTGTTTTGGATGAAGAATTCTTGCAGAGATTGGAGAAGTTCCAGAGTTCGATTCTGAAGAAAATCTGGAGTTAGAAAATCAAAATAGGAAAATATACCTTGTTGAAGAAGGCAAGGAGCAATAGAACGAAGAACGGAAGAGCCAAGAAATTGCTCAGACTGATCTCGATTTCTCCGGCTTTCCGGGAGGACGTCAAGGGAACTCGGACGACTCGGACTGGGGCGTCGGCGGAGAAGAACACTTTAAAGTTGAATAATTTTTTTTTGGTTTGAACTGAAGGAGTTGATCATACGCTTACACAACAAAAAAATGAATACTATTATCAAAACTCGTCTTTCTATGACTTAAGTTAACTTTCAATATCTAAAAGATTTTGTTTCTCTTCTTGAGAGTCCAATGAAACGGAAAAGTACACAATTTTCATACATAGAAGCTCAAAGTCGCCTAAAAAAGTTGAGATCCACAAATTTCACTCTATGATATACTAGCAACCGATTTCATGAAAATCTGACCAGGAAGTCTGAACATGAAATATATTTCTTAATGAGACTAGAAAAAAACTGGACTAATATATTATTGGTAGTTTGAATCTGGCCTTCTTATCAGTGCAGATCTTCTATTTTGATCCATATGGTTTTATGGTTTTCTTTTTCAAAAAAGTCACTGCGATCACAAGTCTCGTTGCCCCAAAAAAAGATCTATACTATTTCAAAGTTTTTTATATTCAGCTTATTTTCGTTAGAATGCTTTTATGTAGTTTTATTAACGGAATTCATTTTAAATATATATCAAGGTTCAATTATCTCTGAAAATATGAATCACAGCCGTTCATGTTACTTTGAAAAGAGCGCTTTTTCCTTTCATTTATGACGTCTTTCAAAGTTTTTCTAAAGCCTGCCTGATTCTCTTTGTCCAAATTTTGACCTTCTTCTACTTTTCCAATAAAAAGATCACTGAAATCCCAAGCCTCGTTACCTCGAAAAAAAATCTAGAGAATAAGAAAAAATCTTTACAATGAACTAGTTATGTGAAGCTTAGCCGTTAATTCAAAAAGACCGCGTTTTATTTTTAATTTTATGATACTTTTCGAAGTCCCTCTAAAGTCTGCCTACTTTTTCACGTTCATGGTCCGGTAGGACACTGGAAAATCATTATAATCCTACCAGTTTTGGCGGGGAAGGCCTGCGGGGGTCGGTCAGGCTCGACGCGGACGCTGTATTCAGAGCCGTCTCTCTCGATTTGGGAGATGTAGAAGAGGTGAACCGGGTGTTGAAGGACAGAGGTCCGCAGATGCTCGTGTCCTTTGGAAACGCTCAATTTCACCGATTGGATGTCTCGCAGGGCTGACATGTCGATCTGTAACTTTTTTTTCTAATCTAGCAGAATCAAAACAATAAAACAAATTTTTATTATCGAATTATATCTGAAACACGAAACTTCTCGAGAATAATTGGCATTTTTTGATAATAAAATTTCAAAAACTTTTTCTCCCAGCTTTTTGACTTCAATTTTAACTTTGGTCATCTCACAAAAATCATTTTTTTAAAAACAAAAATTTCAACAAAAATCTGCGGAAGAGAAAAAGTCATTTATAAAAAAACCAAAAACTAAGATAAGATTAATTTTTTTGTTTTCTGAGTCCAAAAGTATAACGCCCCTGCCAGGAATATATTTTTCTGATTTTTGCGTTTTCAATTAAATATTAACGAGATAATATCGAACTTTCGCGTTGACCGTCCGTATAAAATGTGGACTCGAAACAGTATAAAAAAATTGTTCTTAATTAAACTTTTTTTTTCGTATCTTTATTTCGAACCATATAGAGTGGGAAACGTTAAACTTCGACGTCAATATTACTTTTCTCAATTTAGCGGCATTAGCATGGTTTTTAGCTCACAGAAAATTGATAATGCAGTTTTTTTTCAAGTTCGTAAATCTAAAGATCAACATGAGAAATGCTGGTCCCTTATTGAATTTTAAACCCGTTTTAGCTGAAAAAACAATATTCGGAAAGTAAAAAAAATTACCAATAAAAGTCAAATAAAGAAAGACTCGAGAGTAAATAAAAACTCTGGAACAGGAATTTGATAAAAAGCCTAAAAATGAAAAAAATTTGTATTGTTATGAAGCTTTTTCGAGTAATGTTTTAACTTGATTCCATACATTTCACTTTATTTTTTTCTATCGTTTTAAATTTATTCACCTCAACGGCAACATCCGTAGTCTGGTCGAGGGCGGTCGCGATGAAATCAAGTTTTTTGACGTCATCTAGAAAGAAATAGTACAAAAACTCTTTGAGGATCTCCAACCAGCAGTCATATCAACGTTGAAATGAGACGGGAAGCTGTGAGGAGCCGAAGATCCGTCGGACATGGCTGGAAAACGAAAGAAATAGGACAGAAACTCAGGAGAAGACACACATTTAGCATAGATTTTGTAGAGGCAATTGGGCAAAAGTCCGCGGATTCTGAAGGTTCCTTGAGGGCCCGACGTCGCCTCGGACTGGTGTTGATCACACTTTTCAGAGAGGGCTTCGACGACGACGCCTTGCACTGGCGTGCCGGACATCTCGCGGATTTTTCCGAAAGTACTGGAAAAATTGATTAATTGAGAATCAGATATTTATAAGTTCCACGGATTCAATTTTCTATTTATTGAACTCCCCCGACTTCTATCTTACCTGTAAGAGACTCTTCTGCCTTCCAAAACGATCGTTTCGTGTTTTCCTTCTTGCATTTTGATGGTAGTAGTCGTCGGCAAAAACTTGTACTCTTGAAGGATTGCCCGGACATAATAATCTCCAGGGGCCTAGGAAAAATGAATACTTCTCAGTTTTCCTATAACTCTAACCAATCCAACAAAGTTGATCTGAGCAGTAGAATCCAGCATATTATTGCTTCTATAATCTCCGCTTCCAACCAAGGAAAGAAGGACGTCTTCCAATGGCTTTTTCGTCTTCTCATCGACCTAAAACCCCATTTTTTTCATTTTTTTTTTTTGCTTTTTGCGAAGTTCTGACGAGGTTCTGAACACAGGGCTGAAAAATGCTGGAGAATCAATTTTTATGCGGAAGCTCTTATTAAGGGCTTATTTCTACTTTTCTGCTTACTTAAGGGCTTAATTTTATTTTTTTTTTATTATTTCTCAAAAGTTGTCGTAAAATTTACATATCGCGATATAACGTTCCAGGAACCTATTTTCATGATTCCCGGATTTTCAATTTCGCCTTCGAAAGTTACGCGTTCCAAACCAAATCAAACATTTTTTTAATCTATTATCCCTTTTTGAGAATCCCTTGAAACGTACAACAGAGATGGAGAGCTGGCTCAGCTTGACACTGTCGAAAGCGCCGTGTTTCTTCGGATTTGCATTGAATTTATAGCCGTCCAAGGAGGCCTCGATCTTGTATTCGTTGGCATCTTTTACGGGTCCAAATCTGAAAAGCAAAGTGATTAAAAATCCGATTTTTAAAAAATTAATTGAGTCACAAAATCTGGGGTCCAATTATTCTTTTTTGAAAGTTAGAGATCGATTTCAACCTATAAATGATCAATCCAAGAAAAAAAAAACTTTGTAGAACTAGAAAAAATTACCACTCAACTGGAGAAACCAGAGAAAAAGAAAATTAATTCTCTACAAGTCTAAAGATTTTAGAATTAAAAAAACCTCCATTGATGATAACTCTCATTGAAAATTTAGGAATCAATTGAAATTTTGAAATTTAAACAAGTTTTTTGTTGATACTTTAAGAAAGACGCATGGATTAGCCCTTTTACTCTATTTGATTCATAAATAAATGACAGATTTTCTTGTTTTTTTTGGGTAATACTTGAAATAAAATTAAAAAGCGAGTCCAAGAAATCAAAATTTACCTATACTTGCCCTTGGCGTCGGAAACGACATTGAAAACGACGTTGGGATCGGATTTCTTGGTGACTTTCACCTGGAAAAGTCTCTTTGTAGCGGATCCAGGAAGATCAGACCGACATTGACATTGGCAACTGGCGGCTGGATGGTTCCATCGACGAAGATGCCCTTCACGGCGGCGAAGGTGACAATGTTGTCGTGGCACTTGCCGTCGAAGATGACCCGGGAGGAGGCCGGCTCGAAGAGGTGCGTCTGCGACGTCGGCACCATCAGCAACTCGTCGCCGGAGCTCGAAAGGGGCTCGTCGAAGGAGTAAACGCCGTTCTTCACCGTCACTTCTCGCTCTCCGGCGCTGGATCTGAGAAGATTCCAACTTCCATGAGATAATAGGGCAATCGAAATAAAAAAGGATCAATGGATCAGAACCACTTTTATCAGAGATACATGAGACGACATTGTCTCGATATTTTTCGGAGGTAGGAAAAAAGAAACCAGCGAATTTTTTGGAATTTTCCGATTTTTTCATACAGCTTATGGGTTCTCCGACGGCGATGTTTCCGACTACCCCTTTCCAATTTTTTCCATTTTATTTTCGGTTTATAAAAGATTTATTAATACAGTTTCTCTTTTTCTTTATGTTTCAATATGTACCTATTTTATATAGGAAGCTTCAAAACGAAGAAATTATCAAGAAAAAAAAGTCGGAAAAGAAATAATCTGAAATTTCGCAGTCGGAAAGTTCCCTAGCGATATGAAAAAATCGGAATCGTCGCCGTTCAAATTTTAGCTGGTCTAATTTTCATACCACCGATTTTTCAAGACCTTTCTGGGCAATACCTCGTCTCGGGAAAATGTTAAAATCTTATCTCGTCTCGAGAAAATTCAAGATAAAAAAAAATAAATTTTGTACGCTGAAAAGATGAAAATATGGCATTTCGGCCCACTGTGAACGTTTTTTTTTCAATATCCATCCAGTTTAATTTTTTATCCTATCTCTCAAAGAACATTCGTTTCCCCGCAATTTTTCTTTTTAGCCGTTTCCCAGTGTTTTTCAAGACACAATTATTTATTTTTTTGAAAGTTTTTTCCGTCTCGTGCATTCCTGACTCCCACATATCCAATCAAAATGGACACAATCTTCTTTCTCCGATCAAGGACCGAAAGGTGAATAATTAATGTGAACATATTGCATCAATTCTCTAAATAACAATAGCTTCAAATTCCTGGATCTTTTGAAAAAAATCTTCTCAAAATATCAAAAACAAACTCTGAATCAATAACCTAGTAAGCAACTTTTATTTTTTCCAAGTCTTCCCCGCTTTTAGACCAACCGAATCTTGACAGTCATGCTGGGTTTTTCGCTGCTCTTCACATGTCCACTGATTCTGGCGGCGACGGCCTTCTTTTCAATGACAGAGTCCGTTGGAACTGAAAACGAATTTAATTGAAGAAGAGAGCATTAACGGTCTAACCGCTGATTTCGAACTGCTGTTTTTCGAAAGTGAAGCAAGAGTCGAGAGAAATCTGGTATCGAGCTTGGGCCGGCAGGCAGAGTTGGACCTCGCCGCCCTTCGCGGCCAATTCTCCTCGGATTTGTTTCTTTTCCGAATGGGTCCAGGTCTAAATTTCTTAATTATCTTTTTCGTCAGATGAAGATTGTGATTTTTTTCACCCTTTTTATAAAGAACTCTTCGAAAATTCTAAAAATTTGGCTTACGGGAAGAAGCCGTTGAAAGGTCTTTCTGGCGCTTTTTTTGAATCATCAATATCTAAATTTTTTTACAGAAGATAGAAATCAATAATTTTATCTATATTTTCTCTGACGGGTTCTCGAAAAACCCTTAAGAAAGAGTTTATGGAAAGAGACCTTTTACGAGCGCGGATCTTTATGGAACTTCGTGGTGAAAAGTGAAAAAAAGCCAAAATTTTCCGGAAACATTGCTAAAAATTCGATAAAAATTTTCCTATTATCTCAAAAAAGATCTTGGACGACTTTCTCTTAGTACCTTCGTTTGAATCATCTTCTTTAAAAGCCCAAAATTATGATCAAGTTTTTTTTTTCTAAACTTTTTCTTTACAATCCAAAATTATTCTCACAAGTTTGGCATCGTGTGAGATGAAAAGCCGAGTGGAGAAGCCATTTTGAACGAGTTGAGCTGGAGCAGGTCTCTGTCGTTCGACGATTAGGTCAACTTCCTTTTTCTGCCAGCATCCCCGTCCGCCATCATCGATCCGGGCTGGAAAACGATAAAATGATCAAAGAGCCTTCGTATTCTTCCTTTATCAATTACTTCCATAAAAAAACAATTTCTTTTGAAGGATTTTTTTACTTTGAACAAAAAAAGTTATGAAAGATTAATTGTTCGAATTTTTTTTTCATTCTTCATAAAAAAATTTCTGAAACTGAATGTTCAAATAAAAAAATGAATTTTTTTGTTTCGAACTTTTTTTAAGCAGTCGCGTCTCATTTTAGGAATCCAAACTCTTTCTTTGTCTGACTTTATTTCACTTTTTGAATAAAAATTAATTTCTTTATAAAACAGATTTTTTTCAAAAATTTTCTGTAATTCAGAGTCCAATAAATGCAATTTTTTTCAGGTCAGGTGCTTTTCTGACAATTTCTTTTCCTTTATAATACTTTTTTGAAGTTCGAATGACCGAGCAAACAAAACCACTTTTCCTTGTTAACTTATTAATAAAATTTCCAAAAGTGATGGAAACTTTTTAGAACCAATTCAGAAACGCTAAAGTGGTCCCTAGTGAGGTTAGGAAAAAAGGAAATCCCAAAAGTGCTCAAAATAATGCTCCCTAGAGGGCTAAAATTCAGGTGGCGTCTGGATGGGATTAGAGACTGTGTCCTGAAGCTTAAGTAGCCCCTAAAGTGATCTTTAGATTTTTTTTTTCAAGACTTGTAAGTCAAAAAGACGTATCGGGTCCACTAGAAGACGACTATCTTGCTCCCCTATAGGGGTCACTTTTTAAAACCCCTAAAAAAGTCGTTTTAAAAGTTTTAGAGCCCCATGTAGGGGAGATAAGGTGGTTCCTAGAGAGAACCTTGAAGGGTCCTAATTTTGTCCTTTTAGGACTACTTAAGAACCTTTATAAGATCCAGGGCCGATTCCCTCGAAGGTGAAGACGTCGGTTCCTTCAGACTTCCGGACATCGTTTCCGTTTAAAGACAGGACAACTGTTGCCGTTGGGCAAGCGCCTGGAAAACCTTTTTTTAAAATTTGAACTGTTTTTCTATCCAAACCAATGCAAGAGACTCGAACTTCGGCATCAGTTTTGAAGTTGGTGAACCGGATTCCGGTGACGGGCTTCTCAGAAACGTCGATTCCAAGAGATCGAGGCGTCAGGGAAGAGCCAGCGTCGGCCGGCTTTAAATACAATTACGTATATAAAAAAAGGTTTGCTTTCTTGTATGGAGTTTGATCTATCTGAAACTTCCTGTAGTTGTGGTGACTGGACTGTTATTATTAAGACTCTGGTTGGCTTTCAGTTGGCAGAAAAAAGGTAAATTTCAAAAAAATTGATCTCCATACAAGGAGTTTGTGAGCAAAAACTTTTTCGTATCTTTTCTGAAGGTACTGTGCATACTAGAGTCTGCAGAAATAATCTTTCGACCAATTTTTGGTCAACATTTCCTTCAAAATAAAAATGTCAACATTTTGGCTGAATTGAAAGTGGTTGAAAATTCACCTTGGCAGAATCTAGTAGATCAGTTTATTGATTATTTGTGGTACAAATAAAATATCTGCGAATTTTCTGATTTTCTCAACTTTCCGAGGAAGCTTTGCGACTTTCCTGACTTCCCTGTTTCTTTTGTATTCTTATTAAAAATTTCTAATTTTTTTATAAGGATATTGATAGCGAGGAACTAACTGATGAAAAAAGTTGGAAAGTTCCCTAGCGATATGAAAAAATCGTAAACAGTCCGTTTTTCGGACTTCTCTGCGCCCGTCTCTTCTCTCGTCGACCCTCTCATTTCAACATGCTATTTTCAAGTTTCTCTGACCTCGCCGGTGAGGGATCAGAGAGACACAGATATTGGGAAGCTGTTCCGAGAACTGACTTTAATTCGAACCAGCGACTATTTTTGAAAGATTTGAAACCGTAATGGTGTAGAACCCAGGCTCGACAGCCTCGCAGAATTTCCCGTTGGAATCAGGTCGGATGGAAATAGTTTCGCCGTCTTTTTTCATGACCAACTCATTGTTGCTGCCGTCATTCTCAACGCTTCCACACACTTCGAACCTCAAAAACGCAGATTTTCTGGGGAACACTGGTGAAAGATTACTTTTGAACGGAGACGACAGGAAGAGAAGGATTTTTGAAGTTGATATTCACGGATTTCGATTCGAAAACGGTATTCGGAGCTTTGGCGGAAAGTTCGATCTTTCCTTCCTGTAAACTGAGAATGAAAAAGGAGCTTTGAACTGGAAAAATGAAACCTCATAATTTCAAAAAGAGGTCTACCATTTTTGGATTTTATAAAATGAATACAAAAACTCAACTTGCCTATTTTTTTCTGTGGTCGTTGAGATCTTTAATTTTTTTAAAAAAGTTTTAAAAATTTAAAACCCTCATATTTTTTTCGAAAAAAACTAGGTTTAAAAAAATTTGGAAAAAAATCAAGGCAAATACATAAACTCAAAAAACAGGGAGAAAAAAATTTATTTTTTTACTTTCTTTCAATAACAGAACTCAAACTGAAAAACAAAAAAATTAATTTGATATTTTTTTGATGATGAATTGCCCTTTGAACTAAAAAAATTCGTGTAATAATTAGATGAAACTCAGATTTCTGTTTCGGAAATTCTAAAAAAATGAAATTGTTTTTTTCCGTAAAATTCAATCATGAACATGTCAGTGGATCCAATTCTTAGAATATTTCAGTATTCCTCGACAAAAAAATCAAAAAAATTTAATCATCTTCTCAATTTTTCAAATTCTCTCTGAAATTCAAAAATTATCTGTTCCTTTTTATCAGAAAAAAACTCTTTTTTTTGAAGTTTATTTTTTTAAATCTATTTTTTTGAATAGTTTAGCCGATTTCAATGTTTCAAAACCGCACTACAAACCTTCAAGTTCTCCAGGACGTAGTTTCCATTGACGTCGGTTGTCGTGATTTTTCTTCCCGTTCAAAAGAACCTCCGTATCCGCCAAACCTTTAGCCCCAACAGCGATTTTTCCGCGGATTCCCAAGGAAGATACTTCGAATTCAACCTAAGAATGTTTTCTTTTGTTGAAATGTTCCTAAAAAATAATGAAAAACCTTTCCGTTATTATTTTGGAGGTCAATAGTTTGAAGAGCGGGAGAGAAAGAGAGCCACGTGTCGGCGGATTTCGAATGAGGTCGGATTTGATATTTTCCTGACGGGAAGCAGGAAATCTCGATTTTTCCGTCTTTCCCGGTTTTTCCGAGAGAACATTCGAATTGAGCCCCGGTTGGAGCATCTTTGTCTCTAGAGGAGAGCTTCTTGCAGTTGGGGAACTGAAATTATCGTGATAATCGAAGGAAAATTGTACTTGTATCTTTATTCTTTCAAATCTTTATCAAATTTAGTTCTTGGAAAACAATTTTTTTACAAAAAAACTTTTTTTTAGCTTTCTTACAAGGAAGATCATTATACTGTGTTGTCAAAAATTTCTAAATATTGGCGAAAAAAAAGAAGAAGAGTTTCTTGCAGGTGGGGGACTGAAACAATCCTGATAATTGGAAATATTCCCTCTAAGATTTTTTTTTTATCAATTTCGGCTTTCGGCAAGTTATTTCACAAATCTTTGTTAGCTTTTCTACAAGAGATGTCATTTTCCTGTTTGATAAATTACTGAATTCGGCTAGAATACTCCAAGCATACATGGATCAAGATGCTGAAGTTCAAGATGCTGACTCAACCTGCACAATTTTCTAATTTTTGAAAAATGAAGGTTCAATGTCAATATTAATTCATCAAAAGCTGGAAAATCATATCAAAAAAAGATCTCGAGAGCTCGAAAAATAAGTAAAAAAAAATCTGAAAACCGAAAAAGTAATCCACAGTGTTTTTACTCGTGAATCTGACGTCAAAAATGTATATAATTTTTTAAGCCTTGAAAATCGCTAGTATTTCCTTGAAACTATGCTAAGCCGTGATAAAACTGTTCGATAACTGTCAGAGAGTGAAAAAGACTAATAATTTTTGGAGAGTCAGAGACAACTTTGATTTCCGCGAAATCCCTTTGAAACACGACATGAGATGGCTGTTATCAATCTTATTAAAAACAGCATCAACACACAATTTTCATTAAGGCTTGAATTTGTCACCTCGATTTGAGACGAAGAATAAAGTGTGATGGGGATTCCCTCAACGCCGGTCGCTCCTTTGGTGACACTGACCGACAATTGATGGCCGGAGATTTTCAGGTTCGGAAGAACGACGACTGGTCCGTTTGAAACCTAGAAACTCGGAAATCATCTTTTATTTATTTCTTTTCCAACTTCAACTGTCGATTTTCCCCTGGAGATGCATTTGGAGGCTCCCGGACCGGTGGAAACTTCGTACTTGCCTTAAAATATGGATTGAAATAAATTCTATAGTCAAATCCAGGAACCTGGCGGAGCCTTCATCTTGTACTTTCCGCCTTCTTCCGTCAGCGTTGTGTCAACTTTTTCTCCGTTTTTCGTCAAAACCAACGGAAGTCCTGCTACGGCTCCATCGACGACTCCACTCACGGAAAACGCTGAAAAAATATCTTAATAGTTTATTATTCAAAAAATATAATTTACATTTCAAATTGAAAATGATATCCTTGTTCTTGGTGCACGGATCCGTTTCCCCGTCCAACTTGAACGAGAATATTTCAGGATCTGCAAATGTATGTAATATTTTTTGTGAATCAACAAATTTACCAAAATAATATCCTTCTGGAGACGCGACTCGCAGTGAATACTGTCCCTTGTTGTAGACAGGAATCATAAAATATCCATTTTGAGGATTCAACTCTTCTTCGTGTTTCAGATGGCCTTCCGGTGTTAATAATTTCACCTGAAAACAGAATGAAACCCGTTAGATAAATCAACAAACCTTCAATTTGGAAAAATCTATGGGGACCGCAGATTTTACAAATCCGCCACAACTAAAAACCTGGGCTGCTACATTGGAAATAACAACATTTAAAAGTAGAAAGCATAACAGATCTTTGTTCACGGCCCAACCCATCTTGAATGAGCGTTAGAGAAGCTGAAAACACAGTTTTTTCTTAATTTTTTGATTCGTTCAATAAAACGAAACGCTTGGAATTCTCAAATGAAAACATGTGAAACGAAAAACGACGAAGTGCAAGCTCATTGGATCATCAATGCTAGCAGAATTAACAATCAAAATGAAAGAAGAAAGTTGTTTCAAAGGTCAAAAAATGTTCCGATGCCGGTCTAAATATTTTGCGCGTACGGCAATAGTTCCCGCTGCAGACACGCTCTCTTCTTTTACCATGACCTCCTTTTCAAAAAAAAAAATGCTCGCAGCTCAACGCTTTGAAGGCTTCTGGTTGAGTGTTATTGTTGTTTTTTTTTCTTTTCTTTTTTTTATTAGTTGGCCAAAAGAAGCTAGTTTTTATTGTGATCACTTCAGAAATTATTCTCTTTCTATCGGAAAATAATTGTTTACCGATACTAATTCAATTTTTTCAGAACTTCTTCTTGCATTGAATTGGAACACTTTGATGATAAATGCATGGCGAAGAAAGTGGCGGTGCGTTGATATTCTCACTGAGCGTTTTATGGAAAACTAAATTGCAGGAATGGGTGTTTGGAAGCAGAATCTGTTTCTTCTTCAAGAACGATGTCCCCGACCAAATCCGATAATATGTTCAAGTTATGTTGAGAACCGACCAGCTCAATATGGTTCCGAGTTCCACGGATTGATTGAAAGGGAGCAGGTTAGTTTTTTTTTTTCAGGATTGAAAAAAATAATGAAAATATTAAGGCCGAAAGGATGCTACTGGAAGCTGGCGACGGTTCTTATCTGGTCAGAGAATCGAAAAGATCAGCAGATGCATATACTCTGTCTATGGTTTTTGATGGAAAAGTCTTGAATTATAAGGTCATAGCAATAGTTCGAGTTTGAGATAGAAAAATGGGTTTTCAGCTTTATTATGATCCTAATGAGGATAAATATTTCGTGGGAGAAAAGAGGTTTAATTCAATGTACGAATTGGTCGCCGATGGATTGATTTCGTTTTTTATTAATTTACACGCTTCGGATTATATTATGAGTATGGCTGATGATGCTATTTATGAAGAAAGGTTCGTTATTTTGAAATTATACCTTTGAAAGTTTATTTTTAATTTTTAGCCCGTACTCGAAATACACGAAATCTTCCCAAGAAGTGACTCGGAGACCCGTCGCGAGATGTCATAACTTTATTTCTTATACTTTCAAAGCTCCGCACTATTGCGATTACTGCACTAATTTCCTCTGGGGCCTTGTTCATCAGGTTTTTTTTCGTCAATTTTCTAAGCGTTTAGAATATTTTTGAAGAAATCGATTATTTTTTACCTTGCTTTAAATCCTTGCTAATTAATTTAAACCGAAACCTTGGAAATTCTTCAAATTTACAAATTTTTTTTCATGATTTATAACACCATTTTAGTCATTTTTATCCAGGCAAATTCTTCAATATGACGATTTCTCAACTTTTTTTTTGGAAAATGTTTTGTACAAAAAAAAATGGTAAACATCGGTTTGAAAAATTTTCTGAAGGCTTTCCAAGTTACTTAAGAGAGACAGTTTATTGCTAATCTTTTTTCTTTGAGATTTCTGGTTAATACTTCTCTTATCTGCTTCTTAGATTCTCTATTTTTAGAGCTTTTTTCATTTTCTTGCCCTTTTTTCATGAAAGGCTGAAATGATCTTCTTGGAAAAGCTTATCAGTAGGTTCTTTAACAAAAGATTTTCTGAGGGTGCTCAGCAGATTTTTTCATTCCTCTCTAGTATCCTTTTCATTTCCTCTGATAAGAAATTCTGAAAAGATTTCGGGGGATTTAAAAAGGATCCTCTGAGGCTAAGAAAAAGGAGCTCTCAAAGACTCTTTTCAATCATTTTTAGAGCTTCAGAGGAACCTCTCAGCTTTTTTGGAGGGCCTTAAAACAATTTTTCTGCTTTAGCCACGTTTGAGAGGCCCTTCATTCCAGCTTGCTTTTCTGATATTTTCCAGAACCTTTTTCAAAATTTTCCTGGTTTTCCAGGGAATGCGGTGCGAAGATTGCGGTTTCGCCGCACATAAACGCTGTTCGGAGAAGACTTTGAACGACTGCCGGCCCGAGGCGAAATACATAAAACGGATGTTTGCCGTCGACATCACTACGTTATGCATGGCCCATCAAATCAATGTGCCGCCCGTCGTCACAAATTGCATTCACGAGGTTTTTTTTGTTTGATGGAGATGAAGGAGAAGTCTTGATAACTTCAATGAAAACAATTTTTTATGAAAAGCGATAATAAAATTCAAAAAAGGCGATTTTTCCCACTTTTTGGTGTCATTAATTCATGGATTTGTCTCATTATACGAGTTTTTTTCAGCCATGATTTGAATTTTACTAGATCAAAAAAAGGAAGAAAACATAAATAAAACATAAATAAAAGGCTTTCAAAGCGATTTTTTTCGATAGATAGTTTTTTTTAATTCACTGGCAAATCTCGAAAATTGTCGAGAAGGAAAAATCTAGCGCTTCTTTTTGAATTTATTAAAAAGATGTTAAAAGTTTCTCTAAACCTCCTTTTTTTCTTGTTATTTCTCTTTTCCTCCTAAAGATTCCTTAATTAGAAAAAAAGGTCAAAAAAATAGCCTAAAAAGAAGATTTTTTCAAAAAAAAGAAAAATTTTTTTCAAAAATCTTCTTTTTTTAGGTCCGTCTGGAACCTTAAAAAAATTTAAATGATGAGTGATTCTATGATTATAATGAGAAGAAATATTCAAAAAGTTAAAAGAATGTGTGAAGAAGATGAGGGTTTTGATTAAGATCGAACTTCGAGGCTTGACGGTCGAAGGGATTTATCGAGTTTCCGGCTCTCATGACCATATGGAACGTCTGAAAGCGCAATATGATTCACAGCAGGATGTCGATTTGTCGCAGGTAGCCTTTTTTGTACTCTCAATTGAATTTATTGAAAAACCGGGACTTTTTCTTTTTTGAAAGCCTTGTCGGTTAACCGTTCAGTTCATTTGTATAATGTTGACAAATTATTACTCGTTAATTCAAAAAGGATGTCGATTTATCGCAGGTAGCCTTTTTTTGAGCTTTTTAATTCAAATTTTTCGAAAAAAATCAGGAATTTTTTTCCTGTTTTGAAATTTTCTAAATGTTTGTTGGTTAAACCGTCTATTTCTTCCGATATAATATGGAAAAAAACTTTTTTTGTTGAATCGAAAAAAGTTTTCATGCACCATTTTGTCTTCTATTTTTATAGCATTTCCATTAAAATCATTTTTTTCTACCCTTGAATTGATCATTTTAACATTTTTACACAGTCGAATTTGTAGAAGAAGTTAAATTTCTCAAAATCGTATTTTTTTATTCAATAATGTATTTATTCCAAATTTTACTCTTCAATAAGTCTTTCAACGTTTTTTTCAAAAATATATTTCAGGCTTTTTATTGATATTTCTATAAAATTGACTTTGAAATTTTTCGAAGTTCACGTTTCACTAGATTTTTTTAAAATTAAAGTTATACTGTCGGCAGTTTTTTTAAAATAAGTTTTCACAACTTTACATACGTTTCACTTGGCTCATTTATTAAACACTGGTGTATTGCATTTAATAATTCCAAAGAAAAAGAGCTTCAGTTTTCCGCCTGATTAGTTGCTTTCGCTTGAAGTTGATGGATTTAAGATTCACCAGATTCTGTTTTCAAAGTGGTTCTGTTTCCGTTATCAAGTTCCATGGAGATGATATTTTATCATTTTCTAAATATATACTTTTTTTCAAACCGCTCCCTTATACAAAAAATCAACCCCTAGAGAGGATTTTAGCGTTTTTTCAAAACTCACTAACGCAAACCGGACGCGCCACGGGCTTTGTAATGATCACTCTAGCATCCTCAGCACTCCTCAGTGATTACTGGAAACGTCTGGCTTGCATTACCGGAGTCAGGCTTGTGCGAGAACTGTCCCTGTCAGCCTATCGTCCTCAGCCATTTTCTGAGCCCGGCCCGAAATTTTTAATTTTTTTTTTTCTCGTTTTCGAGATACGGTAGTTCGAAGAAAAAAAAAATCAACGAATCTCGATCAAACTTAGCCACAAGGTGCAAAATAATTTTTATTCCAATTAAAAAATCCAACACCTCATATTTGCTCTTTATTGCTCACATTAGAGAAATTTTTTTAACAAAGTTCAGAACCAGTATATAAAGTTTTGACCCGGCGTTTTCTCTTGATTTCATCGAAATTAAATTTTTTTACTTAAAAATTGTCAGAAACCATGATTTTACAAGTGAAAAAGATTTTTTTCACCGATATCATCTTTTTTTACTTGTAAAAAAATTTTTCGAGCTCGACCTGGTCCAAGCCCGCATCGTCTTTTTCTCAAAAAATGAGGCCCAAAGCATGGGCCGCTGGTAAAGTTCAAAGATCTCCCAATTATCGCCTTTCACGGACCAATTCCTTCTCGATTTCTTAAATTCATGTTCAACTTCGGGTCATACTCGTTAAGAAGGGCTAATTTCAGTTACTGGTTATTCTTCTAATTTTTTTGCTCTTCTAAATACTTATCTTCATACCTATGCAATGAAAAAGCTTATTCTTATTATGAAGGTTGACGATATCCACACGGTTTGCGGAATCTTGAAGCTGTATTTCCGGCTTCTGCCACAACAGCTGGTCCCTTTCTCCGTCTACAAACAGATGTTGGCCGCCTATTCAAGTAGTTCGGCTTTGTCGACACATGACCGTCTTAGGATACTGAGGTGAGTCCTTATTTGATGAGAAAGGGGGAAAATTGATAATAAATTCCAGAAAAATACTCCAAGACTTGCCGGAAGACAACATAAACACGCTTGGAGCAATACTGAACCATTTGAAGAAGGTATTTTTCCTTTTTTTCTAGATTTTGGTTTGATAATTTGATGAATAACTTGAAAAAAAGGTTCTTAGTTTTTGGTTTTTAATTTTTCGGAATAATGATTTTCTCTATCAAAACAAGAATTTTTTTGAATTTCTATTCCAAATTTTAGTCCTATTTTCTCTATTTCATGCATAAAGTTCTCATTCTAAAAAAATATATTTATATAGAAAAAAATAAAATAAACGCTCAGGTCTCCGAAAACAGCGCCGTCAACAAAATGACGGTCGAAAAATTTGGCGACGATTTTTTTTCTCCGACCCTTTTTTTGCTGCGGAACGGTTCCAGCCCTCCCACAACAGCAACATCAACTCCTCCATTTTATGATTGCTAACCCTCAAGTGGTCCCTCAGCGTCGTTGATGCTACAGCTACTTTTTGAATCTTTTCATTGGAACTTTTTATGATTTTGAAGATTAAGAAAATTTCGTAACAAGCATCGGTCGGATCTTTCGAATCGTTAGAAGTTCAATTTTGAGAGGTCGTCCGCTTTCCTTGAATGAATTTGTAGGGACACGAAAAATCGAAAATTTGAAATTTTAATTCGGATGCAGCAATTTAGCTAGCCATTCTTCATGCGACCAGAAATTTCGGAGTCGTCACTAATAAAGTATAAGTAAGAAGTAAAATGAAGAAATTAAACAGAAAAATGATGGAGATTTCGAACTAAATGGAAAGACCACCGCTATTGCGCTCTACGGACCATTTTTAAAAAAAAATGGAAAAATTTCACTGAATTTTTTTCAAAGCTTTCCATTCACAAATATAACTGTACATCAATCAAAAAATCCTATAGGAAAGTTTTGAATAAAATACGGTAGAAATTTTAGAACCGCATGAAACTTTCTCGAAAGCTTCTGCGCTCTACCGAGAAATGCGCATTTTTTGAGTCCGACTTTATTATTCTAATAATCTCTCGAAGTTTCAATGAATAACCTCCCCCAACGCACAATTTTTCCTCTTGCCAAGAGCTTTTTGTGCTTCTTTTTTTCCTACACTAGTCATTGTATTCTATCTTGTTATTACTACTTATCTTTGTCATAATATTTTGCTTGAATATCTCAAACGAGTGCTTCTCTACACGCATTTTAACAACATTTTGATCTAATGTATGGAGATTTCTTTTCCGCTTTCTCATGCATTTACTAAATCTTCGGGTGTATTTCTTCGTTTTCTATTTCTTTCCTGTGCTATCTCTCTCTTTTCCTACCGTGCTTTTCTAGCTTCTTTTTTTTTCAATGATTGCTCAAAAAGATGAAGGTATTTATTTTGTGGAATGTCTGTCCATGACTCGTATATTTTGTTATTTTATGTAAAGAATTTTTAGAATGGATTTTCACAAGTTGAGGGGTTGACGAAGACCGATTTGAGCTGGGTGTAATGCTCCAAGACGGCCAGGCCGTTCTCACGTCCGAAACCAGACTCGCCGAAGCCTCCGAATGGAACTAGGGAAGCTGAAAAGGGATATTTCGAAGGTTTTCGTGGGGGAAAAAAAATTGAAGCAGAGACTGTATGATATAAATTCAAAATAGGTTTTTACTGAAAAAAAGTATTTCAATCAGTCTTTTTCTACGCTGAAATTTGTACTTCCCTATCTTTCCTATCTGAATATGCTTTAAAAACCTTATTAAAATCGAAACTAATGAATTTAGAGCCGGTTTTTTTCTCCTTTTAATTCCAGGAAATGGCGGAAAATCACGGTCTCAGAAGCTAGAGAGCATGTAAAGAGTGGAAAATTAGACACCATGAGACATATTTGCGCGTCTGGGTCTCTCTACAAGTTGCATGCTCTCTAACTTTCCGACCTTTAGGGCCTCATATGTGCTAGAAATTTGCGAGAATGTTAAATGTTGAATTTTGCTATTTTTTCAGTGAATCATTTCAAAGAAAAAAAAGATTAAAATTAAAATTCCCTCACTTTATGCGCCTTAACTGATAAAAAAAACTTACAAACGTCATTGAAAGTATTGACGTAGACATTTCCAGCGTGAAGACAGTCAGCAACACGGTGAGCACGGCTCAAATCTCTTAACAAATTGAGAATTTAAAAAAATGATTAAAAATTAAGGTAATTTTTTATAAGAATAAATCACGGACCTCGTGACAAAACCTGCCGCGAGTCCCATTTTCGTATCATTCGCCATTTCCAGCGCTTCTTCTTCGGTTTCGAAAGGTATCAAGAGAAGGACCGAGCCGAAGATTTCTTCACTAAAAAGCCCATCAATCAGATCTCCACAGACATTTTCTTGAAATTATTAAAATCGTTATTTTCTTAAAAAGTCCTTCTCAAGTTTGAAAAAAATAGCTTATATCTTAAGATAGACTGCTTGAAAGCGTCCAGAATTTTATCATTGAAATTTCTTTTTTTTTGCTTATTTTTTAAATTGATAACAAATTTTGTGATTTTTTTTTAATCCAATTTTTTCATCTAGGCTTCAAAAAGACTGGCTTTTTTTAGCTTTTTTTGAAACGACAGCTTTGAATTCAATCCACTTGAGGATCCACTAACTTGTAGACGGTCATATCCTTGCGAATATCAGTCAAAATGCACGGAGAAAGATAAAATCCGTCTTCCAAACCGGGAACTTTCACTCGTTCGCCGCCGTAGAGCACTCTGGCTTTTTGAGAAATGGCTCCTGGAACATTGAAATTAAGTTTTTATTGAATTAAAAAAACCTTGGATATAAGACTCTACTTTGTCCCTATGTGCAGCCGAAACGTGAGCCCCGACTCGTGTGGATTCGTCCATCGGATCTCCGACTTTCAGATTTTTTGTCTTCTCCAGAAGTCGCTTGGAAAACTCTTCCAGCACACTTTTGTGCACCAGGACCTACAATTTAAACTTGTGTTGATTACATGACTTTACAGCTTCTAAAAAGAATAAAATAATTATTATTAGTTTTCCATATTGATCCGGAACAGTTAACCGTAGAAAAATGCATATTTTGACCATTATTCCTACGAAAAACCTTATTTTTGACAATATTCAGATTTTTCGTCTTCTCCAAAAGTCGCTTGGAAAGCTTTTCCAGTGTATTTTTGTGCACCAAGACCTTGGATTCAAAAAAGTCTTGGTTAAAGATTTTTGTCTCCTCCAAAAGCCAATTGGAATACTCAATTTCGTGGACCTGAACCTTGAAAATCGATTTTTAAAGTATTTTTAGGACACTTAAGCTGGGAAATATTTGACTCTAGGAAAAAAAAACTCCGCACGCTAACTTATCCCTTTCGAACTATTTTATTTTACATATTCATTTCAAACGTTTTAATGTAGAGAAACGCATATTTAACAATTTTTTTCTCATTCATTAAGTTTTTTCGAAGGCTTTCAGATTTTTGTCTCCCCCAAAAGTCGCTTGGAAAGCTTTTCCAGTGTATTTTTGTGCACCAAGACCTTGGATTAAAAAAGTCTTGGTTACATGGATATACAGCTGCTGAAAATGAAAAAATACGGTTTAAGGAAGGTAAATCAATCAAATTTTTCCGCGATTTCGAAAAACTTCTTCTTTTCCATGTTTAGGGATCGCAGGCCTTTTTTCAAAATGTTCTAAAATATATGTTTTCTCTCAAAGTTCGGTAGAGGAGATTATCTATATTCATAAACCGTTCCGTTTTTAGAAAAAAAGGCTTACTAAGAAAAAAGTTATGAGCAAAAAGGTAGCGCGTTCGAAAACTCTTCCAGCACAATTTTGTCCACCAGGACTGTTAATTTGAAAATTCATCGGTTATATGAATTTACAGTTGCTAAAAAAGAACAAAAATAAGGTAAAAGAAAGCAGATTCGATTGGTCCCCTAACATCAGAACTTTCAATTTCAAACCGATTTTTTCTCCCCGCAATTGATTCCAAACGTGTCAATGTAGAGAAATGCATATTTTATACAAATTTTATACTCAAGAAGCTTTTTTTGAACGACTCTTCGACTCTCGTCTTTTCCAAAAGTCGCTTGGAAAACTCTTCCAGCACACTTTCGTGTGCCGAAAAACCTCGATTTCAAAAAAAGTATTGATAAAACAAGTTAAAGCTGCTCAAACAATTCGGAATAAGATTTATTTTAAGTGTTACTGATATAAAAAAATATTTTCATGTGCGCGAAAAAAATTCCGTTGATACGTTTTTTTGGCATTTTTGCACTGTTCACTGTATCGAAATGAAAACTTTTGACTTTTGAAAATTTTTCTCTTTCAAGGCACTTTTTGAGACGCCAGGATGGTCCCTATGGGGTTCTTGAACACGGCGTTTTTTTTTTTTGGCGACGCCCCACCCATATTTTTTCCGTAAAGTGTAGTGTGTCGTGTGCATGCACCTCGGCGCTCTCACACATGCCACGTTCAAAATATTTTTCGCGGAATTATAAATCTTATCTCAACTTCTGGAACTACGTTATATTTTTTACTATCTCGTGGCTGTTTAGAATTTCGCGGAATTTCTTTCAACGTGTTTAAAAATAATGAAGTAGAAAGTATGTGTTTAAAAGTAATGAAACAGAAAAAACGCGTTCTTTTTAAAGGAGAAATAGAATCGTTTCATGACTCATTTATGCGCTTTTAATATTTCCTGTTGTTTACGCGTTTTTCCCATGACGTAACACAGGCGGAGGTTTTGACCACGCCCCCTTAATTTTAGTTTTGCATTTTCTTTCACTCAAAAACGCCGTGTGAAGGTTCTCTATTCTGAGGGCAACTCCATTTTTATGAACTCTACGATAAAAAACATTTCCATGCAAAAATCTCATATTATCTGCAATGGATTATTCGATTAATTTTCATTGAACTGCTGAGTATTTAGAAAGGAATGTTAATAATAGATCACGTGGAAGATAAATCCTCTATATAAAGGTCTGATTACACTGGTCTTCATATCTCGCCTCGTGACCAGCCCAACTCACTTGCCTTGCCGATCGCCCTGTGGATCTCGAGAGCCCAAGGACGACGGACTCCTCTACCAATTCCTTTTCCAGAGTCAGTCGTCCGTGGGCTCTGGAGATCCACAGGGCGATTGGCAAGGCGAGTGAGTTGGCCTGGGAAGGCTTATCAAACCCTAAGCCCACATAGGGAAATTCTTCCCCCTATAAACTTTAGGGGCTTAGAAGTCAGACCCTAAACTCTATTCCACTAATAAAACCTTGCTGGCGTTGGAGCAAACTTGTCCCTGACTGAAGAAGTTGGCCATCATGGCGCAGGCGACGGCGCTGTCGATGTCGGCGTCTTCGAAAATTATTAGTGAGGATTTTCCGCCAAGTTCCATTGTCACCGGCTTGATGTTACGGCCAGCGCAAGCCTGAAATTATCTTTTTCCAATTTCCGAACTTGCCAACGTTTTGAACAAAGAATCCTCTGAATGGGTCATTTCGCATTGCGGTTAAGAAGTAAAATACAGAAATTAAATGATTGTGAACTTATAAAGACCTGAGAACAGGAAAATTTTTTAGAGAAGCAAGAACATGATCAAAAATAAAAATAATAAAAGTTTACCTGCATGATCTTCTTTCCAGTGGGAATACTCCCAGTGAATGAAACTTTTGAGACGTTTTCATTTTCTATCAAAGCGCGGGCGACGTCGGCATCACCCTGAAATGGTAATTTTTCTAGTTTTTATTGAAAAATGGTTCATGTTGAGTTCTGAGTCATTGCCTCTGACTTGAAACGCCGTCGAAGTCGCATTTGGAATGGCTCAAAGCGTCGCGGTCGCGTCGACAGTTCAATCAATCATTTTCTTTGTTTTATTCATAGATGTAGTCGACTATGACGTAAAAAATTTTTAGCTCATTAAAGCTCATTTTTAAATTTTTCGATGATTCAGAGCGCAAGTCGTTTCGAGTCGGAGACCCCTCAATCCAGTCGTTTTAAAACCGCTACGCCTTGAGCCCTTCTATGCGCCACAAGAAATGGAAAGTTGAGTAAATCAAGCAATTTTTTCGAAATATTAGTCCGGTAGATAGTCAAGAAGATGAAGAAAAAAGCTTCTTCCCAGTTTTCTAGACTGTTTTTAATGAGTTCAAACCTGAACGACGCTGAAAACGCCATCCGGAAGACCAGCCGACTTGAGGATCTGTCCCAAAATCAGGGCAGAAACGGGACAAAGAGGGCTCGGTTTGTAGACGACGGCGTTGCCGCAGGCCAGGGCAGGCGCCGTTTTCCAGGTGCAGGTCTGGATCGGGTAGTTCCAGGCCCCGATGCAGGCCACGACGCCCATCGGAAGCCGTTTCGTGTAGGCGAAACGAGGGCCGTCCAGAGGGATGTGGTGGCCGAGAAGGCCGTGGGCTGAGAGAGAAATTGTCAGCAGTTGAGTAGTTCGAGTCAGTTCTCAGGTAAATCCCGGGAAGGTGTTTGGAAGGTACTGGGAAGGTCTTGGGAACTTTTGTTTTCTGATACCTTAGGCATTTGAAAGCTTTTCAACAACTGGTATTCACACAGCTTCCTAACACTAAGAATAACTGCCGAGATTTAAGCGATGTCGCTAGCGGTACGTTACGACATCGCGAAAACCGGTCTTGCATTTCTTTGTCGCGTTTTCTCGGCGCGATATCGCATTTTCAAAATGTTTCAATGCGGTCCATTTGCGATATCGTCGATGTACCGCCACCGTTTTTCTCTCGCGACTGACTAGGCAGTGATCTTTAGTGACCATTTACGTACCTGCCAAAAGTCTCCCAGAAACCTGCTGAAAGACCTCTGGCAGGCTGCGCGGAATTTCGAAATTTTCGTTTTTCTAGGTCCTTCCAGCTACCTTCTGAACACTCTCATGACCTTCTCAAGGCTTTTTATAGATTGCATTCACCCTCCTCACACCTGCCCAGGGTTTTTCTGAGATTAAAGGTTATCAAAAAAAAGTTTCCTGAAGTTTTCAAGTTCTATTCACGATTAGGCGGATCGAAGAATTCAAAATGAATTTTCATTTTTCAATTTTCAAGATTGTTAGGAACAGAAATGTAATGGTCTTATCGGCAATCTTCTGGAGACAGGCTTGTGCGTCAGGCCGGCCTGGCCCGGGCTTTGGGCCTAAAATTATAAGAAAAGCCTATGCGGGCTCGGGCCAGGCCGGGCTTCGAAAGAAATCTCAAATTTCACTTTGAAAAAATTTTACGGAAAAATTATTTTTACTTGTTGAATCATAGTTTCTAATAAATCTATGAGAAAAAATAAGCAAAAATACCCCTTTTCTCGTTAAAAAAGCCAAAAATTCGACTTGAAGAGAATTTGAGTTTTTTGGGCCGGGCTTGGGAAGTGGCTGGGGGTTGAGAAGTTGACGGGCCGGCCCTCACACAAGCCTGTCTGGAGATACAGTATTTCAAAAACTTATGTACATAAAATGAATGAGAATGCGGACTTTCCTATACAATACTCTTCGGGAATGAAAAACGTCGAAATCTTCGGCAAAAATGTTTGATTCCTCACCGACACCGGAGTAGAAGATGAACGTGTCGACGCAGCTCAAAACGTCGGCCCGGGCCTCATAAATTGGCTTCCCGTTGTCCAGACACTCCCATTTGGCGATTTCCTCGCAGTTGCTCCGGAGAAGTTCGGCCGTTTTCCGCAGAACCTCGCTCCGTTCCAGCCACGTCGTCTTCCCCCAGCCGGTTTGAGCTTTTTTGGCAATATCCACGACGTTTTTGACTTGCTCCGGCGTGGCGGCATTCCAGGTCGCCAAGGTTTTGCCTTGAATAAAGATTTATTTTATAGACTTCACTAGGAAGTTCAGGGCTCATTTTTCTTTGCATTCGGGATTATCCTTGAAATCGATTAGAACGCTCCTCAATGTACCAGATAAAGATTCTGAAAGTTTCGACCTGCCTAATTTTTCTAGTCTTTGACAAAAGACACAGTTCTTTGTAGAGCTTTTCATTGCGAATCAAACGGTGAACTTGGAAACGCACAGAAGTTCCTAGTTTCAGAGAAAAAATAATTCAAAGTCAGAGAAAGGAAAGCTTGAGTTCCCGCGAAAAGGGCGTTTTGCAGTAAAGTTGCTCTCTGGACAACAGGCTTCGCCATTTTTCGGATTTTCGCTTTTTTCTTCGTTTCTTTCAAATTTCAATTTTTTCTGTTGTCACCAAAGTTCTTTCCGTCACGAAAGCTTTCTATTCATGTATGATTTGCAAACTTTGATCGCAAAAATGCTTCTTTGGTGAAAAATGATGATTTTACACAGGTTTCGATTGGGATAGCGATTATTTGTGTTTTCTTTATTATCAAGTGTGTTTTCTGCTTTCTTAATCGATTTTTCAGAGAAGAAACCTTTGATTTGAAGCAGATATCCGGTTATTTCTCCCAAAATGCGAGTCTAATGAGACGTCCGCAACATGGCGTGCACGGCTACTGTAAACAGTTTTCTGCATACCGATCCAAAGCATTTTTCAAAATTACAGGCGGGAAAGTAAAATCGCTCTTTTTTCTCAAGTTGTCACATCTGTAATTTTTTTGATATTACAGTTCGATTCGCAATGAAAAACTATATATGATAATGCTTTCACCTGAAACCCCATTTTTTACTGCCCCTATGCCTTAATTAGGCCCTATTCGGTGCTTTGAACCCTTTTTTCAGAAACTAGAAAGTTTTGTAGGTTCACACTCTCAGAACCTTTTTCTGGTACTCCATGGTATGTTCTGGCCAATTTTCAAGAATTACGAACCCCAAAGAAAAATGACTTTCCTTGTAAGATATACTTCTACCCTTATCACAAAACCTCCAAATACAATGATAATAAAAACGAATTTGCATTATAAAACTGCTCACGAGGTTCAAACGGAAAAAAACCAACCACTTCTGGGCTCGATGACCGGAAAAGTGTGCGACGACGCGAAATTGCTCGGTTTCCCGTTGACCCAATGGCCGAACTCCAGAATTCCGTCGCCGAGAAACGCTCCGAACGGCTTCTTGGCGAAGGTCATCACCGACTGCAACAAAGGCGATTTACGGAGTTGAGCCGGATGGGATCCCGGATCGCCTTGTGGAATTTGAACACCTCTTTCCTTGTAGTACTGCACCCAGTACTCAATGAAACTTCCGTCTTCGTTTTGGAAGTTCAACTGATGAGATGGCCACCGCATATCAGCATGTTGATAAGCTTCCGTGACAATCTGACTACAGTAATAAGCCTCCTCGTTCTTCGAATTCTTGCAATTCGCGCTGAAGACGTCGTTGTACGGAAGTCCGACCTTGCTTCTGGCGATTTCCTCGGCCAACATCTTCTCTTTCCTGTCCAAGTCCACTCTAACCACTTCCAGAACGGCATTTTCCGTTTCCTCGGCAGTTTCTTCCAACTTTTGCTCCAAGACTCCATCAGGAGTGGCGTGGACAAGAGTCCCTCTCGAGGAAATTATACCGACATGCACCAAATTCGAGTTTCCAGACGCCGCGACAGCGTCCACAAACTCTTTCGAAACTCTTTTTTCGAAGAAAACCAAGTCGCCGGGTTCAGCAAATTCCATTCCTCAACCAAGTATGAATGAAAGACTTCCAGAACTTTTGGTCGACGGAGAAGAAATGAAAGATTTTTTATGCAATAATATTATTATGGATAATTAAAGCCGAATTGCAATAATTTGGTCGCATAGAGAATGGCTCAACGCTAACTAGGAAGGTGCAACCGACCCAAAACGACTTGCGCCGAGACGATCTTTGTCCGCGTTGATCAATTCTAATTGCGACAAAAATATTCCAAATCATGGCTAACAAAGTATATTATTAGGATATTATGACAACCAAAAAGGAGACAAATCACGAGTTGAGAAGCTACCCATCGTAGAAAATTTCACATGCAGAAGAAGATTATGCACAAAAATCGGAAAAAATGGTTAGTTTCTAGGAAGAAAATGCACAAGGTGATCAGTCCATACAAGGCTAGACTGTAGCCAAAAATTCGCACCAGAACGAGAAATTATACAATCTTGACTTAGAATGAGTAAAAGTTGGAAATAATTGGTCCTGCCATCTAGATTTGACCCTGTTGATGATGAAATTTGATTTTGAAGCCACCGGGGCCGGAAATATGTACAATATACCTACCGTAGTCAACAGATGACCAGAAATACACGTAATAGAAAAACAAGAAGGAAAAGCTCAAGTTTCGATGACGGCGCCCGTAGGTTGAGTGGTTCGAACTGGATTATGGGGACGAGTCGAGGATTCTTGTGAAGAGGAAGTCGATTCCGGAGCGTCTTTCAGCGCCTTTTCGAACATTTTCGCGACGTTTATGGGCAGATGGTCAGAGACAGCCGACGCCGACATTTTGATCTCGTTCAGACAGCTGGAAACGGATCTTTCAAAGAAGCTATTAGGTATTAAAAATCTTTTTTTTTCTAGAATTTTTCAATGATCTTCGCTTGAGGCTATAGTTATGTTTTCTTTTCGTAAATTAATAAAACGGAATCGAAATCTCTGTCCGAGAGTGAAAACGATAAGTGAATTTTCAAGAGTCAGAGATTATTTCGAATTTCTCAGAACTTGATATGAACACCGCAACAGAGATGAGGGTAAAAACCATTAAATTCGTTTTTTTTTTTCAATTTCACTTTGGTTATCCGTTTTTTTACAAAGTTCAAATCAACCTTACATTCACATCATCTAATGTCTTAACGAATTTAAAAACCCTTATAAAAAATATTTTGAGTCCTATTTTGATCGAGGTCACCAAATAACTATTCGAAATGAAACAACTTTTTTTAAAAACTTAAGAAACGGTTTCCGAATAAACTTTTGAATAAAGGGACCTACATGTCCCAAAACTTCATGGGATCCAAAAAAAGCAGGAACTCTATTTATTCATTTTTTTACGTTTCACCTTGTTACTTTCTGAACCTTTCCTATGGAATTCTATCTTGAATTCGAATTTTTTTTCCTTTTTTTATGATCCTAGAAAAATAACCTAGGCTCAATCCATTTTTCGACGATTCTACCATCCTCTTCCGATATGAAGAGCGTATTTCCAGGAACATGAAGCTGAAAACTTTCCAAAATTAAAAGAAAAACAAATTTGAAAAAAAAAACCTGAACCCGGGAGGCAAAAGTGGTTAAATCAATGGGATCTTCGACTTCCACGGCATCTGAGGATCCATAAGTCGGCGAGTTGTTTTCCCTTATCAAATTATCGCGATCCGAAGAAGAAGCTGGAAAAAGAAGCTTTCGAAATCGAAAATCAAAGGAAAGAAGAGAAAATGGTGATCGAAAAATTCGAAATTTATTTTATTCGAGTGGAAAAAATTCAAAAAGTTGTTCAAGGCGTGTTCAAAGTAATTTCCGCAAGATCACAAATTATCTCTGACTCTCCAAAATTTAGTTATATTTTTCTTACTCTGAAGGCTTTTTTGAATTTCGCGAAATTTCTTTGAACACGGCATTCGTGTTTCAAGCACTCAATTTAAGGTTCCGAAAAATTCTGATATTAGTCATTCGCGTTCATTTCGGAAACATACCTTTTCGAGAAAAAAACGAGAATTTTTTTTGGTTTTAGAAGGTTTATCACCGAATTCGAACCTTGATATTATTTTAACAGAAAGATCTCAGTGGAATTCTTAGAAATTATAAAACGACAAAAAAATAGCTTTTTCATTCAGAAAAAAATGACAATATTATCTTCATTTTTTTGACAGGGCATACTATTTCAATACATTTTTTGAATAAGGAAGAAACTCTAAAATCTGTATAGAACTTTTTCCGATTTTTCAAGGAAATGTTTTCTAAGAAGTTGGAAAAAGCTGTTGTTTGGACGGCCAACAAAGTTTATACCTTAATTCTTTGGGGAAGAAAATCGGCACCTTTCTCAATTTTTGGTAATATCCTTGGTAAAGCACCCCTCAATTTTTGGTTCATATGATCCATTCAAAATTTTCTCTATTTCCAGATCCCTTCCAAAAATAAAAAAAACAAACCCAAACCACCGCCAGTTTGCCAGAACGACTTGACGAAGAGCCGAAAAACGCCACGGATCAAAATTTTGTGTTTGGCGCTTTGACAGGCGCGCAGTTCTTTGAACACTTTGATTCGCAACTGATGGAGGGCCTGAAGAGAATCGATAGATCGATACGAAGTCTCTCTGAAACGGGAGAACCTGGTAGGAGATTCGGGAGACGACGTCATCGCCAGTCACGATACTCATCACGTATTTCTGCATTTCTTTCTGTCCGTGGACGCTGATGACGCATCCCGGGGGGCAAAACGCGAAACATTTCACAAACGGAAACTGTTGTCTGGAAAAAGAAAAGAGATTCATGTTTCGAGAAAAAAGATAAGGGCTTTTTTGAGCAATTTTCGACAAAATAATTAATCAAACTGATAGAAATGAAAATTAAGTGAAGAATAACGATCAGAAAACTAGAAGAAGGAGATTAAAATTGAGAAAAAAAGGAAAATTAAAAATCCCTGAGTTAATATTTAGATAGACCCTTCTTCTCGTTCGATACTCAACTCAGAAAAAAATTCGGGATCCATTTTTTTCCAGATTATCAACATTTAACAAACGAAAACTGTTGTCTGGGAAAAAAAGAAAAAACTTATTTTTCCTTTTTCTCAAAATATGATCTTTAAAAAAGTTCAGTTTTTCAAGAGATTTTCGACAAAATAAGGATAAGAAAACTAATGTATACTTAAAATTTAGTTGAGAACAGAAGGAAACTCAAAAATTCTTAGATTGATTAGATAGACCTCATCTTAGTTTGATACTAATTTCAGAAAAAAAACCCGGATGCTTCTAAAGGCCTCTAACGAAAAAAAAAAAAATTAAAATCCACAAAAAAAAATTCACAAAGGTACAACAACGAAAAACCCCTCAAACTCAATTTAGGAAAATTTGGATGCCATTATTGCCAAAATTTTGGGAAAAAAGTCTATGAAATGGTTGGAATTTTCATGGGAACAATAGGAATTAAAATTTCTCTGCTTTTTTTCTTTATACAAAACCACAAATTAAAAAAAGATAAACCAAGTGAAAAATCAGGAAATGAGCTTTTCGGGCAGGAAAAAGATCTCACAAGCTCTTATACGAGAAAAAAACAATTGAAGCATCAGTTGGAGAAGAAAATCTTTAAAAAAAACCAACTTTAAGAGAATCGTAAGCAGAGAAGCGACGCCGGCGCCGAGGGAATGTCCACAAACGATCAATTCATAAGTTGGATTCATCAAAAGGGCGTCTTCTATCAAGTTGTGTTTTCTGGAAATCACAAGGGTATTTTCTCTATAGTCAAAAGATCAAGAAATAAACCTGAGAGTATCAAAAATAATCCGGGCGCTTCGCAACATCCCCCGGTGGACCCGAACTTCTCCCTCGTCGTCCAATTCTTCGTCTTCTCTCAAAGTCGCGTCCGCGTCGACGTTCACCGACATCAGTTCGTCATCTGAAAGTGAAAAGAGATGGCTAAACTATTGAAAATAGAAAAAGAAAAGCAGAAACCGGCCTGAATCAGGCATTTCAATCAAAACCTTCTCATTTCAAAAAATCGAAAATTTTTTTGTACTCCTCTAATTTTTTTTTTAAATTGCATCATATAAATTCCCGATATTGATTTCACAACAATATCTTGAATCAAACCAAGATAAAATGAACATATAGTCACTTACCCAAATAAATAGATATTCCAGTGGAAACAGGAAAGTTATGTTATGCCATAATAAAAGTAGAAAAAGGCTAATTTCACTAGATACACTTAGGAAAAACTCATCAAACTCATTTTTGAAAATTTATTTTGATGGAATAATTTAAACTTATTGATTATTATTTTCAATTTCTTCAAAAGAGAACCTTAAATACTTCAAAGAATGGAGCAAGAAACTTTTCAGAAGAAACACAATGAGAAATATTGATTAAAAAAAGTTGAAATTTTCAGGGAAAATAGAAAAATTAAGGAAACAAAAATTAAGAAAAGATGTAATGAAAAAAACTTCAAAATGCTTTAAAAACCGATAGGACCTTTCAAAATTGCTTCAAAAAATCTTAAAATCCACTAACCAAGGCACAAATCGGTGACCAAATCGATAAGTGAACAAGATCCTCGAATCGTCACGACTACACTTTTCTGGGCATGATCAACGAGAACGGCGAATGGAACCTGAAAACTCACAATTTTCGAATTTCTTCAAAAATAAAGAAACCTCATACAAACGGTTCCGGAAGGAGATGAAAAGAAGGTCGATATTTCTGCTTTCCGTTGAGAGAATCAACGCCGAGGTGTTGCAATAGCAGCAATTGTCCTCCACGACCATCGCCTTCCCCTGAAACTTCTATAAAATGAAAATCAAGTGTTAAAGAATTAATCGAAGCGTTAATTATCAGACATCACAACACAGGAATCTTGAAATACCATTTCATAGGGACTTTTACGATTTTAAACGGCTCAGATGAGGCATGCTACAAAAACCGTCTATTAAAAACGACCGCTTTTTGATTCCCTATCGCAAATATAAAAAACGGACGTTCCTCAATCTTAAATTTTTCAGTTTTATGGCACTTTCTTTCATTTTTCACAAACAAGCTCATCACTAGGCGGTTTTCTAAAGTTCATGAAATCTTTAATAAACCGGAAAGATCGTAAAAATAAACTTATGGGCGCAAATCTTTAAATCTTGAAAAATTGTTGAAAAAATAATTTCAAAATACAGAAGAGCTACTACATAGATAAAAAGTAATCAAAAAAGCAATAATTTTTGCTCCACTTTTTAATAATTACTATATTCGAAAAAAAGCCAGTTTTTTTCATGAATTTGCGATGTAACACAAAAAAGCGCCCCATTCTGTGAAAACCCGCACATTCCCCCATAAAGGAAAATTGAGCATTTTTTGATTTCCGAACATGACCGGACGAAAAAAAAAATGTTTGCCGAGTTTTTTTGAAGAAGCGTCAGTCATTCTTTGAAGGGTCAAGAGGAAGAGTACAGCTTTTTTTTAAAAGCTTATTTTATTATGGAAAGACTTCTGTGGGTCGTTGATTTCATGAAACCTCTTCTTCCTATTTCAATTTTTTTCCCTACTTTTTTTCAAAACTTTTAGGTTTCCGCCAAAAAGGCGCTTTGCAGTAAAGTTGCTGTATGGCCAACACGCTTCGCCATTTTTTTGTATTTTTTTGCTTTTTTTCTTCGTTTCTTTCAAATATCTATGTAAAAAAGTTCGCTCTACACCGATCTAAAGCATATTTCAAATTTGGAAGGCGGAAAAATGAAATCGGGGCTTTTTAAAAAAAAAAACTCATATCTATGCTTTTTGGGGTAGACCATTCGATTCGCAATGAAAAGCTCTACATGATACTTTAAACCTGGGCCCCATTTTTACTGCTCAAATGCCTTTATCATGCTGCACTTCCGACAAAAAGCATACAAAATGTACCTGATCACTTCTCCACTGGCCACAGCACTGAAGACTTCGCGCCAGCCTCCAAAGAGGTGCGATGGAGCAATTATGCATCACGAAAGTCGGCCATCCGTAAACCGATGTAGCATAATCGAGATAATGCCTGGCATTTTGTAGAGTCATCCAGGAAGGTGTTACTATAAAATTGAAAAATAATTGAAAAATCCTTTTTTGAAAATAACCTGGGTTTTCTCGCATTACAACAGGAGAATAATTATTGGTTGGGGAATGATAGACGAGAAGAAGACCGGCGATGATGTCGCTCAGAACGAGGTCGGAATCGACAAAAAACGACGCCACAAGAATGGCGACGTCGTCGATCGCCGCCCTCATCACACTGTCCTGTCCGATTTTGAGCTGAAATCCAAAAACTTAAGAAATTCTGAGAATGAAACCAACTATTCGGAATCTTCTCGACCAAATCCTCCTGGCGATCATGGTGCCGTCCTCGATGTCGTCGTCGGAAACGTGGAAAACCATCACAACTCCAATCACGACGGCAATAATCAGTAGCCATTCCAGAGCTACAGTTATTCGAACTAGAATTGTGAAGTGACACTGGCCCTGGTCTGGCACAGCGGCTGGAAATCAAACATTCTTTTCAAAACATAATATTATGGAAACTTACAAAAAGAAAAACTTGTTGCAACTATGCAAGCGACTATTTCGATTAAGAATATTGGTAATCTCAAATACAGCAAAAGCGGAATGGATTTCCTTGTCCCAGAATCCATTATAGCACCTTTCGAAGACGCGAGAGCGGTTACCGTCGCTGAAGAATCTCACATAAATAGCTAATCGAAATCATTCCCAAACCTAAAACTATTGTAGCTATGTTTATGCTTAACAGTATCAACATGTGAGGTGTGAGACTATGTGTTGAACAGGATAATGGAAAATGGAAAACAAAAACAGAAACACCGAAGGCGACCCTGAAAACATGAGTTTAATTACTGGTTCCCGACCAAAACTTACCATGTTAGCCTCACTAGAGCTTCGGTTATTCCAGGAAAAACAAAATCATCGCTACCTATGTTCCATTTCCTGCCGAAGGCTAACAATGACGGCATTTAACCTGAAAAGTATACCGAATTAAATTTAAGTTTTTTTTTCAAAATTACCGTAAAGAAACCTCGGAGACTTCGCACTCAAACTCTTTGTGAAACAGCAGCTAAAATTCTGCTAATCATATAAATAAACACAGAAATTAAAAAAATAACAAAGTAATTGAATTTTTTGGAAATGGAAGAATAATGAAAAGTTTTCTCCGCAAAGTGTCGTAACTGTGTTTGAAATTTAAAGGAGCGGCGCCATTTCCTAAAAAGGACTCCAACCAGAGTTTCTTTTTTGAATCAAAATTTTAGCGGCTCAATTTGGATTTTTCAAATTCAAATTCCTCTTTCATCATTTTTCGTTTCTTCATGAATTCATACATTTATATTCAACAACTTTCTTCGTTATACAATCTGAGGGCTGCAATATCATTATTATACTCTTTTAATGATTTCAAATTCACACTCTGCATTATTTTTCTCTCTGTTTTTGCGTTTAATTTGTATTTGCTTTAGTGGAGAGACTAATCATCACGACCTTAGTGCGTCTTAAGTTGGAAGCAGCGCTTCCTGTTTCGAAATCAAAAATTGTGTTAGTTTGGCGCGAAAATCGCTCCGAAAAAGACGTTTTTTTTTTAGCGAAGTGTCGCCTCGTTATGATACTTCTTCTTTCTGTTAGTTGGACACTCTAATATGACTTATCTTCATTTAAAACAACTTTACGCCGAACGGAAATGAAAAATATAATTTGCTCTTTTTTTCGAAAAAAAATTTTTTCTTTCTCTTTTGCGAGGACAAGATCTTAAGAAACAGATCCGGATCATTGTTGCTCTTTCGTAAAAAAATTTTTTTCTCTATATTTGCTCCTTTCTCCTTTTTTGAAGTTTTTTTCACCTGCATACTTAATGATCAGGTTTAGCTTCGAATCGCCAATATTTCTTTTAAACACTTTCTATGAATTTTTACTTTTCAGTTCGTCTATCGGTGGTGAATTTATCATTCCGGTGATGGTATAAAGCTTGTCCGGTGACTAAAAAAACTAATAATATGGGTGCATACTTAAATAAACCGGTGGTCGACAAAGAGCATGAGGAAGGGCAAAACAGTAAATTACGTTTTGCCTGTACTTCTATGCAGGGGTGGCGCATAAATCAAGAGGTTAGTTTTTGGTGATAAAAAAATTCTAGTTTTAAAATTTCGATTATATCTCTAAGCATTTTTTTGAAATAAATAATTTTAACTTTATTTAGATTTTTTTCTTTAATGTTTGTTGCTTAGTATCTACAACTTTTTTTCAAGCTTTTCTTTTCTCTGTTAGCTTCTTATGTGTTCTGTTTTCAGGACGCACACAATTGCATCTTAGATGTTCATGAAGGTTGGAATCTTTTTGCTGTTTATGATGGTCACGGGGGTCCAGAAGTTGCCAAGTACACTTCCGCTCATTTTCCAGGCTTTTTGAAAGAAAGGTAATACTTTTTCTAGTTTAGCATTAACCTTCTTGTTGTAGAAATATATGGACTACAGAAGACATCGAACGTGCTATTCAGGACGTTTTCGTTGATTTTGATGACCAAATTCGTTCGAAAAATGCTGTCAAGGAGCTGACGGTAAAAAAAAATCGTCAATTTTCGTTCACTGGACACCTTTCGATTTTCCAGAAAATTGCCAACGACGGAAAAGAAGAGAATAGCGATTCAGAAGACGAGCGCGACAGGTTAGACACAATCAACGAAAGTTCTCTTTCTCTGGAAGAAGTCTTGAATAGGTAGATATAGGGACTCCGTTGGTACAAAAGAAACTGTTCAGGATGGGTTACGCACGGCGGTTTGTCAAAGAAAATGTCAGCGCTATTTCGGCTTTAAAGAGCCCTTCAAGTTCTGAAGAGAGTGAAGAAGGAGATTCAATGGTTTTGAAAATATATGAGGATTTATTTTCATTTTTTTTTTGCAGGAAGACCACGGAAGTGTTGAAGATAAGAATGTTGAAGCTGAAAAGAAGCCTTCGAAAAGGTCCAACAAGTCTCCTATTCAAAGCTCGCCTAAAAAGGTCAAAACTGTCGACGAGAACGGAAAGGCCAAAGAGGTCGATAAGAAGCCAACAGAGGAAGAGACCAAGTTTTCATTCTTTCATTAAAAAAATATGAATAGTTTTTTTCCAGTGGTGATTCGAATAAAGCTGAGGAGCCAAAGAACGAGGATCCATCTTCGGAATCAACTGCGGACACGAATTCAGCAGATATTCCAGCAGACCCAGAACCTAAGAAAGTCAATCTCAACTTCAAAAAGAAGCAGAGCGCCTACCCCGAATACAAGGAGGTCAAGCCAGCTAACACTGGGTATGTTTTAAAAAAATTATTCTGTTTCTATATTCGGCCTCATCTTTTTTGTTTAGTATAATACTTTTTATTGTATTGAATGAGTAATGGCCTAGACAAGTACAGCCACTTCACCCCTTTTCTGACGAAAGTTGCCGGTTGAGGGATTTGCAAGCTGATTCATTTCCAGGGTTTCCAAGGAGCTTGACATTGCGCCCGATGATGACTCTGACGACGAAGATTTTGCCGCCAACGGTGAAGTCGAAGACGAAGAGTCGGATGAGGTTTCTGGTGAAGAGGAAAGCGAAGGAGAGGAAGACGACGAAATCGATGTAAGTCGGGAAAACGTGTATTTTAATTCATAGAACTGAGATTTTATCAAACTCATCCAGAAATTTAACCGTCCTAAAGCCGATTTATCATTGTATTGTTTTTCATAAATTGCAATAAAAACTCAAGGGAAAAATCTTTGAAAGGTTTTGGCCTTAGCAAAAAGTGTTTTTCCTTTTCATAGATTACCATTAAAAAAAGCCCTTTGTACGTGGAACCAAATGCAAAATTAATTGTTCACCGTTCCTTGTGTGTTTTTTTCTCAGTTTATTTTTCATGTAAATTAGGATCAGAAAAATCAAAAAAAGAAAAAAATTTTTTTGTTTAAAAAAATTTCACATGATGTTTAATTTGCTATGAGATTGTTGAGGGTGGAAACGTCTAAATGTAAAATTTTCGTTATTATTATTTTTAGTTGCAGAACCAGATAATGTTTGGCCAAAGAGATAGTACTCCTGGAGAAGACTCCGGAACGACCGCTTGTGTGTGCCTTATGAGCAATGAAAAGGTTCGTTTCCCTAAAAAAAAAAATTGGTTCATTTGAAAAATCGCTAGATTTCTTTTCTGATTTTTATTTTCGTAGATTATTGTGGCAAATGCGGGTGATTCTCGAGCTGTTTTGTGCCGGAATGGAAAAGCCTTGGACTTGTCCATCGACCACAAGCCAGAAGACGAAATTGAGAAGAATCGTATCACCAAGGCTGGTGGAGTTATTGATGATGGCAGGTAAAGCTGATGTATTCTTCGAAAAACTTTATCCGCAAAGTTTCTTCCAGAGTTAATGGCGGTTTGAATTTGTCACGGGCCCTTGGCGACCATTGCTACAAGAAAAACAAAGACCTTCCCTTGAGAGAACAGATGATCAGGTAATTTTTCACGTATTATAAATCCCAATGCAATTTAAATTATTTTCAGTGCTCTGCCGGATGTGAAAATTGAATGTTTGCTCCCTGATGACGAGTTTCTTGTTGTGGCTTGTGACGGAATTTGGTTAGTTCTGTTCTTTGAAACGCTATAGTTCGAAATCGTCAACTTTTGACGTAGATTTGTTATTAAAAACGCATTATTATTGCGAAATCAGAGTACGTACCTTGAGATTTTGTTATTTTTCGGCGTCTAATAGCAGGAATTGGAGTTTAAAAGACAGAAATAGGTAGCCGACCGAGGTTGAATCCGCAGTCCGTTTACCTGCTGACTAAGATTTTGGCAAGATTATACCTCTTGGGCGCGGATCATCTCGCATTGAATGACGCTCGTGAGGCCATTAACAAATAAGACTGCAAAAGGAAATGATCATTTTTTGACATAGGAAGTCCCATTGTAGATTTGAAATAACAGAAATAGAAACTGAAAAGTGTGGGAGTATTCCATTTCCTCGTCAAAACGTCATAGGCTTTCGAAAACTTTAAATATTGCGTATTGTTCAAGAAATCAGTTCTTTTCACGCCATTCATTCGGAATAAGTCTTCAAAAGTCGCGAAAAGAAGAAATAAACAAAAAAAATGTTTGATTCTCAAAGATTTGGAGCCCTTGAACTCGTCATAAACACCTGGAAACTTCTCGATTTGTTGTTTATTTTTTTGATGAGCCGACTTGATTCTTCACGCCATTTCTGCCGTTTCAGGAACTCGATGGAATCTCAGCAAGTTGTGGATTTCGTCCGCGAACGGCTTTCCCAAGGAAAAACTTGTAAAGAAATTTGTGATGCGTTGTGCGACAACTGCCTGGCCGACTCGACCCGCGGCGATGGCACTGGCTGCGACAACATGACTGTTATTATTACCGAATTCATCCGTTGATCATCATGTTTAATATATTGAAATAAAAAATCTCTCCTCAAGCTCTTTATTCTCCTCTCTCTCTCGGAAAAAAGAAGAATATCACACAATAGGTTTTATTTCCCTGGCGGAATCGAGCAAACACACAGGTTTTTGACGCGTTTCGAATGGCTTGTTGTGGAGGGAAGTATTTAAAAATGAATAGGAATCGTACTATCTCAAATAGCATATCAAACGTTTACTGCATCATATGCTTATCAATTGGAAATCGGTTTTCGGCATTTTTGCTGTGTGTGTTTGTGGAAAGTTTGGTGAACAAGCAAGAAAAAAAAAGAAATTTTTTCGAATTGAAACCTGCAAACGGCGTCCTTCGAACACTGTGTTCCTACGTTCGTTTCACTCGATCCTTATCTCCATTCATTTCCATTCCGTCTTCTTCTTCTTCTTCGTCTTCTTCTTGTTCATTTGCACTTTTTGCCTTTTTCGGAATCCAACGGCACTCGGCCATTTTCCACGGCTTCTTGACAAACGGCAAAGACGACGTCTTCTTCTTCTTCTTCTGACGTCACGATGGATGCCATCGCTGCGATTCAACATCTGACGTCTGATCTTCACAGAAAGTTTGCTGCTCATCATGGGCTAAAATTGGAAGATTTTGGTGAGTTTCAGAAAAACCAGAACTTCAAAAAAGTTTTTGAAGAAGATCCCAAGATAATGCACCCAATTTTGAGAAAAGGTTTTTCAAAATCTCAGTTTTCAAGGTCACGTTTCGCATAGAAATGTTTTATGCGAATTTTCAGATATTAAAAAAGTTCTTGACATGATTTTCCGGTTTCAAATTTCACAAAGTTCGTTTGAAAGCAAAATTGAAGAAATTGAAGCGCTGGTCCTATCGCGAATCAGATTTGATCTACCGTGTCTTACTGTAATTATCTCATAATCTTGTTTTTCGCAGAAAGAATTTTTCATTCAAACTTTGAATTAGTTTAAAATTAGTTTGAATTATTTTTACTCCTCTTTTTATTTTTCAAATGTTTTTCAAAGTTTGATTTCATTGAAGGTATATCCAACTTCCATGAATACCTGTTTAGAAACTTCTTTTTTTATAATAATGCCTCATTTTCAAAAATTCATATCTTCAATTATTCAACCACTGTTCACTCTTATCAGTTTCCCATGCAAAAAGAGAAGCTCTCGTTTCAATTGATAATGAAGCAAAATTCCGTAGATTTTTTTTCAAAGCCATGTGCTTTTTTTCTTATAATTAGTTCATCATTGAAAAAAAGTAGTTTCTCAGCTTTTTTCAATTTTTGGACGCTTATAATTTTGATTTTTTTGAAGAAAAATCGAACAAATTTGTCTCAAAAAGCCTTGAAAAAAATTTTTTTCAAGATTCTCTTTGAATTTTTTTATTACAATATAACAATGCAGGGAGCCTGAAAGTTTTAATTTTTGAAAATTTAAATTTCCTGAAAATTCAAAAATCGAGCTGATTTTGTGAAACTTTCAGTATGACACACTATAATTTAGTTTCAGTTTTTCTATATCAAAAATTAATTCTCTATTTTTTTTCAATGTTCATTCCGATTTTTTATTCGCCATTGCGCAATCTTCATGACAAACACAATAAATCAGAAAATATGCATTATCTGTGCTCTATCGATAATTTTTTCCATGACCTCATTTTCGAGGCTATTTCTTGCCAGCTATTTTTTATTTGAATCTCAACTTTTCCTCTGTTTCTGCCGGGATTCCGAGGGTGGAGCCTCGCTCCGAGGGGTTCGGCTTAGCCCCGGCTAACACCTCGGCGAGGCTTAAGCCCTCGGCCTCGCGCTCACTCAGCCTCAATTACCTCTGGGATGACGGTTGACCATGGATAATGCAGGTTTTTTTTTTCATTTTGCGTATTTTTCAGTTCTATTCTTTACAGTACTGTCAGAAAAAATGGGGAACATGTTTTTTGCTCATAACTTCCTCGTATGGAGCTCAATCTTGCTCCAATTTTCTGAACTCTGTTTTTTTTATGTCACTTGAAATTCCACCAGAGTGTTTCAAATAACAGTCTTCACAACTTTAGAAAGTTCCAGAAAGATGAAACTCCGTACAAGAAAGTTGTGATGGAAAAATCCTTTTTTCTTCTCATTTTTTGGCCTTGAAAATTCCAGATCCTACTGTTACCAACCAAATTTTTTGATTCTGCAGTTTTTTTTTTCAATTTTTTCACTTTACTCTTCTCTGGGAGAACTTTTTGTGGCCACTATAGTAGTCAAATTAGTGGCCATTTAAGGGGTAGCAAATTTGTAAAAGTTTTAGTGGCCACTTTTGGGGTCAATGGATCAACATAATTGGTTCAATCCGTTTTTTTTTTAAATTATCAGAGTTACTGGAAGGAATACTGAATGAAGAACTACTGAAGTGGCCACTTAATAAAGAAAATTATTCCCAGCTGCCCAAGATTTTCAGTCAATTTTCAAAATTTTGAACCAATTCAAGTTGATTTTTGTTCTTTTATTTTTCTAAAGATGCCCCATCAGACTGTGAATGGGCTTCGGGTAATATTACATTGTGCCAATCGGAAAAATACGGTATTTCCTAATCTGATCGCGACGGTTCTGCGCGGCTTTTTTTATTCGAAGAACATTGGAACTTGGCCAGTCTGAGAATTTATGTACGAGGGAGGCGCAAAAGAAGAAGTTTCGACGTCGTTTGGGTTCAGAAATTATTTCGATTCTCTATAGAATGGGTTGAAAAAAATTAAGTAATAGATATGAAGTTTATAAAACTTTTTGAAGCCTCATTTTTTTGATCTTTTGGAAAATTTTTTTGAGAAAAAAATCATTTTCATTTTTTTCAGAACTTATAAGGTATTGAAAGTATATGGAAGATTTATAAAACTTCTAGGAAATAAATTAGATATGAAGTTGATTTTTTAAAGTCTCATTTTCTAACCAAGTACTCTAGAAAGTTAATATTCAAGTTATAATGAATCAGTTTGAACTTTTTACGAGCGTAAAAAACATAGAAACTACAATTTTTTTCAGTATCATAAACCCTTATCACGACTTCTGCTGTTCTCCGAGCTAAACACGTTTTCCCTTCGATGCTCGCGACCTGTCTCTGCGCATGCGCCTTTAATTAAGTTTAAAATTACCGTTTTATTAAAGGCGCATGCAAAGAGACATGCCTCGAACATCGAGGGGAAAGGTTCTGCAGTTTTCAGAAAAAATAATAACCGAGAAAATAATTTATAAAAAGCCAATTTTCATAAGTTCTTACAGCTTCTTAAGCTACATTTTCTATCAAAAATGAGTTACTAAAATTTTTTTCTGGAAGGAAAAAATAGAAAGTAGGTTTTTTTCCTAACCTAGAGGGCCTTGAAATAATTTTCCCCCACAGATTCAGGATACAGTACGAGTTCAAACTCCAATTCTTCTTCCCAATCCAACGACCAAGAGTGCGGCGAGTCTTCCGGCGCCAAGGTACGTTTCATTCTCGATATAATAATTTAGAAATAAATTCAAATACTGTTATGTTGTTCATTAAGTGGATTTGAATACATTCATTTTTAATTTCCTTCCCAACTTTTTTAGATTTTCACTCAACTTTCAATTTTCAAGTTAAAATTCCGATGTTTTTAAATTTTTTATATCGAAAAACACCTATTTTATTAAGGTTATCGATTTCCGCGGCCACAAAGTCGCCGCCTTCGACGTCGTCGGCAAGGAAATGATATGTCTTCCGCAGGTTCTGAACCTCATTTTCGTGTTTCAGTTGACTGACAAGTTTGATAAGATTAAGGAAAACGAATTAGGTAGCTATCTTAGCAAAATTGTTAACCTGAAATATTTTAATGATGGTGTTTTTTTCGATTTTTTTAAAAGTTTTTTCTTCAAAAAAAGTGTGCAGGATATTGCATGTAGCCACAAGGTTCCAAAACAAATAAGTTTAGGCGAAAAAAAGGACGAAAACGCGAGTTTCTTCTAACGCGACGCGGTGCGGAGCGTGTCACACAATTTCATTCCCTTTAAATGCAATTTTTGCTCTTTTTTCAGTACTTCCGGATTTTTTTTCACATCCTGCGTGTTATGAAAACGCTTTACAAAGAGTTGGAGTGATTTTTGTTCCAAAAATTCTCAGGAAAACGATATTTTGTATGATACAATACCTACAGAAAACACGAAAAATACTTTTTTGCTCACAATTTTCTCGTAAAAAGCTCATTTTGAAACGTTATAAGCTGCTTTTTTTTACCTGTGAACTGAAAATCCTTCAGAGTGTTACAAATAACAGTCTTCACAACTCTAGAACTTTTAGAGAGATCAAATACTATACAATAAGGTTTTGATTATAAAAAAAAGCGTTTTTTTTTGTGAATCTTACGCAGCTGTAAACTACTTTCACGACGGAAAATCAAGTTCGAAAGTAAGTTTTCCAGGTTTACGAGTTGTTTCTGAAGAACATGGTCGGCGGCCTGCACACGGTTTACACGAAACTCCGTCGTCTCGACATCACTCCACTCATTTGCAACGTCGAACAGGTATCTTTCATTCAAAGAAAACTTTTTTCCACTGCTTTCCTTTCTGATGGCTGAAATGTTTCAACATAACTCTTTATGCGGTTATTTTTGATTTTCCTGGCTTTTTCTTCATATTTTCCGCTTGATTTCAAAATCAGGGTCTTGCTCTTAATTGCTCATGTTGAACAGAAGTTTTTCTGAAAATATTGAAAGCTTGATTAAAATTTTCGTTTCCTACGAGGACTTTGATTTTTATTGCTCATCCTAGCCATTTTTCAATTTTCGAGAACGGTATAGGTGTTTTTAAAAAATTCCACAACAATTAAAAGCGTTCAGTAATTTTTTGCGTTTTTTTTACTAGATGTATCATCTTAGAAAACTGTTGCTCATCATAGTGGAACATTGCTCAGCTTAAAGCAGCATAAACGGGTTACCAATACTTTTTTGTGTACCATCTTTTTTTCTTCTTTCAAAGTTTATTTTCTCGATTCGAAATCTCGCATTGCTCATATTTAAGCTTTGTTGCTCAGATTTCAACACACAAGCCCACCCACATCATTCTAAAACTACAAGTTCCATCGGGGAAACGAAAAAATTTCGAAATTTCTACAAAAGACCACCAAAATGCGTCAAAAGGCTCAGCAATTGATGAAAATAAGCGAATTCGGGAATTTTCATCAGTTTCGAAATTTCACAATGGTCATGGAGCGCAGAGATTATCGTTCTAAATCCGGAAAAGTAACGTCTTTTTCGTTCTTTTTTCGAAAATGGTCAGATTCCGGAAGTGGTTGAAGGCGTTTTGAGAATGTTCGGGGTCGAAATTGGAGAGAGGATTTGAAGATAGTTCATCGAAGGTTGTACAGTAGCTTGGGAAGGGGCGTGGCCTGTCTGCGCTCTCCACCAACCAGTCACTATCTCCTTTTTTTTAAATCGTGTCAGGACCCTTTTTCGATAACTCAAGAGAGCCCTGAACCAGCTATACAAACTGAATATCTATTGATTTCCAATCAAAAATATTCGATTCTCAGGTCCGAGCATTGAGAAGCTTGGGCGCGATCCAACCGGGCGTTAATCGGTGCAAACTCATCAAAACGACGGATTTCGACAAACTTTATGAAGACTGCACAAATACATGGTTTGTTATTGGGATTTCGAATTATTTTGATAGTGAAAGTTGAACTCGACAGTTCAAACTACATACTTTATTATCATTAGGCTTTCGATTTTCGTCATATTTCTAGCCATTTTTAATGTCATTTACGCTATTTTCATTACTTTTTTGCTCCTAGGAACGCCACAGTGGTCCCTGGAGGGGTTAGAGAAAAAACAGCCCCTATAGCTGTCCTAATAGTGCTCCCTAGAGGGGCAATTCGGGCGGTCCCTATAGGGTTTTTTGACGTTGGATCATTCTTTTCGTTTTTTTTTTTTGGAAACCTTCAAGGACCCCAAAAGCCGACCCTCTAGGGACCGCTCTGGCGTTCTAAGTATTTTTTCAAGATAAAAATTTTGCAGCACCAGGCCGGGAAGACCATCAAAACGGGGCGCGTTCGACGATTATTACGCTACTTTAAAAAAAGAAAAAATTGAAGGTTTGCCTTTTTTTCTGAATCTTCAAAATGTCGGTTTTGAACGTAGTAATATTTCTTATAACGATCTTTCAAATTTCGTATCCAGACTTGCACCAAAAAACCTTATTTTTGAAAAGTTTTATCTCGTTTTCTTGTGGAACATCTTTTATGAAAAAAAAAACTGAAGAAATTCCCTGTTTCTAAAAATTTACAAGAGTTTTATCGAAATGTTTCAAGAGTAGTGATTCTTTTATATAGTTCTCTACTGAAATCGCCTCGTATTTTGCATTTCTTTTTGGTAGGGACCGCAGAGACACGCCCACTTCAGTGGTCAAAAAACGTCGTCATTTTCGTTGCATTTTGATTGTTTTTCACATTTTAAAACAGTTTTCTTGTACCGATTTGAAGAAAATTTGGGGGAAACATACAATCGACTATGCTCAACAATCCTACATAAGAGAGAAAACTGAGAAATAAAAAATAACAATTTATGACAACGGTTTTTAAAACGAATTTGTGGCTAAAAACGGATAAAAATCCCGTTTTTCTTGACAGTTTTTTTGGACTCACTTTTGTACAGACGAAAAAAGTGCATTTTGTGCAAAATGCGAAGAATTTATTTGCAGAATGCATGAAGCTTTTTTGAAGTATGTTGGAATATTCACTGCCTTTCACACGAATTCAGTAGAGTCCGTTCCAAATGATTAAGAATTAAAAATCGCACTTAGGATCAACTTTGACATGATCAGACGTTTTTATTTTAGGGTTTTCCTATTCCAGCGCGCAAGTCGTTTTGAGTCGGGCACGCACAAAAACGTTTTTTAATTTAAAATTACACTTTCTTCTGGTTTTTCATAACTCAGTTTTAAATTACGTCATTGAAAAGCTTTTGCTTTTTTCTCATCGTTTTCCCGGGAATAACAGTATATGATGATAATAAAACCCACAAAGTTTTTTAAATCCATCAAAAGGTTTCTCCACTCGATTTTCGTTGGTCAGCTCTCTTAAGAACCTCTTTCTTATTTTTGACTTTTGCGAGTCGGAAACGATAATAAAGCGTTGGATTTCAGAAGGTCGGGAGCTGAACAATGTCTCTTCGAGCTGTCAGAACATGTTCGGCCAGCTCCTGCCGCAAATCACGACCCAGCAGATCTTCATGCAGCATCTCGTCGCCCTCGCCTCCGCTCAGCAGAATCAGAACTTTGAAACGTAAGGGATCACCACAAACAAATACTTTCAAAGATCAGAGGGTTAGTTGGAAAGTTGACGGCTTCTAAATGACAGTAGAGTCTCAGTTTTCCATCTCAAAATTCTTGTTGAAAGTATGAATTATATTTCTTTAAATTCTCCAAGAAACTTTTCGGTCGCATTTGGAATGGCTCAACGTTTTTTGATCCAAGCTAGAACTCTAAAGTTTGAACTTGAGGGCTGATCTTACCATACCCGATGCCAGAGAGCGCAAGTCGCTTTTAGGTCGGCTGCACCTTCATCATGATGAATTGGAGACTCGTACGGTCATAATTCTCGATTCGGAAGAAATCAAAGCTTTAAAAAAAGGATTTAGAGATTTCGACTCTTCATTTTTTTTATTGATTTTTTGGTTTGGATATTTTTAAGCCTGACTTTCTTTTTTTAAATTTCTAGTTTTCAAATTGTCATTCTCATTGCAAAAACGCCTGATTTCCGATATTTTGGTGATATGTTTGGTAACAAAAAATGTCGCAGAGGGTAAGCGGCTTTTTCGGTCGGATATACCTTCAGAATACCCAATCGGAAAATTTCAACTGAGCCATTTTTCTCGCGGCCATTTTTTTTTCTCAGCCGCAAAAAATAATCCCATTTATCCCAAAAAATTAATTAGAGGATTAGATTTTTATAGTTCTGTTTGATTTTTTTAAAATTCGATAACTTTTTCGGGCTTTGTTTTCAAATTTTTAAAAGGCCAAGTTTTAAAGGTGGAAAAAATTTGTCCAAATATTTCCCTTTCAACTTTTTTTTTTTGCTTTTTTTCAGCTTCTTCTTGCTTTTTTCTACACGTCAACAGACGTTCAAATTTTATTTATCTTTTCCGTAATTCTGTTGATCGGTAGAACCGGGAATTCAATGAGCAAAGTCGAAAATCCCCATATCCGACTTTAGGACCACGCGAATTTCTGTTTTCTCGCATTTTCCGAGCTTTTCTTACCGCTTATTTACCCAAGAACAACACGTTTGTCAACACTCTCAATTGATTGCAAAAAAAAAACTACAAACGTTGTGTGAAAATCGCCGCCTCCGGCGGGGAAAGCCGTGCGTCGGGGCGGATTTGCCTCGAGGATTACCGTAGGCCAGGTGCGCGATTCACCGACGTCTTCAGGTATTATCCGACGTCGGGATTTTGACGGAACCGCTTATTTACTTGATGAAAGTTTTTGTTTTGCGCTGAGAGTTGAAGAACGGGAGAATTTTGGAGAAGATTGTAGAAAAGTGGTTGAGGATCTCTTAAATTCGAGATTAGCAGCACTTTCTGGATTTTCCGAAGCAGGAGCGGGAGGAGAATTTGAAGAATTTTGAGAAAATGTTCAGAGAAGGGCAGATAAAAAGTTAATGAGTATAAACGTCTCGGACCTAGTACTGGGAAAACTTTCAGTGACCACTATAGAGGCTCCCCAAGGATTTCTTGATGAGGACACTAAAGTGGCCACTAAAACCACCTCTATAGAGGCCACTATTTGTTCATTAGTGGCAGTTTTCGTAGTTTTAGTCATCTAGTAGTACCACTTAGTACTCTATAGTGGCCACCAATTTTTAACCCCTAAAGTGGCCACTAAAACGTCAAAACCCTATAGAGGCTACTGAAATTCTTCCCATGTCTCTAAGCATTTCTAGTGACCACTTGAGCGAGTTCAAAACCCTTAAGTGGTCCCTAGAACTGCGCAGAGACGACCGGGGGGCTTCCGGTTTCCGTTACCGAGGTTCGAGAAGTTACGTTCAGAAGATAGTTATGCTTGAAAAATGTTTTTTAACAAAAATTTTTGGCTGTGTACTTAAATTACCTTGAGATTTCTACGAAAAGTCCCAAAAACTTCCGGAAAAAAAGTTTGTAAAAAAGAGAGATTTACAGTTTTTTTTTCACATTTTTTCAAGTTACTATTCAATTGAAGAAATAATTTTATTCATTCCAAAGAAACTTTGAAAAAAACTATTGTAATTTTTTTCGGAATTCGAGCAATTTTTCGTTTTTTTAGCCAATGCAAATTAATCATCTTTTTGCGATACAGGATTAAACAGATACTTCAGTTTTTATTGAAAGTTATTGACTTCTTGAAAACAGTGAATTTCAGTTCGAATTTTGTTATTTAGTCTTGGTCTCCATCCAAAATTGGAAAATGCTCAAAAAGGTGGTAATAATTGTACCGATTTTCATAAATTTCTTGAGCAAATTCCGGTGACTTTATCGTTTTTCTACACCAATCTGGACTTTTTTGATGTTTTTTTTTGGATTTCATCATAAACCATTTTATCATTTTATGTGACCATTTCACGGTGCCAAGAAGCCCATTTTCGAACTTTTCTTTTTGCTAGATCAAGAAAAGGCGATCGGATCTTCAGAAGCGACGAGAATGACGACGACAGTCCCCGCAGAAGCGCCGAAAACGAAGAAATCGGCACGCCGTTGAATCTGAGCAAGGCGAATCAGTCGGAGATGCTCGACAGCGACTCGATGGAGAGCATGCGGAAAGAAGACGTGAACATCTTCAGAAGTCTCTGAATAATCGCAACTTTTCAGTCGTCGCCGAACAACTCGATGAGCGACCGCGGCGGCTCCAACTCGGCGTCGACCGGCGGGAGCAACCGCGAGAGCAGCGGCGGCGACGAATCTCTCGTCGCCAAGGTCATCTCCTTGATCGAAATCGCCAGCGAGCAGTTCAAGCATGAGCGGCAGGAGCTCTGGAGGGAGAGAAGTGAGTTGGAAAGGTCATTGAAATATCAATAAATCATGGAATTCTCATATCAGTCTGATATATACTTTTGGAAAAAAAGACTTGTCAATTTTTCTCGTTTTCGATTTTTTTGGTGAAAAAAATTTTTTTCATTGACGTTCTTATCTTGAAAAAGCACCATATTATTAAAAAAATCGAAAAATTTTTTTTTCACTTTCAAAGTAATTTTTTTAAATGGAAAATTCTGTCGTTTTTTTGAAGAAAAAAACGAAAAAGAAAAATTTTTTTCCTTTAAAATTTTCTTTTTCATAATGCGAATTTTTCGAACAAAAAAACGGAAAAATTCATTCTGAAACTTCCAAAAAAAGCTGAGATTTTAAGAATTTTTAGCGTTTCGTTTGAAAAAAAGATTTTTGATAAATGAATTTAAGATGAATAATAAATTATTCAATAACTCAGGCTAAAGTTTAAAGTTGAGGAAAATATGGAAATTCCGGCACTAGTCAAATTTCACTTTTAGGACACTTAAAATTTTTTTCGATAAAAAGTTGAATTTTCGAGTATTTTCCGTTTTTATATTGAAGGTTTTCCACTTTTTTTCACCTTTTTTAGCTGCTCAAACTCATTTTTCGGTCATCAAAAAGTTTTAAAAAATTTCGGGAGTATTTCAAACTGCGCGTGGGTGCATGCACAAGAAACATCATATCTGACGAGCAGAAGTAGATCTGGAAACCCCGTGACTCGTCTTGATATTTTCAAGATTTTGAAAAAAGAATAATAGATTTTCTCAATAGGATAATTATACATTCTTTTTTTCTTGAATTTCCAAGACGAACTATCGACAAATTCCAGACGAAATCCACACGTTGCGGGAAAAACTTCCATCAAATAATCCAAGACGAACGCAACCTCCGGGCTCGGTTAGAGCTCCAAACTCGGAAATGCGGTACGAAAAAACAATTCGAATTATATCAAAAATATTTTTTCAGAAGTCTTTTGCCGAAAAAACAAGCGACTACGAAGAGAATTGATTTTTGACGAAAGCGAAGCTTCGAGACAGTCCTCAGTCCTCACAATAACGACAAGAAAATTTGAAACTTGAAAAAATTCCCCAAAAGTAGAAAAATTCGGTGTTGATTCTCCCCCTATGCTTTACGAGTTTGTTTCGATGCAAACATTTTCAAGATCTAATCAATAAAATAAAATACTTAATTTTTATCAAATAAATAATTATAGAAAATTTACAGACAAGAAATCTCTCGATGTAGTGACAAAGTAGAATAAGTGAAGGCTCTGGGAAAAAATTGAGGAAATAAAAATCTTCAGGCCAATTTGGAAACGATGAACTCGTCGGTGAGGTCGTCCAGATCGCGGAGTTCGATGGTCTGGAAATTTTGAATTTTTTAGTTCATTCATTTGATGGTCGCACTTGGAATGGCTCAAGGACTTACGATTGGAATCTTAGAGCCAAATTTGGCCTTTTAGGGCTTTTTCTGACAGTTTACAATGACCTCGCGCGTAAGCCGTTTCATGTCGGGCGCGTAGTGAAGCAAGCAGTTATTCTACGCGCCGCCATGGATTTTTAGCTTGAGGTCAACTGAATTTTTATACTTGATCTTACTCAATCGCCTGTCAAAAGTAAAAAAAAATGCGCTCGAAAACTTTTTCTCATTTCTCAACTTTCTATCAGATAAAATTTCAAATAAGAAATAAAAACAGAGGTAGTTTATCATTGAGGCGCAATATCCATCTCAATTGAGGCTTTTTCCAAGCTTAAATAAAAGATTTTGTTTCTATAAGTGCATGAAAAAAATGAAAAATTATCGATGTTGCGCAAAAAAACCAGTTGTTTAAAAAAGAGTTTTTCTTTTTTCAAAGCATTTTGATGCCTAATGTTTGATGTGTTTCTCAGATGAAAAAATAATGATTGGAAATCTTATCATAAAAAAACTCTCAAAAAAACCTTTTTGATGAACTTTTTTTATTTTTTTACTTTTCAAGCTTACTGTGTTTTTTTTCAAAAAAAGGAGAAATGTCAGCAAATGGAAATTCCGAAAAGTGCAAAGACCTCGACAAACCTTCTCTGGAAAGGCTGTTTTCTTTTCGAGTCTCCTGTCTCATGTTCTTAACCAAGGAAACGTTTTTCCGACTAATTTCCAGTTATTCGTTCTCAATAAAACAATATCTCAATTGATATCAATCAATATTTAATTTCTGTTTGAATCAGAGATGTAATTTATTAAACTTCTGTCTACTATTTTCATAATGTTGGCCAGTTAGGTAAGAGCGTTGGATTCATCGATTCATATTAAACTCCTGGGAATCGAATAAGATATTCATTTTCCGCATGGATGTTGGACCCTACTTGTAATTTTAAAATTATTTTTGTGATACATTTTCATCATGTTTTATAATTAAAGAAACCCAAACATAGCTCATTTCTAACCGGTAAACCTAGTATTATCATTGATTTGAAAAAAATATCAAATTGATTCTTTTGGTACCTTTGTCAAATCGCACTCCTTGATCAAGTGGTTACGACTCCCGGCGTACAACATTTGCAGGTCGGGACTACATCCTGAAAAGAAGAAACCCATCATTTTCCCATCTGATTCTTTTCAATCAACAAGATGAATTCCAATGTTTCTCTCTCCTCAAAAGCCCTTTTTCTCGATTTAATCACTTGAAATGGAAGGCGTTAAACCTAGATAATACTCGCGAGGACAGATTTCCCGGCCCTTTTTTCTCGTATTACTGATGGCCGGAAAAATGTCAGGCTTTGCGAATCAATGTGTTTTGAATTCGTTAATCTATCGGAAAACCATCAAAACTTGAGATTATTCGGATTTTGGGAATAAATTGGAGTTTTTGCAGATGAATTGAAATCGGAAATCAGAGAATCTGCGGCGTTTCAGATAAATTTGGAAAAAAAATGAAATTGAAAAAATAGCCATCACAGAAACTAACGTTGATAAAAAATGCGCTCCAAGGCGAAATCCAAATTTGCTCTGACCCCTGAACTCAAGTGGTCAAATAGGGGAAGTTAAAGTGGTCCCCAAAGGAGAACCTTCGAGGCCTTCAAGAGTTGAACCTTCAGAGGGAAACCTTTGAAGATCCACAAGATTGCCACTATAGGGACCCCGTTGAACTTCACTTTTCTCAGCGCTTTTTCAACTTTTCCATGAACGGTGAGGGATAAGAGAGCGCAGAGAAGTTAGACTGTTCAATTTCGAAAAGAATGAACAATACTATCATTCTCTCTTATCCGTTCTGAAAATTTTGAAATTTTCTAATTTCTCTGCGCCCTCCTTTCTCTCGACGAAGTTCCTCATTCATTGTCATTTATTCAAAAAGAAAATATATTGTTGAAACAAAAGAAAAAGTCGGAAACTTTGTTAGTCACCTGGAAAAAAAATACGTTTTGAACCTCTGAGGATTTCGTCATATACCGAAAAGGGCACTCCTGTTCACGTGCTGTTTCTAAGTTTCTATGACCTCGTCGGCGAAGGAAAAGAGACGCAGGAAGGTCAAACTTCCAAGAAGTGAGTATTAAACTATTCTAATGCTGTCCAGTAGCACCCGTTCGGCTAATACGTCATAATTTTGCGAAACGGGCGCTACTACCCGGTGATTTTTAACGATTCGGGTGGTCCCCTGGACCTAAACGGGAGCTCGGAGGGCGAACTGGGCGTTTGCGTGGATATGCTGGACTTGAACATGGTCTACGCGCAGCTAAAAATTCAGCTTCGAGAGCTCGGCTTGGATTAAACGGGCGACCTAGCGGGTGCTAACATTAGAGTATTTACCAAGAAAACGAACCATTGGGACAGTAATAAACGAGAAGAAGCGGGAAAGATTGTCGGCCGTCGTCGTGTTTCCGACACCAGCTCAGGAGCAGAAATCGCGGCTGTTGGGCCGGCAACTCGTCTCTGATCTCGTCCAAGTTGCTGTCCTAGACTTCCTGGACTTCTTATCTTCTTATCACGAATCTCTTTACCAAGTACTCCTCCTCGACGGCGAACTCTTGCGTCTCCTTTTGTACTTTCACTAAATTTCCTTATTCTGATCTTATTTCAAGAACCCGGTCCACCTATGAGAGCGTTCATCGAGGAGCTTTTGGCGAACCGGAAATCCCTCAGCTTTTCCTTCACCTCGTCCGGCACCGAACAAATCGCGAGGGTTCCGCTCTGAATAATCCGCATATGGTTTAGAAGTTCGAGAAAAAGATCTTGAAGGATTTCGTCAAATTTTTGCGCTCTGGGACTTTTTGAGGAACTGCTTGGACCTTTCTAACGCAAACCGGACGCGGCCTAGACGTTTCGGAGCGATTCTAGTGACCACTTTAGTAGCCTCAGTACTCTTAAGTGATCACTTGAAATGATGAGAAACGTTCGGTTTGCGTTACTGAGGTCACAGTGCGATTTAAATACGCAATGATAAAGAAAGTAATTTAACTCGGAACTCGATATCTTGCAGATAATATTTAATTTTCCAAGCAGTTCTTTGTTGTACCAAACGATATACCTGGAAAAATCCTATTTTTTCATTCCGACAAAAGAGGCTTCAAAGTTTCATCGTACCGTACGATGTACAGGAAAGAAATCTTTGAAAAGTATTGGAAAAAAAAGTTAAATTTGCTCTGGTTGCGGGTTTCCGCATCTTTTCACGTTTCCGCATCGCATCCGCATCTTTTACATTATGGCCAAATTTTCAAAAAATTTAAAGTTCAAAGTTAAAAATAATTCACATTTAAGGTATCATTTAATCTTTCACCGTGAAGCGCAAATGTGCCTGTTTTTTTCTAGACTAAATTTCCAAATGTTTTTTTTGAATTCTCACCATTTTTTTGTATTCTCAGCACCAAAGAGACCCGCCTGAAATATTTTTTTGAAAAAAATCAAAAAAATTTTTTTAAACTCAATCACCATAAAAATCATCTGGAACCAATATCCTCTTTTCCAAAAAAAAAAAATCAACTAACGGGTCACTTTTTATCGAAACGCGTTAACCCGATAGAAAACAGCAAAGAAGAAAAAAAAAAGTAACATTGGTTGCAATAAAAAATACAACAAGAGGGCTATATCACAAGAAGAGAGAGAGAAATGGACAAAATTCACGTTTTTTTGTTCATTCGAAAAGAGGAAGAGACATGGAATCAAAGTTGACACATAATTGCAAGCAATAACGAATAAATAAATGGGTATATGAAGATTGAGCCGCGAGAAATGGGAACAGAAAGAAAGTCCTCCGTAGAGTTGCGCCCCATGGATAATAATCAAAACCTCGGACCTCGGTAACGCGAATCAGAAGTGTCGGAACATTTCTAGCGCCAAATTGGAGCAGCGAGAGTACTCTTAAGTGATCCCTAGAAATCATCAGAAGCGTCCGGTTACCTCAAGGTTCGAGAAAAATAGACTTTAACGTCGAAATTTAAAAAAACAATCAGAAATGAAAGAATTTTTTTCTCTAGCCATTTCCAATGATTTTTTTAGATTTTCTATGCTCAGATACTTAAAAAATCTCAAGCCTTAAAAAAAGAGATCTTAACAGAAACATTTGGCGATCACTACAAAGCTGATAGGCATGAAAAAAAAAGATTTTAAGGAGCAAATCACGGCTATTGAGCTTGAGAAACACAAAAAAGGAAGTTTTCGTGGGAAAATGGTTGAGAAAAAAGCCAGGGTACAAACAAAACCGCGTGAAATTTCTGCAAATCGATTAACACAATTGAGAAAAAGTTTTAGATGATACAGTGTGGCTTGAAAATATCCTACAAAGTTAAGCATATCTTCTAATATCTTTTAAATTTAGCATACTAGATACTCCTGTTTTTTTTCAAAGATTATCATAAATTTCAGCTTAGTGAACAAACATCTTTGGGCTCTCCAAATCTTTCTGTTGAAAAAAAACGGCCTTCTGAGTCAAGTTAGAACTCAACTTTTTCAATTCACTGTTCAGAAAAACCCAACAAAACTGAAAGATTGGTTATGAAAACACCATAAACATAGCTATCCAATTATTCCCGTTCCGTTGAAACACCGGGTTTCAAGGAAAATCAAGGTTCCTCTAAACACCGCAGATCGCTTAAGATATAAGTTTTGAGATAGGAAATACAAATTTTCACAATTTCACACCTTATACCCTCAACCTAGGCCGATTATCACGTAAGATTTTGGAAGAGAACATAATTTCTGAGATAAGAAATTCAAATTTTCACAATTTCACACCTTATACCTACTATCTAAGCCGATGAGGAAAGGTTTTGAAAACATAGATAAAAGTACTAGATAACGGATTCTATTTGAAACAAAGCGGATAAAAACTCTTAAAACTCTTTTGGTTTCTTTTAAAACAATAATTTCGAGCCACCCTGTAAAAAACATTTTAAAAAAACGTTTGAAACTGCTAAAGAACAGCTTTTTGGACCATTTTCCGTGTAGAATACAAAAGATCAGCTCTCGGAGTCACTGGTGCTCTGGAAGGAGAACAAGGAGGAGCTGGAGCAGCTGAGGCCAGTCACAGGGGGCGCCCAGCCCGTCTGAGTGAGCAGGTAAGTGTGGCCCATCATCTTCAACGTCTCGTTGAAGACAACGCGGCCGCCGTGCATCACGACCTCGTTGCCGACGCCGACGAGGGCGTAGTCCGTCGTTTCGGGAGCCGCCCGGTACTGCACCGGTTGCGATACCCATCTCAAGTCGGGAAAATTAGTGTTTGACATGGAGAAGGAGCTGTCGGAGTGAACTTGAAATTTTGGGGGTGAACATTATAAAATTATCGAGAAAAATCCTTTCAAAAAACCAAATTTTCGAGACCCAAAATATCGTGATTCGTCAACTTTATTTATTCTAGAGCTCTCAAAACGAAGAAATTTATGAAAACAACAAAAAAATGAAAGAAAAATAAAAAGCTATAAACAACCACTATTCTTTCTACTTCTCAAATTCTTAAGGTTCGGCAAAAAAATCACGAGATTTTTGAGTCACAAAAAAATCTCCTGCTCCAGAAAAAGTTTCAAAATTTTTCTGTTTGATCAGACTTTTTAAATTTTTTTGTATTTAAAAAAATAGCTCCATCATTGTTAAAAAAATCGGTAAAAATGAAGTGAAAATTTTTGGATAGACAATGAAAAAAATTTTTGAAAATTTTGAACGCTCAGGATGTACTCTCGAGAGCCTTATTTTTCTACAAAACTAAGCAGATTCCTTTTTTTCCTTTTAAAGAAACCTAAAATGTCTTTCCTTCAACTCACTTGATACGATCCAACTTTTCGAACAAATCCTCCTCCGAGGGTTCGAAATCGATATCGGCGACATAAAGAGAGAATCTTCTCAAGGACCGATTTCTCATCGGAAGTCGAAAAAGAGGCAGGTCACCGCCCCCGCTGCGAACCGAGTAATTTTTCGCGTCTAGAAATACAATTTTAGCTAAATTTCTTGACAGGTCCCCTACGAAATTGCACGATCATCGAACTCAAATGCGTTTTGAGCTCCCAAAGGTCGACGTCATCTAGAGACGCCGTCGGATATTTGGAGTCCGGCGAGGATTCCAGGCTAATCGAACACAATTCTTTTTGTTTCCGTTGCCCGTTTTGAAGAGCTCTGGAGAGATCTTTGGTTCGAAATTGTTCGTTTTGGAAGATCTCACGTTGCTCGCTTCACTTCGGCTTGGGTCAAATAACAATTTCGCAGGACACATCTCGTCCCGTCCAACTCGATGACAGTATCCGTCTCGGATTCGTCAATTTCTCCCTCTTTTCGTGCGATAAAACCCTTATCGATATGTTCTTTCGCGAACCTTAACAGGAAGTTTTCGAACTGTTTTTTTTCTAAAATAGAATACTTCAAGTTCAGAGAAAAGAATCTAGTTCAAGTGCAACATTTGAAGAAAAAAAGAATGACATTGAAGCGATGGAGCGAAATTACCTTCAAAAATAACGCCTGTACGAATTAGCATTTTCGAAAGCTTTCATGTATACACTTTGGATTATCGCCTGTTTTTACTTTCTATGTGAAAATCCGCGATTATTTTCTGAAAATACTTTTTTAGGAATTTCCAAAAAATTGAGAATCTTGAAAACTCGAAAACTTGATACTCGATGAATTAAAAAATATTCACAAAACTCTAAAAATTAAAACTTCACCATAGCAGATTTTCTGGTTGAAGAAGAACAAAGCTAAAAATTTCAAGCTGAATATACAATGTTTTTTTCCGACTTGAACCTCAAACTTATGAAATTTCACCAGTTTAAAAACCAACCGTAAAAACGCATTACACCGCTTTTGACAAGCGTCGTACATCTCAGTATGACTGGTTTTCATGATCTGAAACGGATTTTCAGTCATTTGAAGGAGGATTCTTTGATGCGAACATGATAATTCCCTCTGGTTCGACCCATGGAGACTAGTCGGAGAGTTTTCTCGCTGCGGATCGCTACTACCGCGTGGAATTTGTAGTTGGGGAGGCTGCAGCCGCCGTTGGGGTACAGGGTTCCGTCCTCGCTTGGGACCATCCGGGGCGACCACCAGCGTCCGGTCGCCTTCAAATTTCTGGTATTAGGCTACTTTCATGTTGGCCTGGTGTCTCAGAGGGTGTACCCGTATTAAACCCGTGGTTTTATTGCTATTTGAGCCTCAGTCGTGCTAAAACAGCAAAAAAAACGGAAATAGGTGGCTCACCCTTGTTTTTTCTTCCAAAATCAGAGACCCAAATGATTCAAAACGGAACAGCTGATTTTTTTTTGAGGTTAAAAATAATAATTATGATTAAAATTCAGAAAAACAGAGCTGATTCTCATTCTGACTAACATCAATCCGTTTCCATCGCCAATTCGAGCCTTGGAGATCCAGAGGGTTGAATTCGACGAGAACCGCGCTACCGTAATCCGTTGACGTCATCTCGCCGGTTATCAGGAGCAATCCGTCGCGGATCAGAATCATGTGCGACATGCTCGCGTGCATTCTGAATCCCATTTTCAGTGATTTTTTATGGAATTTGAAGGGCGTCCTTACAATGGAAAGTAGGGTTCTTCGGGTCCCAACATGGTCTTCGCCACTTCGTAAGGTTGAACTATCCTGAAAGCTTAAAAAATACTTCCTTAAATTTATAAAAAAGCTTCTAAATTCACTCAGAACCACATCATGAAAATTTTTTTTAAACCTAATTTTCCTCAAAACTCTATAAATAATTTTAAATAACAGACTTTCTATGGGTTTTGGTTTGATTTTTAGCTAAAAAATTTAATTTCGAAACGATGGAATACTGTAATTTTCTACTCAGTTGGTTTTATCTTTCCTCAAGAATCCTATAAACTTTTTTGAATATTTTTTATGATTTTTTAGGATTTGAAAAAAAAAAAACAGAACATCGATTGAAATAGCTTATTCACGGCCAGCTTGAGACGCTAAGGGGGCGTGTCCTGTCTGCGCTCTCCACGAGCCAGGCGCTCACTCGTGCATTATCGTGTCAGGACCCTTTTTTCGATGGCTCAAGCTAGCCGTAAATCAACTATTCCTCTTTTTCGGGGTATAATTTCCTAAAAAATAGTCACTCTACTGTTCCAAAGCTATTGACGAAATAATGGGTATTGAAAAATGGATCCTCAAACTGAAACCCACGGATTGGCATGAAGAACGACGCTGCTCCACTTTCCATCCACCAAGTTCAGGACGTAGATAGTTGATAGGGAAGAAAGAATGGTTTGTCGGCCCCAGCCTCCGTAGACGATCATCAGATCGCCCGAAACGACGGCTGTGTGGCCCGCGAGGCTTGGTCCTTCCACCGTTGGGATCTGAACCGTGATAACTTTAATGGATTCAAGGGCAGACCCTTCAAAACGGTCGCCACCACAATCCTCCCGAGTTTTTTTTTTCCTTTATCCTTTATTTTTTTTCCGCTTTTTAAACTTGAAAAATAAATTCTTGAAAAATGATAAAAAAAATTATGTCCACCTTCACTGATTGTCACACATTACTACAAACAAGAACAAAAAAAGAAGAGTATTCGAAAAAAATTTTCAAAAAAATTTTTTTCTGAGGCCTCATAAAGCGATTTTATAGAATCTTTACTTGACTAAGTATGGGGCAAACTATTTTCAAGCTCCTCCCTTAATGGTGAGTTTTTACTTATTTAAAGTCGGTATTTTTCCCAAGATTTCGACTCATTTTTGGCCTGCACGCGATGAAACTTCCGCCGTGAATTTCGAGGCCGGATCTTGAGGAAATTCTTACGCAAAAACATGATTTTTCCTACCTTCATTCATTCAAAAATTGTAAAGTAAAAATAATGAGAAAATCATCTAGAAAATCATCTAGAAACTATCAAGAAGAGAGAAATAGTCAAAATTGCTTTTAAAGTCGAGAAAAACTGACTTTATGTAAGGACCCTCGTGTGAAATAATTCGAATCATCGTTATTTTGAAGATTAAAAAGGTTTCTGTCAGATTTCATAACACTTAGGAGCAAGAAAGTAGTTTTCCTATCGTATAAAAAGCAAAAAAAACCTGTCGCCACTTGTTGGTTTCCGGATTATAAGCATGAACTTCAGAACAATTGGTCGTCATTGATCTCATTGAAGAGAGGAAAGGAACCGGGCGGAAACCGCCGTAGAGGACGAGTTCGTCCTGAAAATCGTGGTGAGAAAGTGAAATTTAAACAATTTCCAGAAAGAAAAATCAAGGTTCACGTATTATAATTTGAGCAAAAGCTTAGATACAGCTCTGTGTAAGACAAGATACAAAAAAAAAAACGCTTTTTTGATCACTACGTCTTTGAATGGAGTTCGATCTTACAGGAACCTTCTGGAGTTGTGATGACTGCCATTTTTTTAACATTCTGGTGGGAACTTTGAAGAAACTTTGCTGGATTGTTCTCGAAAACCTATCTATACCAGACAAGGAAAAAAATATTTCTTTTTTTATTCTTTAAACTTTATTTTTTTATCCTGAAACTAAAAAGATCTTTAAGACCATTTCAGCAAAGTTTTATCAAGAGTGCAAAAGAAAAGAAGAATAAAAAAAGCTCCTTTATTAAAACATCAAACTATTATTTTCGTTATAGAAGTTATTCAAAGACAGAAAGAAATTCGCTCATTTCATTATTTATAATAAAAATCAATAGAAAAAGTCAGAATATAGTGGTTTTCAATGACAAACCTTCCAAGCGACGAACGAAGCTTTGCATTTTGGCATAGGTTTTCCTTGAGAACTGACCCTGCTCCATTGCATCGACACCTGAGAATCAAAGTTTGGAAAAAGTTTTAAATTTTAAAATAATTGTAAACAACTTCTGTTTCAGTTTGTTTCTTCTTTTTAAATTATTTTGAAATACGGAGAAAAAATGATGAAATTTGATTATTCTTTCTAGCCAGAAGAGAGTCAACATTAATTACTTTTAAACAAAAAAATGTTTTTTTAATGAAAATTTTGAAACAGTGAAAGTTTTTGGAAAGTTTTTAGAAAGGCTAGAAACAAGTTTGGCCAAAATCAAAGTAAAGACTGTTCGCCTAATGCTTTTAAAAAAATATTCATATTTTATAATACTTTTTTTGTGTAAATAGAAATTTTTAAATAATTCAAAAATCAAGGTTTACGATTATAATCGGAATCGAAAAGCTAGAAAAAAGGCTCTAGATTTCGCTGAATCGTGCTCTACTGATAAATGAAAGACGTTCATGAAGAGGAATATAGCTTTAAAAATGGTTTATTAAAGTTTATTAAAATCGGGTGAAATGAAAAATTTCCTCAAATATTTTATCAGAAAGGGTCTTCTAAGGTTCCCAAACAACAAACTTTTCAAAAACGAAATTTTGCGTTCTTTCAACATTTTTGAATGGAAAGACCCTGAAAAGCAATTAAAAAGACTGCAGGGACTCAAAAAGGATCCTCTGAGGTTTGGAAAAAGGTGCTCAGAAGTTTTTTTTTTTCCATCATTTTAGAAGATTCTAGCGGAACCTTTTTAGGTCCTCCTGAGGGTCCTCAGAGCAACTTTTCCGTTTTACCTATGAAAGTATATTAGACAAGGTATAACAAGAACAAAAAAGGCGAATTTTATATCTAATACTAATTGTACCTCATGCTATATGTATCCGAGTGAGATAAATAACTAAATAATCAATTTTAAAAACTCAAAATGCAGGAAAAATAATCATACCAAATCGAGTTTCCACAAATCGTTGAATGAAGCATTTGGGACATAAGTGGCTTGATCCCGATCCATATCTTCGAAAGGCGTACTCGCGCCACTCAGAGACTCGCCGCCAAACGAGTAAATCGCTCTCTGGGGCTCGAAATAAACCATACAGTGCTTCTGACGTTCCGACATCCCGAGAGGGTCATCTTCGCTCGCACAGCGGTTCCTGGGAACATTTTTCAAGGTTTTTACTTGAAATATAATAGAAAATTGAGTAACGTGGACTGAAGATGAGTAAATTTTTCAACCGCGACTATGCCATTTCTTTCGTATCACTATAAAGAACGAAACATTTTTCTGAGGACCCTCACAAGGAAGGTCACGTCAGTTTGCGGTTGGAAATTTCCTGAAAGTCAACCAGAACACTTCTCGATTTGTCAAACGAGGATTCTGAAAACCTCAACCTGTAAAAATTCTTTGTTTTCGAGAAATAAGAGCGCTCAAAGCGCCAAAACAGCTCATTTCAATAGATTTTGAGGGACATCAAAGTGTATTTTCTCGAAAACTAGAAAATTTTGCCGTTTGGGCTTTCAGAATCTTCTTTTGGTATATCAAAGAGTATTTCGGCCATCTTTCGGAGAATTCCCAACCGTAAAGTAAAATTACCTCCCTTGTCAGAAGGAACATTTCTGCAAATTCATCTTCTTTTTTTCTGTCATTTTACTCGTTTCGAACGTCCTTACAGAAATCAGATAGTGAAAAAATAATGAAAAAGACATCAGAACAAGAAAAAATGAGTAAAGCCGTGTGAAAAAGAAAAAATATTAAAAAAAAGAAGGCGAAGGCTTGGTCGATAAACTTTATAGAAATAAATTCAAACATAATTACCTGAAAACCAACTAATATTTATTTAGTACCCTCGATAATTCAATAAATAATGAGAACCCACCATTTCATATACTTTTTCTTCTTGAACTGCCGATCAATCGTGCGAAATTCGTCGGCACAAACATCTTCCAGCTGAGGAAAAGCTTCTAGCAAAACTTGCAATTCAACTTGTCTAAAATCTTGTTTTTTTCCTTCAATTTCAATGAACGAACCTCAAAAAACCCAAAATCTTGTGAATCACAATAGAAGGCAGTTGTTGCAGAACGCAAAAGTCACCAATTTCGTCGTCCATTATGCTAAAAAGAACTATTCACAACGAGTCTTATTGAATGATTTCGAAACCTCATTAAAAGAATGAGATGTGCGTTGCTGGTCCCATTAAATACGGCAACCCGACCAATATAGACGCCTTTGATAAAATATACCTATAACGATGTCGAATTGAATACTGGGAAAAGCGTGATGTGGTTTCCGAGAACGCATTTGTTTACATGCGATAATGATGACTCAACACAACGTGCTAACAAAAGAGAAGAAGAATTTTCAGCAAAGTTGAATATGGAGCTGAAAAAGAAAAAAAGGGATCCTTCTATTAAGAATAAATTCTTTGAGTTGATTTTTTCAATCACTACTGTTTAAAAAAAATCAAGACAATGAAGCCGATATTGAAAAAAAATTGTGTTATGAGCATTTTCGCCAAAAACCTTATTAAAAAGACAATAGTAACTATGGAACTCTAATTATTCAAGAAAACTGATGAACTTCCATCCAAAAATAATGATGTCGATTATGAGACAACTTCAGACCTTCTCCCATCAAGGTTTTGTTTCACTTTTTCAACGTCAAAGAGACATCTACTACATAAGACAGGGAAATACATAACAAATAAAAACTTCAGTTCAAATCGAAAAGGTTAGGCGTGGGGTAAAATGCTTGCAGAAAATTTTTTTGTGCTTGCAGACCAGGAGTGTCACC